CCCAACGCACACATGCAAGCGACGAGCAAGGGGCCTTCGTGCCGCCTCAGACAGGGGCGAATGTGTGCGCCGTTGCTCTCTCGTCTGCTCTGCTCTGCTACGGCTACGCGGGCGGGCGGTCCAGCATTCGCTTCTGACCCTTATGTCCGCGGTCGCAAGAGAGCTGTACAGCCGTTCATTTGTAGTCTATAGCGGACCATTGATACCAACTCATCAAGGTCAGCTATACGGTGCTCATATGGACACACTTCGCGCCACAAGACACAAGGGAGGTAGGCGCACGGTCTCGGACCGGAAATCTATTTTGCTCGTCGCGGTGCGCAATGAGGCCCACGGGCGCGCGCTGACCTTCGTCGTCCAGCAGCAACGGCAGCAAAACGAATCAGTCAAATGTTTGCTTGCCTCGCAACGATGCGGAGCTGCGCTTCCGGGAAGGATGATATCATTTGATCAGTGTGAGTCGTGATTGTACACCTTATAGCATCAATAGGAAACCGATTTGTCCCAGAGGCTCGGTTGAGGCCCGCCTCGTCAGAAAAGATGCGGCCAAAAACCAAATCACGAATGCGAGCGGCATGAGGCCACGATGCGAAGAAACACCTCATAAACGAAAAGGGGGGCGAATTAACGTGCACGCAAGCCTCGTTGATCCTCCCGCCTTGCATGCTGTGTGGGGTGGATGGGTGTGAAAAAGACGGCGGATTTGCCACTCGTAAGGGGGGGCCAGCTTGATCCTTCCCCAACGATTAAGAGGCGCGACGCACGAATCTTTCCTCCTTCTGACGTCAAACAAGAAAGACCAGTGTGGAAAGACTCGATCCATAGACATTTGATTGTCGGAAGGATGAGATCTGCTAATGAGTACATAAAAAGAGACGAAGCCGAATAAAACGGGGCCACGAGTGGAAGGAATGTGTGGTGCGGTGCGGCGACCTCAGCACAGCGATCGAGGATGAACCCGTGCTGAGTGAAGCCACTGCAACAAGTTGTTGCAACTCCGGGAGAGACAAATTGGTGACGGAGTGCGAATTGAAGGCCAGCATAACTAGATGCCGTTCAAGAGCGCTGGATGATGACGATAGTGATGAGGCTGGGATCGATTGACCGGGATGTTTGGTAAAAGCTCCTGCGAGGGTGAAGCGTGGTGCGGCAGCTGGCAGCTCGTCGCAACCTCGGTGAGCATCAAGCTCTCCGCGCAACGAGACGCGGAGCTCAGGTCGAGCTTGCTTGGGCGGCGCTGGGATCTTTTGAAACACTGGCCGCAGGAGCAGGCGCAGGTGGAGCACCGTCTGCGAACGACTGTCCAGCACCTGCGAGTCCGAGCATGCCAGACATGATCTTTGACAAGCCGTCGAATACACCGCTGTCACCAGCAGCGGGTGCCGTACTGCTTGTAGTTGCGGACGAAGACGTCGAGCTGGAAGTTTGTGAGCTTGAGCTCTGGGAAGTGGTGCTGGTGATGCTTGTGGAGGAGCTCGTCGTGCGTGTGGAGCTTTGAGAGGTGGTTGAAGAAGGCCTGGTCGACGTGGACTTGGGTGTCGTGCTCGTACGACTCGTGGTGGTGGGCTGTGCACCATCTCCAAACGACCAAGACATTTGAAAGACACCGGCCGAGGTGTCGGCGAACTGTGTAAACAGACCTTGCGAGAGATCTAGCGCGCCCGAGGGACAGCCAGGACAGAGATCGGTGATCTGAGCTGTCCTAGACTTTCCGCCAACGGTGATTGTGATGGTCTTGAAGCAGTTTGAGCCACCTGCCCATTGAGCTGGGTTGACGGCGACGATGAAATCACTGCCGCTGTTTGTTCTGCCACAGGCACCAAGGCCAGCTTCGTAGTACGTGGCTCTGCCAGAGTAGCCGCGCTTGACCAATGATGCGGAGCTGTTCTCGGAGCCTGCCTCGAGAATGTCCCTGGGGTCTAGGCCAGCGGCTCGTTTCAGCCGCCTCAGCACGCCGCGATGACCATGTCGAACATCATTAGAAGTGTGTCGCCGATCGTATGAAGTAGAAGCGCCAGCGTCAGCGAACGCCGAAGCTGCAAGCAGTACGATGCAAGCAGTGGTGAAGGAGACGCAGCGCATCTTTGAGGTGAAGATCGATCAGAAAGAGCAAGATTCGCAAAGTTCGATCGTGCACAGGGTGTGAGGTGGATTGCACGCCAGAGTCTCCTTGAAGGAGTGTGAACGCAGTGATGCAGGGAAGGGATCGGGTATCGGAAGGAGTGCGGGCTAGGAGGGAGCAGAAAGATGGGCGGAGGATGGAGGAGATGAGGGGAACAGAGTCGTCGCGACAGGCACAATGTTCAGCTTGATTCTCACACGCTTCTTGCAACGGCTCTTCGGAGAGATTTGAGTTGTGAGTATAACGGCACGATGCTCGTCGCACGTGCAGTCACGCCAGAGGGCCGCGGCATCAGCGCAGCAGCAGGAACGCGCCCGCCGCGCGCAAGCGCGAAATGTCGTAAGCTGTTCAGCAAGCGCGCTTACTGCTCTCGCTTCATCGTCTTGTCCCTTTGGTGCGCCCCTGCATGCACACATTTTCTCTTGCTGTGGTGTCGCAACTCGCGATTCACTGACTTGGTGACTCACGACTGTCATTCACAACTGAGCGTGGCTATCCTGTAGCTGTGCGTACAGCCCTTCGAAAGGGTCGATCGCATGACCGCATCGTCCACGTCGGTCCAACACCTGCGTGCGATCCAGCTCGTCGGTGGCCCGAGGGAGGCGATGCGACACGACGGGGTTTGGCGAAGTTGTACAGTCATGAGTCGTGAGTGTTCTCGTGTGCTTGCTTCCATCCGTGGCTTGCCTTGTGGCGGTCAGCAACGGACGAGACCGCTGCGTCAGGGGCATTCGTAAGGGCTGTGCGTGGAGAGAGCACCGCGCGCAGAGCCGTGCTACATATCTGCTTGTCCCGTTTTAAGATCGCCATCCACACTTGTCAAAAAGATCTTTCTCAGCCGCTTCAACGTGCTTGGCATGTTCACGAATGCTGGCTCGTTATTACCCCATCGAGAAGTTTGGACGTCATCCAGCGCGAGATCTTGCAAATTTGATGCTCCGCACAACTCAGCTCGGACGCGGAGGCAACAGCGAATCACACGCTCGCGCTAAGCCTCTCGAAATCCCCGTGCAATCCCCGTGCTGTGAAGCACCGACGTCCTGTTGCTGTTCAGGGGTGCTGATTTGTGGGGTTCCACAGCGATTGCACGGTAGCCGCCACTTTGCGCCAACGATCGACCGCCACGCCGCATGGTCGTTCGATTGACGTATCGCGGTAGGAGGGTGTGCGCGCCTGGAGGCACCGCGTCGGGTGTCGTTTTTGTGAAAGTGCCCGCGAATTCAAGACGCCGCGTATACCGCCAGCCGCGAGGCTCCCCGTTTACGATGCGGACATGAAGATAGCAAGCTATCATCCCCCGCACTCGATTGTTTACAGCACCACAGAATGGACTTATAATACCATCTAGGCCGATTCAACCAACCTCTTGATCTTAGAGACCGCAAAAGCTGCTTTCAAATCACAATTTTGAATTCGAATGTGAATCGATGAAGATGTGCAAATTTGGGTATTGGCCCACGTGACCCCGTGCGGTGCAAGAACTCTGGATCTGCATGCAGTTGGAGACATAAGTCGCCTTCACGAACTTGAAGGCTGCTCCAATTGTGATTGTGCTAGGCCATCGGCTGGTCAAGCACGGTCGAGAAGTGAAAGCTTGCAGATTCTGAATGATCGATTCTCGAGTCATCGGGATGCCAGCACGGCTGTGCGGTCGACACGGTGCAACCGACGTGAGGTCGATTCGCGGATGAGGGTTGACCACGTGGCTCATCTTTTGTGGGACGCGCTCGACCGCGTCGCGCACGGATGTCACACATCAGCAGAAGATCGCGGGGAGCATGTCGCCGACTGCATGATGCGTGCGGACCTGTGTACAACCACCTACCATCCTCGCTTTGAGGCGTTTGCTGACAGTCGCGAGTGTTGGACTGCCAGTCAAATCCCGCTTTCCTCGTCGACACGACCACGCCGAGCATCTGATCCTACTGCTGCCGTCTTTAAGCGCATGTACAGCGACCTCTCGACTTGATCAAGAACGCGCGCGCAACCGGCGCGATTGTTTGCCGCTCGATGACTCATCGCCTCCACCGTACATAACAGACCTCATCGCCTCCACCGTACATAACAGACCTCACACGGCCTTGCCACATAGGCCTGTGGCTCCCACTACGAGCCGCAAGCATGGCGCAAGTCGCGCAGTCTAGCGCGCTTCCGCTCGACTTGCCGGCTGATCTGGACTTGATAACTTTGCAAGCACAGATCCAGGGCGTTCAGCCTGGTACGGAAGCGACACCTGACCGATTGGCGTGCCCAGATGGAAGTCTCATCATCACGCTGTATCGCGCTCTGCAACACGCAGCATACACATTGGATCAAGAGCGACAGGAGCGTCAGCACGCTGACGTTGACTCTGAAACTGCTCTGCACACTGCGCAAGCAGCGGCATCAGAGGCCACACAACGCGCAGAAGCTGCTGAGCAGCGGGCCCTTGCCTCCGAGGAGAAGCTCGTCACCGCTCAGAGTGAGCTGCATCAAGAGCGAGAGCGCAAAAATGCGGAAACAAGTTCAGCCGCTCTGCCACAGGCAGGCTCATCAGAAGCGGAGCGGCGCGTACAAGCTGTGGAAGAGGAGAAGCGTAATCTCTTGGAGCTGCTTGACCGTGAGAAGCTCGAGAATGCCAGAAAAGCTGGTTAGTGCTCTCGCGAAGTGACAACTGGTACGTGTCTGCTGAGCATGGCTGATCCTAAACACCCTCGTCTGCCGCAGAGGAACTGGAGACTCTAAGCGCTAGGGCACGTGAGACCCGAGCAGAGTTGTCCCGCCTCTCTTCGGACCTCTCATCTGTGCGCGGCAGCGAAGGCACGCTTCGGGTGAGTGTGCACGTGCCCAGTGATCTGCTTGCGCCTTCATTCATTCCATAACATTTGTCTCCTCTAGTTCAAGACCCAAACTTTGGAACAACAGCTTGAGCTGGCACGCAACGACGCCAGCTGGGCTCATGGAGAATTGACTCGCGCCAACGAAGCCGCGAGCGCAGCTCGCACCTCCACGCGCAACGAAATCATTCAGTTGCAGGCAGCTCTTGAAAGTGCAACGTCTGCCGGCTCTGCGGCTCAAACCAAGTTAGACACCTTGCAGACTGCATACAACACCAACCTGCAGAGACTCACTGAGGTTACGGATAAGCTTGCAGATACGACAGCTCGAGCGGGTTCTCAAGAAGAGGCTTTCAGAGCCGAGAGCGCTACTCAACAGCGCCTCATCTCATTGCTTGAGCGAAGAGCCGAAGATGCAGATCGCAGAGCTAAGAATGTGGAGGATGAGTGGGAAGATGTTCTCAGTCGCGCCCGAGACCTTGAGCAAGTCGCTAGAGACGAAGCACGTGAAGAGGCTGACGCAAGACACAGAGCGGAGTCGCAGGTCAGCGAACTGCAAGAAGCGCTCGATCGCCTAGCAGAAGGTGTCGGCATCAACTTAGATCCTGACGCGCTCCGCAGAGAAAGCAGCGCAGGCCCGCAAGGTAGCGAGCGCAGTCTTGCCAACTCGGCGCTCGGCGCATCATTCAGCTCTTCGTTCTCGCCTACGGCTGCCCTCGCATCAAAGGTGCAGCGGAGCGGCAAGTCGTTTAGCGCCGTGTACAGCGACCTCGTGCGCACGCAGGAGGAGCTACGACGCGAGCGCGCAGAAGTTGTTCGACTTGGCACCGTCCTGGAGCAAGTCATGGCTGACTTGGAGGATCGTGCTCCCGCGCTACAGGCCCAGCGCGAGGAGGTTCAACGGCTTGCAGCCGATCTCGAGGAACTTGCGGCTGAAATGGCTCAAGCTGGTCAGGAACGCGATGTTGCCCAGCGTTCTGCTAAGCTTGCAAAAGCGGATGCCGAAGCGGCTCGCAGGGAAGCCGACGTATCCGCACAGCAAATAGCCGACTTGGGTCGTCAGGTTCGCAACTTGACGCGAGAAGCTATCATTCGAGACGACCCAGCTGCAGCAACACGACTAGAGGATGATGGTTCTGACGGGTCAGAGGCGATCGAAGGTGACACCCAAGCCATCATCACCGCAGAACTCGTAACATTCTCTTCCTTGTCTGGTCTGCTGGCACAAAATCAACGCCTCTTGCACGCGATAAGGGAGCTTGGATCTCAGAAGGAGGCGGAAGAGCAAAAGCGTGCTTTGCAAGCAGAACAAGACGAGAGCGAGGCGGTCGCAGAAGCTCGCAACTTGATCATGCGTCTGCAAGAAGAGATGAAGTCCGAGCGACAAAGGGCCGAGGCTGCTCGTCGCGAACGGGACATGTTCAGATCTATGTGTGCGCGAACCGGAGGTTCCCTCGCAGTCGGTGCCGGCGCAACGGAGAATGGCGCTGTCTCTGCTCCCAGTACCAATCTTGCAAGTCAATATGCTGAATTGCAAGGACAATTCGACACCTTCAGAGACGAGACAGCCCAGGACATCGAGCGACTCAAGGAAGATGTACACCGAGCAAGAGAGGAGGCTGGTCGGGCATCAGTAGAAACCGCGCGCCAGAGAGCGATGCGAGAGGCTGGCGAAGGTGAGTAGTCATCGTGCGCACCCGACGCTGCTAGTGACTGACACGGACTCGGTACGTGCAGAACGCTATCGAACGCTCAACCAGACTTACGATCTGGCCAGATCGGAGCTATCAGAGCTCAGCAAGCGCAACAACGCCATTCAGGAACAGTTGACTCGTCGCGAGATTTCTTCACACAGCGCAGAGACTCAGCTTCTGGAGGCCCGCTCGAGTCTCGAACGTCTGCGAAACGAAGCAGCCAACCTGCGCGCTGAGAAGGAACTCCACGCAAGTACACAACAGCGAGTGCTTGAAGAGAATCGCAACCTCGTTAGTGAGAAGGCCGCCCTCTCAGATCTATTGCGCAACGTTCAAGGCATGCAGAATGAGCTGGAACGAGCGGGCGGTGAAGCGAGAAGGCGTTTGGAAGCCAGCGTGTCTAGCCTCGAAGATCAGACAAGAGATCTCCGCGAAAAGCTCACAAAAGAAGAGGAGAGCTCCCGACAGCTCAAACTTCAGCATGAGGTCCAGGTCCGCGATTTGAGCTTACGTCTCGAGAAGGCTGCGACGGAAGGCGCGACGGCGCGGGAGCATCTTGCTGCCGCCAAATCCGACGCCAGTCATCTTGGCACAAGGGTGGACGATCTCACCAAACAGCTGCAGTCCAAAGAGGGACGCTTAGCAGTCTTCGAGCGTCGCCATGCACCGTCTTCATCGACATCGATGCTCACTCGCGAACAACAACTCGAGATCGAAGTCGCAGACCTCCGCGGCAGTCTCAGCACTGTCCAAGTTGAGGCAGAGCAGGCTCGCGACCATGTCGAGCAGTTCAAAGCCATCGCGGAAGCCAACGAGGAGGCTCTTGGTGCGCTACAGAAGACGTACGAGGAGTACAAGGCACAGACTGAAGCAGAGCTGTCTCAGAAAGAGGTGAGTGATATGCCTTCACAAGGGAAAGGTGCATCTACTGATACCATACGCTTCCTCTCGTCTCTCAGTCCGAGATCACCAGCCGTCGTGAACGCCTGGATTCCCTACTGTCTGAGCTGAGCTCCTCTCAGCAAGAGTCCACCACCGCTAGACAGGCGCTTGAGACTGCTCAGCGCATCTTTGCGGAAGAGAAACGTTCACTTGAGGCAGCGATGGCCGAACTTGGCGGCCTCGAGGAGCGCGTGCGCGCTGAGCAGGATGATTCCCGAGATGAGGCCAGGAAGCAAGCCAAGCTTGCTCGTGAAGCGCATGCCAAGTACGAGTCCGAGCTTGTTGCTCATGCCGACGACATCAGAGCGCTGTCTGCCATCAAGCAACAGGTAGAAACTGCGCAGAGGGAAGCGAGAGAGGCAATCACAATGCGTGAAACTGCTGAGGCGAATCTGAGCGCGTCTCAGAGCAGCTGGGAATCTCAGCGCTCCATTATCGCCAAGGAGAAGGAAGAGCTGCAAGTTCGCATGGGGTCGCTCCAGGAGCAGAACACAATACTGCACCAGCATCTCGAAAGCGTTAGTGCACAGGCTCGCCAAATACGACAGGCTGCCGACCAGCTTCCTTCTGGCACCGGAATCAGTGGAGATGCAACCACACTCGCGCAGGGTGCGCAAGGAGAGCTACAAGAGGTCATCAACTACCTACGACGCGAAAAGGAGATCGTTCAACTTCAGGTCGAACTGCGCGATCAGGAGATTGTCCGATTGCGTCAAAGTCTCGAGCACAGCACTGCGGCTCACAACACTGCTCAAGCACAATTAGCTGAAGAGCGCGCCCGCGCTAGTTCTGACGGCAGCAGCAGCAAACATCACGAGGAGCTTCTTGAGAAGGTCAATCAGCTGAGCATTCTCCGCGAGAGCAATGCGACGCTTCGCGACGAGGCCGAACGTGCCACAAGCAAGGCTGCGCAACTCGAGTCGCAACTCAACGCTCGCAATGCCGAGCTAGAGCCTTTGCGAGAACAATTACGCATTACGCAGGTGGAGCTCGAAGCGAAGGAAGGTCAGCTTCGCATCATTCAAGAGGATAACAAGCGATGGCAGGCACGAGCGCAGAGCATTCTTCAACAGTACAACCGCGTCGATCCCGAAGATATCGCCAAGCTTGAAGAGCGGGCGAAGGCTGCCGAGAAAGCTGTCGAAGACGAGAAGGAGAAAGCCCGTGCTTCCTCGAGCGATGCCGCGGAAGAGTTGCAGAAGCAAACCCAAGCAGTAAGTTTGGCTGCGCAAAGAAGGTGCTACAGAATCATGTTGACGCTTGGACTCCACAGCTTGACAAAGCCAAGGCTGATCTCACTACGGCGGAGGAGAAATTCGGGCGCCTCAAGCAGCAGACGCAGGAGCGCCTCCGGACATCGGACAGTCAGAAGCGAGAAGCGCAGGCCGAAGCCAACCAGCTAAGAGCCACCGCATCGCGCGTCGCTGCAGCGGAGGCTTTGGAAAACGCGAATGAAGAATTCAAGGCCCAGAATGAACAGCTACAAACACAGCTGAAATCTCTCGAAGAGTCGTCGGCGATGCTTCGCTCTGAGGCGGAGAGTTTGAAACAGCGTCTTGAAGAAGCTAGTAAACCGGATCCTAATCCAAGCGATGCGGTCGCGCAGCAGGCAGCCGGGCCATCTACAGATGAGGCCGTCACAAAGGCTATTCAAGAAGCTCGTGTTTCTTGGGACGCAGAGAAGCGCGAGTTGGAGGCCGCCAAAGCCCGCAGCGAAGAACTCCATCGTGAGCTGTCCGCCAAGCATCAAGAGTCACAGACAGCACTGGTACGTCCCTCGCTTTACCTCAGTCCCAGATCTCAGTTATATCTGATTGCAGGCTAACTCTGCAATCCGCTCTCTGTGCACTGCAGGAGACAGCGCAGCGAGCATTCGGCGAACAAGCAGCAAAAATTCGTGCAGAGTGGGAAGCTAATCACGTTTCCGAGATTGAACAAGCAGCTGCAAAGCGCGCGTCTCAGGGACAAAATGCTCCCTCGGCCGGTGCAGCCAAAGTTGATGAAGCTGAGGAAGGCGAGGCGGATGCTGAAAGAGGGTTTCCGAGCGCAGTCGCCTCCGCGCGCGTCGCGGAGCTCCAAGCTGCTCTCGATGCTGCCAATACAAGGATCGCAGAGCTTCAGGCAGAGCTCGACGCTCTCAAATCATCGCTGAATGGCTCAGGCCCTGATCAAAAAGTCATTGACGATCTCAAACAGGCGCACTCGGAAGCACTCGAGCAACAAGAGTCGCACCTCGCGCAGCTTTACGCCAAACGCCAACAACAAGCCATTGACGTCGCACTCAAGAAACGAGGACAGCAATCGATCCCCTCTGACGTTCAGCAAACCATCGAGGCACGTGTAAAGGAGGGTGTCGAGCAAGCAGAGAAGCAATGGCAAGAACAGCACAAGGAGGTGCTTGAAGCAAGGTATCAAGCAGGCAAGAGCGAAGCCAATCTAAGAAACGAAGTTGTCGTCAAACTCCGTGACAAGAAGATTGCTTCGCTCACCACACAGCTTGCTGAAGCCAAGGGAGAGCCACTGCCCGCTACCACGAGCACGCAAAGCAGCCAAGTTTTAGCTTCGAGCGCTGAGGGCGCGACATCTTCGACAGCTCCAGCTGCGATGCCTGCATCCATGGCGGCGGTCGTTACTTCCGCGCCTGTCGAAGCAGCTGAAAGCGCGAGCTCCACTGCATCGGCTGCCTCGAATGGCCAAGCTGTCGCAGCACCGTCTGCATCTGCATCTTTGCCCGTTGCGCCAGCAGCTGTGCGCGGTCGAGGCGGTGGGCCTGCCCGAGCTACGACCATCATCCGTGGAGGCCGAGGAGGCAGAGGCGGAGCAAACCCCGCGGGTAGTGCCACCGGGAAAAGAGCAGCGGAAGAAGGCTCCAACAATGGCACCACAACTTCCAAGCGTGCTCGACCTGTCGGTGGAACAATCCCTATTCGTGGCTCTCGAGGAGGAAGAGGAAGAGGTGGAGGAGGCTCCACAGAGTAAAGTGAACTTTCATGTCGGCTGCCACAAGCATCAGTTGATTCGACTCAAATCGTACAAAGCAAGGTTGTACTGCGGTGTTCATTCGAATGCCCTTTTCAATGTATCCTTTCGATCCAGATGTCTGCGCGAGCTGTCACGCGGAGGCTTGCTCGAGAGAGACGGGCGAGTGAATGAAGGGCTGGAGTGCCCCTGTGACCATTCGGCTCGACAATAAATAGAAGTGAAGAAGTCACACTCTTCTAGATGTACATCGATATGTGGTCGCCAAATTGGAAGCCTGAAATCAGCAAGGATGACCGCTGCGCGCCACGTTTGGAGCCAAAGGACGATCATGGCTGCGAAAGAATTCTAAGGGTCTCTGCTTCCGGGGGCGACCGGGTCATCTTGACCAGGTAGGTCAAGCATGACGCTCTGACTAGCGCTACCAGGAGTCGAGGAGGACTTCAAATGTTCGTCCATCTCGTCCGTATTCACATTGTCGAATTGGCTTGCGCTGGAGAGGATGCCAGTCTCGCTGCTCATGGTGGTAGCTGCACGAGGCAGCGCCGCTGAGAAACTGGGCTCCGGCTCAGCAGAAAGCGTGCTTGGCCGTGCAAGGAAGCGAGAGACGGGCGTGCGCGGTGATTCCATCTCTCCATCGGAGTTTTGGGACGAATGACGAGCAGAAGTGAGTGAACTGAATAGCGAGCCTATTCTGCCCTTGCTGCGTCGCGCATGTCCAGAGCCGGTGCCCCCGCCGCTGGAAGAAGGTTCGCCCTCAATCGCAGTAGAGCCCAGGACATCCCTGGCTTCGGCTTGAGAGGCATTAGATACTGTTCGGGTGCGTTCGAAGTGCTTGCTGTACCTCTCCGCCTCGGTCGGCGTGGCGCCGTGAGGCGAAGCAGACCTGGAGGAAGGCTTCCCAGCAACGCTCGTTGCCTTTCCGCGTGGTGCGGGATGAAGACCAGGCACATGCTCATGCTTCTTGTCCGCCACATCTACCCACTGCACAGTACCTTTCTGATAGCTGTCGTCGGCCAGGCCGCCCGCACTGGCAGTGCGCGGCAAGAATCTAGTCGCAGAGCGAGGCGTCGAAGGGAGGGAGTCGGTGCGCGGAAAGCCAGCTCCTGATCTACCTCCCCCGTCCGATTGACCCATGAAGATGGACGTAGGCCGAGGAGCCGACGTCTGAGCTGACGCTGGCGCTGAAAAAGCAGAATCTTCGCTGATGACTTCCTCATGAGCCTCCAAGCCCTCGTCGTCCTGGCCGCCTCTGCGACCTTGAAAGTTGATATGGCCAGCCAGTAATCTCTTGCGCAAAGACAAGCGCCTTCCAGCAGTCGCACCAGCCGGTCTTGTAGAGTGCACCATTGGCTTCGAGACTTTCTCAGCTTTGCTGCTCGACCTCGTGGGAGATTTAGAGCTGGAAGAATTTCCTTCGTCAGAACCTTGTGCAGATGAGTCTCTTCGAGCTCCCGCTGTGGGGCTTTTCGAGTCGCCCCTGCGATTCCTGAGGCCAGAAGCGGCGCTAAGTCCGCCGTAAATTAGAGCGGCGCGCTCGTCTCGCTCAAAGCGACCGTCATCGCTATGGGGCGAGGCGCTGGTAGTACGCTTCTGAGACGTGGCCTGACCGCCTTGAGCATTATTTCGCGTGGATCGAATGTGGTTGTTGTACTTGTCGACGATTCCATGATGTATGATGTTTGCTACCGCTTGCTTTGGCGTCCACTCGTGGTGTTCCGTAATGCCCAGATGCTGCTCTATGCCCTCTGCGTGATGCCTGACCCAAGTGTGCGCAGGGGCTTCGGATTCGTGCAGTGCTTCCCTGTCCGCATCCGTCAGCTCCAAAATGTGCACCTCTGGCTCGCTGGATCTGCTTTTCTGGTACTCAAGCAGAAGCTTGTGGCCCTCCACCCACGAGCGCATGCATGGGTACGTACTTCCTGAGCCGGCCCCTTGCGCATCGTGCGCACCAGACACGCCTGATCGGCCCTGCTCTTCCCTGACATCGTCAGCCAAAGGTTGTGGTACTTGACCTTGATGAAGCTCTCGATCCATGGGCGCTTCACCAATATCGCCGTCCTCTGCATCCCTCTGCTCTGCCCGCCGAGCGTCGTCCCGGTCTCCGCTTTTCCTTTGCTCATTCGCGCGTTCCCGCACCCGTCTCTCTTCCCTCTCTCGCGCTCTCTTCTCCCTGTAGCGACGCATCTCTATGCAGTTTTCTCCACCCCATTCGCTGGATGGATCGTGAGTATAGCCTCCATCATAGTCCTCAGGATCGTCGACATCCTCTTCGTCCGCCTTTTCAAGGTCTTTTTCGGTCCGCTTGTTCAGGAGACCGACGAACGGAGTCGATGGACCTCTCTCACCGCCGCTCGACGAAGACTCATCAGCTCCGCTACCGCTTCCTTCGGCACTGTTAGAGGTTCCATTCTGAGTGTCTTCTTTGCGCAGCTCTTTTTCTGCATCCCCACCAATTGCCCCTCTACCGATGACACCCAGCTGAGCATTGAGCACCCTTTCGATCTCTGACATTTGTCCCTCTTCATGCTTGAGCGTATCGCCCGTCTTGAACCTCCTGACGCGATGCAGCCAACCAGGTTCGCCGCCCTCTTGCGTCTGCGTGAGCCGCATGGAAGCGTGCCTGCTCCAAGTCCTTGTAATCGTCGTCGCGTGCCTGGAAAAGTTGAAAAAGGGTATGGACAGACCGTGTACGATTATGGAGGAGAGGATAAAGAAGAGAACGATGCTTTGGCAAGTGGCGGCCAGATGATCGATGCCATTTTCCGGCGGATAGTTGACCTCTTCTGGCAGCTCTGTGCGAGCCAGCGTGGAAATGAACAGTGCTCCAGCGCCAATAGGACCAAAGTGAGCTGCGAACAAGGCTTCTCTGAAAGACTTGATATCCGGAATCCACTTCCAAAGGATGAGAATCGGCGGTATGCGTTTGAGCAGCAAGGTGAGGATGGACAGAGGAAATAGTCTTCCCAGCGTCAAGCCGATCTCGGCGTTGACCCAACTGTGGAAAGGCATAAGAGCGCCAATGTAGACGAAGGAAGCGACGTTGAAGAGCAGATCGACAATGTTGCTGAAGTTGGACTCTTCGGTTTGTCGGGTGAACCATCCATCCCAAGCGAAAGCGGTGCCGCAAGCGAAAGCGCCTAAAAGGTCGTCGCTGCCCAGCAGTACGCCCACGCCCATGCTGAGCACGGCCAAGCTGATGTACTGAGCGACAAAAGACTCTCTGTCGATGAGCTTGTGCCTCTCGCTGAAGCGCATGAACTTGCGCGCCAAGAAGCCGATCAGCGCTCCAAGCAGGGTTCCGAGAATGATTTGATACCCCAAAGCGTCGTAGAACCATAAAGCGATGGCTCGACCGGTATTGTCTCTGTGTGTGGTGAGGAAGATGGAGAGGAACAAAAATGGGAATGCTGCACCGTCGTTGCAGCCCGACTCGCAAAGGAGAATGTGTCGAATGTGAGCAGGCACGTGCTGCTCTGCCCAAGGACCCCCAATGACTGCTTGAGCCAGAATGGGATCTGTGGGAGTGACGGCTGCAGCGACTACGAGGCTGTTGAGAAAGTCTAGTCCGGGTATGAGACCCCAGATGAGCAAGCCGGTGATCATCCAGCCCCAGATCATGACTGGACCCAGCAGGATGAAGACGGATCTCCAATGCCTCAGCAAGTATTTCTTCGGCAACTCTACCCCAATAGCAAAGACCGAGAGCGCAAGCGTTACGCGAAGCACTTCCAAAGTGACTTCGTTGGTGACGTGACCACCTGGTGTGCCCATGTGATTGCCTCCCCATGCTGTTGGATCAAAGATGGTCGCGGCTACTGGTCCGATGATGATGCCGAACAAGGCTGCCAGTGGAGCTTCTCCCATGTACAGTCGTTCTTTTATGAAGAGCGAAAGCATGCCAAACTGATGCGAGGGTACGATGATTGTGCGTCAGGTTGGCATGGCATGCCCCGAACAAGATCGAGTGAGATACCAAAGCTCTTGCTGGACTGCCCCGCGCCAGCTACTCACTATGACGATGAAGCCGCCCAAGGCAGTGTAGATAATGTGTACCGCCGTTACCTCAAAGGGGCGAAAGCTGCCAGGCTCCACATTGGCAATCGCCTCCGACGCCATGTCCGTCATCTCCGATACCATCTCGACGGATATTTCTTTTTGAAGAGTGTTGGCGCTAGATGATGCGAAGTGCGAGATTCTTGTGCCGCTCCTGTTGATACCCTTCAGCGCCTACGTCTTCGCCTTGGTGTAAGTTGTCCAGTCAGCGTCGAGTCCATTCGTGATTCTGCGCTTCGCCGAAAAAGCTATGTACGGCCAGGCGGTGAGCGGGCGAATGAGCAAGAAAGGTGGAGAGTGCGCGCGCGTCGGTCGTATGCGGAGACTCTAGACGGCAATTGATCTAAAGACGAGAAGCGAACGCGAGCTGTCCGGTGCACCGGGTGCGGAAGGCCGGCGACCTTGACGTGTCCTACGTGACTTTGACGGCCAGGCAGATTCTCAAGGGTGCAAGTCGGTTGCAAGGAAGGCCAGGTATCGAGGGAAGCGCGAAGGTAGAGTGATAGCAGCGAGTCTCACTAATTGAACATCAAGTTTTGGTGTTGAGCTGATCGATCACAGTCTGGAACTTGGAGCCCGCTTATGGGCGCGAGCTGCAATATGCTTGATTCCGTTTTGGCGGTTGTGGAGGTCCTTCCTGTTGCAAGTTTGTCGGACCGAACGGCGTTGTATAGGGTAGTGGCACGTTGTGCAGTCACGAGGGCTAAACAAGCATGCCTATCAGGTGTGTATAGACGTGCGGAGCAAGCAGTGGCTGTTCTATAGAGCGCCTCTGAATCTTGAGATTCCAGCCGCAAACTCCACAATTTTGGATGTTAAAGTGAGATGGCCGCGGATAGAGAGTGCAATCAATCGGCTCGCCGTGCTCTTCCAGGTCTTTGATGGTGAAAGAGATGGCTAGGAGCAGGAGCAGCAGCTACACTCCACAAGGAGCATACGGAGTGGATTAGGAGTCGCGGGTGTGAGTGCAAGTGGGACAAATAGTCTGAGGTGTCGCCATCAGAAAAGAGGCAAATACAATCAATCCTCTTCTTGACTGGACAAGCGGAGCGGTAAGAGAAGGAATAGTCACTGCGACTGCAAGATTGGCAGGAACGGCTAACATTTGATTGAGCAGCTAAATCAACAGTCACGAATCACGAATCACGTCCCCGATCGTCTTGTCACCCGCCACGCGCGTGTTGAGAACGTGCTGCATGCCAAGCTTCCGTCCGCCAATGCATCCAGCGGCAAGCAAGCACGCAGCGCACCTGCCTGCCTGCCTCCTGTGAAGGAGAAAAGCATCTGAAATTTCACAGTCCAAGTCGACATTGGCCTGCCTGCCTGCCCCTTCCGCTCACGCCGCTGCTCGCCCGCTCCGAAGCTTATGACTCTGCCAAGGCCTTGTGCGCCCTCTCTATCCTCTTCCCTGCCATCTGTCAGCCTGGCCGTGCTGTGTAGGGTACGGTGCATGAAATGCGAGCGTGCCGCAGGTCGCATCGCGCTTCGCTCGATCTCTGCTGCCCGCCTTGACGACACCCTACGGCTTGCAACGGCAGGAGCTAGATTCGAGGTTTGCCTGCGGTCTGCAGTCTGCTGACGTGCGCGCCGCGGCATCCCGACCGGCATGAGCAGCACACGGGCAATCAGCAGCAAGAATGCATCGCGAGTGAGATCGATCACGTGGTCGACTTCGCTCGAAATTTGGTTTTTTGGGTGAGGAAGGGAATTGAGGGAGTCGAGCAAGTCGCTTGCGTGTGAGTGGAGTTGTCACTCGCGACCTGCTGGTAAAGTCGCCTCTGTCTCTCTCTTTGGCTATCCTTGCAGCCTCACACCGCTTGCTTCTCCTTACTTTCTCAAATCACAATCGAACAGGGCCAGTCATCGCTCGGCACACCGAACAGACGATCCACGAAGCAACACAGCTCTGCACACCAACTTGATCGTAGAGGGCTTGCTAAAGGATCTAGAATGTTGCGCAAGGGGACAGCTCAACTTACGAGGTCCTCGTCGTTCCAATCGTCCAAGTCCGCGTACTTCTCACATCTGGCTTCTCAATCCGCCGCGGGACCATCGTCCGGGCTGCATAACGCTGCTAGGCAAGCTACAATACAGGCCCAGGCGCCAATGCAAAGCGGCCAAAGGTGCACCCTCAAAGCAGACAGATGGTCGCACCACCCAGTCGGCTCTCTGGAGCTACTGAGATCACTTCATCTCAGCAGTCTCCCGCATGCCGAGGACACGTCTCAGCAGGACGATCATGATGCTAAAAATCATCGCACTAGGTCATACGAAGTTCGGGCGGATCGAGTGCTCCTCACCTCGGATCTGGACTACCAGTCTGCCTCCAGTTCGAGTCGACCTCACAGCCAGCTGATCCGGGCTTCCTCCGCCGAAACCTTTGATATGGAGCAAGATGGCTCAATAGAATGTGATTGGAGACCTAGCGATGTGGTGCAGAGCTTGGCGGTGCTCAAGGGTGTTGCTGATGCTTTCAGGATGGACCAAGAGGGCGCGCAGAATGCCGGTGCATTCGCAGATCTAATGTGGAAAAGGGTGAGCACGGCAAGAAGCAGCGCTAATTTCGCGGATCAGGACAACGCGGGCGGCAGGCTGAAGTCGCTTTTGATTTTTCATGCTCTTCCACAGGACTTGACGACCACACAACCTGGCCAGAGAGGTCAGGTATGGCTAGATCGCGCGTGGCCTGATGCTTTCAACGACCATGGCTCAGCTCGGAAAGCAGACGACGACGTGTGCTACATTGATATTCACGTCAAGCATCGCGACGCTACGACACGCTCGCACCGTCTTGCATCCTCTACAAGCGTGTCGTTGTCAGACGTGGCTCCTTTGATAGGTCTCGACCTCACTACGGAAGATCGAGAAAGGCTAGACGAGGAAGCCTTGCAGGGTCTGCGCGGGATTCGAGCTGCGCAGACCATCCGTCAGAGGAAGAGGAGCATACACGAGGAACCGTCTAGAGAAGAGCTGGAACAAGCAGAGAATCGTGCTCAGGACGTCTTGTCGCAGAGGGATAGAGAGAAGTGGATGTTCGGAAGAGAAAATGAGGCAGACGAAGATTCGACACCACCTCAGCACAGGACGAATATGGGTCCGCTCAACGATATGCACGGAGACCTTTTACCTGCTCAAGGTCAACATATCGTCGTTCGACTCACGCTCACGCCCTCCGAGGCAGGAGAGGCCGATTCTGACGTGGGTCCCGTGTTCAAAAGTGGTCCCAAATCAATCCACGTGCCAGCTCTGACTTCGGGCGCGGGAGGTCTGACCTTTCTCGACGCGCTGATGCGTTTCGGTAGGTCTGAGAAATTGGACGATTCGCAGAACAAAGCTGGATCGAACGGTCGAGCGAAGAGGGACATGAAGCTGGGCGGCGGATTTTCGGGAGCTTTCAAGCTTCCCGACGGGCACGTCCTTGGTAGTCCGCCGGGCGAGCGCCTTCGCAAGCTGAATCCTGGCCCGAGGACCGACAAATTTGCGATGGGCAACAGCAAGGCCGATGATCAGCATCGAGGGCGCCCTCGAGGCTCAGATCAGGATGTGTTCTGATGCTGGATCAGGACATTCCGGAAGCGGCCCACTGTGACAACAAGAGGACTCGGCAGCTGCAAATCTCTCATAGGTACGCCTGACAACGACATCCTTTTAATTTTTCAGATACAAACGTCGCGAAGTGTCAAAGTCGTGCACGTCACGATTCGAGCATTTCCTGAAAAATGTCTCTAGTGCAACTCGATGGCTTTTCATTTCGCAAGTCGCAGCGACGCATCTCTGCCGTCGCAATGCCCTGACTATCAAGAGACGGACAGACCAGACTGGGCGATGTAAGCTTCCAGAGGCTGTCTAAGCTCGGCGTTGGTTCTCGACAAGAGCTGCGGGACCTGCCAGATGGACCAGAGCAAGTATTCAGCAGACGACGCACCCAGAACAGCACAGCGCATCGCCTTGATCAACTCACCACGCCTGGAACAGCCTTCGAAGCGATCGCAATACCTCTAGATAGATACTCGACCGGCTCCGCATTCGCAAAGGAAGTCCAATCCCTATTGGGTGGGGCGCTCGAAACGATGACGCTAAAGCTAGCTTGAAAGCCCGTCTCTTCCCAATCTTGCGCAAAGATCTCTTCTGCTGCTGCTGCGCTGCTGCTGTCTCCCGTAGAAGCAATGGATCTGTCTTGCAAAACCCGAAGGATACCACTCAAAAGGTTCGGCCTAGAGAATGCGCCAAGCGCGGGAAACGACAACCACGCAAGCGTTAGCACGTTGCTCGCCATCAACCGATGTCGCACCGTACGCACCAGGCATTGGCATTAGGAGAGTGAAGGAACTCCGCGCTTTCCGTCAAAAGCCTCGAGAAGCCCACGGCCACCAAGCGCTTGGTGCGCTGCGGGATTTTGGCCAATTCGCCAACCACGATGCCGTCAACGATCTGAGGGAAAAGACTGCGCGCGACAAGAGGTTCAGGAACGTTGAGTCGTTGTGCGAAGCACTTCTACACGTATGCATTCCGCACTCACCCGGGCTGCACAGCATCGAAGGACTGGATAACGTAAGAAGGATAGCCATCCTGCTGCACGCAAGCCCACCGGGCCAAGAACTCCACAAATACTCTGCTAAACTTTTCCGTCTTGTTCGTTTGAAGTCTGTTGAGCATGAGGGTGAGCACAGCAGCTCTGTACTGGTTCATCTGTTCCTTTTGCAAATTTTCGAACAGGCTATTCAGGAGGGCGAAGCCATGCTCGTCATTGATCTTGCTGGCGATGAGCTGTTGATAAATGCCCAGCATCGCTCCAACTCGGCCTTCCGCGACGATTTGTGCTGATCCCCGATCAAGGTATGCCTGAAGCAAGCGGACTAAGGCAGGGACATTGCCTCTGGACGCCCACAGGGTGGGCGTCAGTAGAGAAGGCAGCAGTCCGGTATAGATTTCGGGTAGTGACCCATCCGTCGACTTGTGCAGCTCGAGCATCTGCGCTAGAATTTGAAAGACGTACGGTGCAAATTCGGCGACATCGCCTTGCAAGATCGTCGAGAAGGGTCGGCTCAGGGTAGATTCGAAGGTGGCGATACTGTTGGAATCTGCAGCAGCGACATACCTGATGAGGGCGGCGATGCTCTCAAAAGTGTATTGGCTGAATTTGGGGTTGCTCGGGTTTTTGCTAATCTCAGTCAAGATGCTGTTGAGAGATTCCAGGATTGGCTGATAGAAGGGTGCGAGCCTTTCCCTGCATGTCAAAATCACTCTCATGACGCACTTCATAAGGTAGTCGTTTTCCGCCATCTTCTCGGGGGTGGTCGCGCCCAAGATGTTCCTGTACAGCGCCATTAAGATGCTCTCAGCAAATGGCTGCACATCTTCCGATGAGAACAGCAGCTTGCCGGTCTCTGGCCCAGATTGTTGCTTGAGGAACAACACCCTTTCGATGGTGATGGCCGCATAAGAGCATGTGACGTAATTTTGAGACTCGAGATGCCTCACGAGCAAAGGAAGCACCGACAATAGCTGCTCCTTGGTCAATTGTTGTCTGAACGTGTGCAGATACTTGATGGCGTCCACTTGCAAGATGGGATGCACTGAGTCCGAATCGGCTTGCAAGTCGCCGAAGACATTGTCGCTGAACCATTGAACCACATTCACGAGCGCATTCATCGACGAGGCACCTTGGCTTGTTCCACCTGTGCTCGCAATGCTGCTCAAGAGGTACACAGCCGTGTCCTTTCCCCTCCATTTCTCTTGAGGAGCTGCGGCGTACTCTTGCAGATACTGGTTGATGTACCGCAAGATGATCGCAGTAATCTGCTGTGGGAACACTTCCAGAAGGGCCTTGGTAAAGGTCGTGGCGCTCTTACGCCTGGTGTCATTGTCTGAAGCAGCAAGCGAGCGAATCATGAGCCTTGCCAGCTCGAGCGGCGAACCGCGTGGCCACCTATGCCAAGACACTCACCTCCACCTTCGATCCCGACGGTCGCGAATTCCCTCCTCACCCACTCGATGGGCTCATCCTCAAACATCTCCTCGTCCTGCTCTCTCAAGCTAATGTTGGGCAAAATGATGGCCTGAATGAAAGCCTCCAACGTGGCCTCTGCCTCGAAAGTCGCTCGTTGGGATGGCATTCGCACTACTGTCGATAGGAAGGAGATCGCTCTCGTCACAAGCTGAGGGTGCGGCGAGAGGCGGCCGCATCAGTGAGTCTATCACAATTACGCGAGCTCTGGCAGAAAGCGAGCAGGCTGCGGATCACGGCCCAGTCATCGCCGAACTCACCAAATCGGATTTCTCGCCTCTTCCAGCCTGGCCAAGCATTTCCCAAACAGCTTTGACATACTGGGGAACGAAGGTCTCGAATACGTCCAGATATCTTTGCGCATACAGTTCTGCGATGGCGCAGATCTCCGCTCTGGCCTTTTGTCCCGGCGCGGGCGAAGCATCATCCGGGTCCCCTTCGAGCGGCGCTGCGAGCGCTTGATTGGTCACGTACAGACCCGAATCGACCGATGTTGGATGCAGGTACCGCAAAAGCAGAGGGAGAATAGAAGAGATGTTTTCTTCAAAGTCCGGTGGAAGATCCTGAGCTGATAGATCGTGGTAGATTTGCAACACGAGCACCAGTGTGAATCCCAATGTCGCAGCGGAACCGGCTGTCGCGCTTTGGAGCGCAGCATCTGTCCGCTGTAGCGATGATGCAGTCGTTGCAGCAGTGAAGTGAGATGCATGCCGCACATTGCATAGCCACGCCTTCACTCACCTGGAGCAGGTCCAAATAAGGTTTGGCAAACTTGGCAAGCACGAGGTTGATGTCTTCGTACAAGACGTTTGATCTGAAAGCGGCTCTCCACCTGCGAAAGATGCTGTGGCAGGTCTGGAGTACTGCAGCCAGTGCTGTCGAGTCTGGCTGAAGAGTGAGCCCGCCTACCAGCTCGTCGAGCAGAGCGGGCCACTGTTGTGGAAAGTCCCTGGCAGCAATCAGAGCGACGCACTCCGAAAGCTGTATCCTCAAGCTTGCCACCCCTGGTGCATTGGCCACATTGACATCGCTGCTCAGCTGACCCAGCAAAGGGACCAGTCTAGTTTTCAAGGCTTCCCTAGCTTCTCCCTGCACCAACTCCGGCTCCGCTAGATCTGCGTCGTCCTCCTCTGCCCAAGCTCTTCTGCAGATGTTCTTCAACTTGACGGCTGCTGCTAGACGCACTGGAGGCGTTGCACCTGGACTGGCAATCAAGTCCAGCAGCAAAGCTGGAAGGTTGGCATCCCTATTCGACTCGAGATCCGTCAGATTCTGCTCTGCTTCTCGCCGGGTGGAGGGATTCAGCGTCTGAGAAAAGAGAGCGGCAAGCTGGCCCAGGTTGCCGCTGAGTGAAGCCATCTTGAATTGTGACCGCCCTGTCTCGCACTCCGAATGGGCTGACGAGGTGATGAAAGTCGATGAGAAACTTGAGCTGGCGGGGGAGGAATGACTGGGAATGGCAGAAGCGCAGCAAGGCTCGGCCAAGGAGTCAAAGTCAAAGTGAAACTCGTGAGTAGTCGTGAGTGAGTTGGTTGAACTTCGTACGTGCCTCGTCGCGCAGGCAGCTGATGAATGCGCGTCTTGGTGAACCTCCACGCGCGAAGACACAAGCAACACCCGCGCTTCACGCGCACGCATGCACGCAACAAAGGCGTCTGGCAACACGCGCCAGTCGGCTGCTGGGCGCGACCACGTGGATATGGCCGGGACAACTGCCACACACGCCAGTGGGACGCGTTGGTTCACACGGCGAAAAAAGTTGAGAAAGAGCTGCAGCCACAAGTCACGACTTACGAGTAAGTGAGGCAGGCATGCATGGATGCACGAACCGAACAGCAGCAGAAGAAGTCAAATTGCAATTGACCTCCGGCTCCCAATTCACATTGGCGGCGACACGGATGACTCACCACTCTGTACTGCTCTACCTCGCTATACCCTCGCACTGCTCCCCTGACCATCCGTCAACACATTCCGTAGCTTTCTGACAGGGCGCAAACATTCAACATTCTCCATCCGGCTACCGAAAAGAAGGATCAGCTAGCGCCAGAGCCTCATCATGCCCGATTCATTCTTTGAGCGGAAGCGAAAGCGGCCCAGCAGCAAAGGGGAGGGGAGTGGCAGCACCGGCAGTGGCAAGCGAGCCGATGCCAGCAAGACCAAGTCGCGTTTGAACGGCAAGAAGCGGCGCAATGAGGGCTCAGCGAGCGAGTCTTCAGATGGCGGAGAAGCGGTGGGAGATGCAGAGACGATGGATCTTCGACATTCCTACACACATGCGATGGGCTCCGCATCAGAAGACGAGATGGAAGAGACACCTGCTCAAGCTCGTGTGAGGCTGGCCAAGCTCTACGTAGATGGTATGAAGAAGGATCTGGGTGGGGTTGAGACGGGCGCGGATGCGGCACAGACAGATGCGGAAAACATCTCTTCAAGATTGTTAGGCGTGGCACAGAGCAGAAGTTCGCACGTGAACATCAGGGTCGCTCAGCTCATCAAACCTCCCAGAGCGGACGACGTGCTTGGAGTCAGAGGACATCAAAAGAGCGTGACTTGTGCTGCCCTCTCACTCCGAGGCGATAGCATCTTTACGTCCAGCAAGGATGGCGTCATTTGCAGATGGGGATTGGCGGACGGCAAGCTCGTGAGCCGATCTGAGCTTCGGCCTCGGCATTCGTCGCAAGCTTCCGATGCCCGATCCTCATCGAGGAACAAAACGCACATTCAACTCTCTTCGAGGTCAGGAGCAGGACGAAAAAGGGCGAGGAAAGCCATGTCATCAGGCTCGCTGGAAGAAGCGGAAAGGAGCGCCATGCCATCCTTGGGCGGAGCTTCAACCTCCATGCTTGGAGAGAAGGAGGGTCACACTGATGAGATTTGGTCTCTCGCCTTGTCCGACGATGGCACGCTGCTGGCTTCGGGCGGGAGAGATAGGCGCGTCGGTCTGTGGGCCATTGAGCCACGCGCAGACGCTCGCGAACTGTCAGACGTCGCCTCATCTCGACAAACCTTGACAGCAGCCCCGCGCTGGGTGGCCGGCCTATCTGGTCACAAAGATAGCATTACTTCTCTTTCCTTTCGAGTCGGGTCGGGAGTGACGGAGCTCTTCTCGGCTTCGTTGGATCGGACGCTCAAGCTGTGGGATGCGGCACAGAGATCCTACATCGAGACGTTCTTTGGGCATCAAGAGTCCTGTTTGTCCGTCTCTGCATTGCGGGGAGAGCTTGCTGCGTCTGCCGGTGGCAGGGACAAGACGATCAGGTGGTGGAAGGTCAGAGATGAGAGCCAATTGGTTTTCAGAGCTGGCGCCAGGAGTAAAGTCAGAGAAGTCATCGAAGGTGGTAATTGGAGAAGGGAAGAAGAAGAGAAAACGTCAGGGGGTAGCGTGTTTGTGGAAGGAAGCGTGGATTGCGTGGCCATGGTGGACGAGCACAATTTCATCAGCGGTGGAGACAGCGGGTGAGCAGGCCCACGAAGAAGGTGCCAGATGCTGCTGACAGAGTCGCTCGCTGACGATCGTCGTTCGGGCGTGCAGTGTCATCTCCCTTTGGTCTCTAGCCCGCAAGAAGCCGACATATACCCATTTTGCGGCACACGGCTTTGACGACTTGCCATCCTTCTCGAGTGGCGATGCGGCGAGTGCTGATGGAGATGAGGATGATGCGTCAGCGGCCAGAAGCACGACGCGACAACCTAGGCCGATTACCTCAGTAGCCGCATTGCCCTATGCTGATGTCTTTGCCAGTGGTGAGCGCTACAGGAAAGGCTCGGAAGAAGGGCTGCATGCTCACACTCTGTTATCCTTCCGTCCGTGCAAAGGCTCACACGACGGAAACATTAGGCTATGGGCTTTGGATGCGTCCCTTCGCAAGTTCACGGCGCTCTTCTCCATCCCAACACTGGGCTTTGTGAACAGCCTCCAACTAGCCCGACCGCGTATCCTCCCAGAGGCGAACTCGTGGAGGCGGAGAGGTGGAGTCGGGGCTTCTTTGGAGAGCTCCTCTTTGGGCTCGGAGACGATCGATGAGGACGATGTGGCCGGAGCTTCCGCTTCGAGAAAGAGACCGCAAAGGGATATCGTCCTTGTAGCTGCATTGGGCCAAGAGCCCAAATTTGGGAGGTGGGCCAGCATCAAACGAACGTCTGCTTTAAAGCGCGCGGCAGCGCAGAATTTGGTACATGGACTCACGGAGGATGCGCAACAGCTCAATGGCACGCTCGCGGATACCTCTAATGGCTTGGACGCTGCCTCGACATCGGCAAGGGTTAGGAACGGCGCTATAGTCGTCAGGTTGCGCGTAGCAACGCCGACTGACGTGACTGCTGAATGAGGTTCCAAGGCCGCCATTAGCCAGAATGAGAGTGCAAGCCGACGAGTCTCTGCTGAGCTTTCGATGCTGTTCATCTGCACTCCAACAATCATCAATGCTGTCTGCAAAATGCCTGATTGGACATACGTCTGCTGCCTCCACCGTGGCTCTTGTGGAATCAGCGTGCGAGTGCGGTTGGATACGAGCGAGGGCGCTATCGTGAGGAGCCGTACGCGCGCACAAAGTAGCCTAGCCAGAAGCGGTCGAGTGATGAGTGAGAAGTCGGAATCAAAATGGACAGAGTTGGAAAAACTATTCTTGTCTGAAAGTTGGGCTCGAGTACTTGGTCACGTGCTCACGCCAGTGTGGAGTCGAGATCGAGCTGCATGCATGCATGGTAGCCAGGAGGTTGGCGATCAGCATCTCTTCTATCTGAGCATTCAGATGAATCGTTTGCACCTCACCCTGCATCCCACGGCGACATCGCTGCCCCTCATTCTCTATTCTGCGCTTCGCGATACCTAGCACTCGTTACTCTAGGCTTGTAGCTCGCTTCGCCGTTGAAAGAAGCATCTGCAAAAGCACGCTACGACAACGAGGGTCCGAACGTGCAACGGGGTCTGCTTCAGCCATGGCGTCTCCTGCATCCACCGAACAGCCAATTTCCGTGCTGATGGTCTGTCTAGGCAACATCTGTCGGTGAGAGATCATTTCAAGCTCAATTCTGTCTGAGCTCGGATCGCTTTGAGGGCTGACGTTCCGCGACCTCATCGATGCTCGCGCAGGAGCCCGATGGCAGAAGCGGTGTTCAAGGATGCCGTGCACAAACATCCATCGGAACAAGTTCGCAAGGCTTTTGGTCAGATCGATAGCGCTGGTACTGGAGCGTATCATGCGGGAGACGATGCGGATCCTAGGTGAGGAGCTCGGCGTCAAGACACAGAGGACAGGAGCAACGCCGTTTGTGCGAGGCATACACTCTCGCCTTCGTTTGGGAAATCGACTTCCCTTTCCCCGGAACGAACGTCGATCTGACCTTCTTCTGTCGTGCATCGTCGGCAGAACACAGGCCGAGCTGCGATCGCATGGGATCAGAAGCACCTGTCGCGCTCGAAAGGTGACACAAGCAGACTTCCAAAATTTTGATTGGATCTTTGGCATGGAGTGAGTAGGCCGATTGTAAGACCTCACCACAGTATGCGCAAATGGCAACACCTGCTGAGACAGTGACTCGTTGTCCTCTGCTGCGCTGCGAAAACAGCACTTCGAACGTCCGATCATTGCGAGCCTCTGCCCCCCGGAATTCGCGCGCGCGTATTGAAATCTTCGGAGCCTTCGATGATTCCAGACCCATCGCGGATCCTTACTATGGCGGTGACGATGGATTCAAAGAGTGCTACTTGCAATGCGTCCGGTGAGTCGTCTGTAGACTTGTGTGGCGTCGTATGTTGTGGACCCGGCCTGCAGCTGACATCCTTGGAGCCTGGCTTTCGACATAGATACTCGAATGCTTTCCTGAAGCATCTAGGATTCCCGCTAGCCGCAGAAGATCCAAATTCGGCTCTTTGATACCCGACTCGATTACAGTCGCAACATATCAGATTGAGGACCGCAACTCATCAGGTATCAATACAGCATCTTGGTGTGTATGGTCACATTGGTGCGAGGGCGTGGCAGCGCTGAGGATGTGTGTTTCCGTCAAGGCTCAGGGGAGGGGGCGTGGGGCCGCCCTCACCCCGCTCAGGAAGGTCGAGAAGCGTTGTCGCGGTCTGCATTCTGGTCGAGCTGAGGAGAAGCAGTGTACGCAGGAGGAGGGTTGCTATCTCCGTTCATCGCATCTCCTGGGAGTCTGCCTTCAGCATCGGGCGCGCCTTCTCTGCTGGGCGCTCGAACGATCCGACGAGCGTCGGCATCCAACAGCCTTTCAGCGTTGCGCTGCTCTTCGGCACGTCGTACGAAAAGAGCGAGCTGGTCGAAATCTTGATCCAGCGAACCGGGTGGCATCGCGCTTGGGTTTGCTGCATCGGTGCTGGGGTTGCTGCTCGCATTGCCGGCGACCTGAGCTCCAGTGCGGGCCGAAGAAGAGGCGCGTACTGCTGCCGCTGCTGCTTCTCTGGGTGTCCCATACAGAATCATTCCCCCGCTTCTCCAATCATTCGTCCTCGTTGGAAGAGGAGCGGTTGGAGCAGCGGTGGCTGGAGGTCCCCTTGCCAATCCTTGACTGTGCAGAGGCGAAGGTCTCGGATCCAGCGTCACGGGCGTCTCGTGCCAAACGGTCGGAGTAGTTCTGAAGCGATCGACAGCCGACTGCTTCTCCAAATCTTTTCTCGACAATTCCTCAAGAGTTTGACGATTCTTGATGTTATTTCTGATGCGGACGATGATGCAGAGCAAGATGGCGAATCCGATCGCCGAGCCAACGGCGATGATCGCTTTGAAACCTGGTCTCAGCTCTGAGCCACCGCTGTCGCCATCGTCATCCTTTTCAGCTGCGGCGCCAAGGCCGCGACAGTAGAAGAAGCCCGTGTCCACGGCTGAGATTCTCTGCTGCGTGTTGGGATAGTAAGCAAGCTGCGTATTATTGACGTCAAGCAGGTCCAGTTGCAACTGAGCCTGTGGGCAGGGTGCGTACTCCGTCAGCGATCGGGGATCCTACAAGAAGCTCGGAAGAGAGGACGGTCTTTGCTTCAAAGACTCACGGTCAAGTAACCTTGCCCTCCAGGTACTCGCCATCCAGTCGAGTTCCAATATGGTGTTAAATTGAAACGAAGAAGCTGGACTAGGGTATTGTCGGAGCTGATGCGAGGCACAAGCTCGCCGGTTGTGCGTGCCCACGCAGGCGTTGGGAAGGTGGACCTGTTGAGGTTAAGCGTTTGATCTGCTGATGGCTGAGGAGGCCATGTGAAGTTGCGCTCCACGAGAATCGGACCTGCCAACGATGGCGCGCCGGTTCAAAAGTCAGCGCATCGCGGGACGTATCACATCGACCAGGCAAGCGACTCACCTCCTGCCCACCTCTTGTCCGTGATCTGCAGACGAAAACCGCTAGTAGTGTTGAGCTCGACTGGATTGGCATCGATGTAGGAGTACACTTCTCTGCAGGACGATAGATCCTGTTGGAAAGAGACGCCTCGAACGGGCGTGAGTGACGCAAAGAGGACAATGAGAGCAGCTAGGTTGGTCAGCTGCTTCATCTTGGTCGTTGCGTGGATGGTCACGGGGTCGTCCGTGGTCAATTGGAGGCGGGCTTGCAAAGTAAAGAGAAGATGCGAGGTAGATGGCGATATTGCTTCTTGTGATGGTAGCCCGTACTGACCAGACTGTTGCGGATCACTGAGTGTTTGTGTTGGACCAGTGTGGCTCAAATGAGCGGTGATCGAGGGATCCGGATTCTTATACCTTCCCCACCATCACCGTCGAGGGATGGTCGGGATATACAGGCAGCGGGGGAAGGCTCGGGCAAGAGTTCCTCCGAGGTACCGGGCGGGGCTAAGATGCTTAGCGCTCACTGCTACACAGCCTTGCGCTTGCAGCACTGACAGCAAAGCGTCAGGCACAGATGGACCCATGCATCGACGAGGTGTGAACTTTTGTGGTGAGTTGTAGCTGAGCATGCACGGTCCACAGCGCGATGTGCCGAATGAGCAGTATGAAAACATGCCATCTGGTCAGATCCATCGAGTCATCTCCCGATGAAGTCTTGCCATTCCCAGAGGCCCCACAAAGGAGCAGCAAGCCGTCACGCTCATCGCACGCGGAGTCGACACTCACGACTTGCCGTTTCGTGCTTGTTTTGGATCAACTCCGACGCTTGCTCACGCAATGGGTGCGTGCTACAGTCACAAGTCTAGGCAGGATAGGCGCTCAAAAGGACTCCTCACCTAGTGACTTCCCGCTGCGCAAGTCCTGCACCTATTGCGCCTGCTATTGTTGCCTGTCACCACGCCCACCACTCGTGGGTCACATAGTCGTGACTTGCATATCGAAGCGTCGAAAAGGGAGCTAACGCAACACAGCCCCTCCTTGCCTCATCCCACAGAACGTAGCATCCGACGCTTCGGAGAAAAAAGTCGACGCGCTATACACCAGAGCATGATGATCATCATGGTGCACCACGATCACCGGTTTCACACTCTGACTGAACCCTCACGCTTCATTTCAACCAGACGTTCATCTAGAGGGCTCACATCCCTGCGCCCTCGATCGGCGTGTGCACAGCTTGCTTTTGGAAAGGCCTGAACAGCAATTGCTAAGTCGTTGGGCCTAAGCAAGGGGCGGTCGTGGTCTGTGATAGGGCGGATGGGCAAAGACGCAAATGACGTCCTTGAGACGCCTAGCGCCTCACGTTGCATGCGCGTTCCTGCATCGATGTACCGCAGGATACCCGATACTCACGACTTGCCAAGCCCGGCTTCGCCCGCACCTGCACTGGCTTGGCCGATTGGCCGTCGGCTGATGCGGACCAATTCATTCGTACGAGAAAGGGCTTGAAGCACGGTCACGTGTTGAGAGATCTCGATTTTTGTTCGAGGCTTCAGAAATCAAAATCTTGAATCTTGATTGCGACACCGCCATTTGAGGGCAGATCTGCGGATTCTCTTCGCGACCAGCATGACGCCTCAAGATAAGACTCTAAGCTATCTCCGATACTAGCGACACTCAATTGAGCAGCATCAGCGGCTAGACTAGCGATACTTGTGATCGTGCCCTCCGGACGTCCTCTCTTTCCCCCGCATCACCACACACGCTTCTCTGCAGCAAAAATCGATTCAAGATGCCCACAGCTACAGCATCCACTTCTAGCGCCTCGACACGCCATCTACGTTTTCGCGGCCACACCAACTTTCGTCAGCGTCTGATTCTATCATGCTTGACCGGTCGACCGGTGCGCATAGACGGTATCCGTCCCGACGACACCGAGCCAGGCATCCAAGATTTCGAAGCTGGATTCTTGAGGCTGATAGAAAAGATGACGAACGGAACAGTGGTGGAGATCGGTTACACCGGTACTTCTGTCTCTCTTCGACCTGGCACCATTTCGGGAGGAGATGTGACGCATGATTGTGGGGTTTCCAGAAGTGTGGGCTACTACTTGGAATGGATCGCTGTGCTCGCGCCCTTTGCTAAAAAGGAGGTGCGCTTGACGCTGAAGGGCATCACCACGGGAACAGGAGACGCAGGTGTGCGTGCGGTCGCACAATAAGCTCAGCGCAGTTAGTCAGCCATCGCATGCATCACCCCAGGCTAATCATACCCTTTCGCTCCCGCAGGTCGACATTCTACGCACAGTCACTCTACCGTTGCTCTCCCAATTCTTGCCGGAAGGTACAGCATTCGCGTCGCCCTTGGAGCTGCGCGTAATTTCGAGAGGAATGGCCCCGGGTGGAGGGGGTGCCGTACAATTCAGATCGCCGCTCTTGCCAACTACGAGCGGACTGAGAGCGCTGAACTTCAACGCTACTGGGAGAGTCAGGCGGATACGCGGCGTAGCTAGCGCGGTGCGAGTCAGCCCAAACATGGCCAGCAGGCTGGTGGATAGCTCAAGAGGTGTGCTGGGCAGATATATTCCTGATCTGTACATCTTTGCAGATGTATTTAGGGGAGAGGAGGCTGGACGGTGAGTGACGGCTGCACATGAAGCTGCTTCGCATACAGCGTAGCATGTACGCGCACTTACATCAACCGCGTCCTCCGCATCCCGTGCAGCTCGCCGGGCTTTGCACTGTCACTGGTATCGACGTCCACGACGGGTGCGCTTCAATGTGCAGAAGTTTTGTCGACGCCAGGCACGCCACCCGAAGACGTGGCTGAGAAAGCCTCTCGCAGTCTCTTGAGCGAGATAGCATCCGGCGGCTGCGTGGGCCGACAGCACCAAGCCCACGCTTTGCTGCTCATGGCTTGCGGTCCCGAAGACGTGTCCAAAATCAGGTTGGGCGCTCTCACACCCACAGCTATACAGATGTTGAGGGACATCAAGGAATTCACAAGCGTCGTCTTCAAAATTGCACACGCGGAACTTGCTGGTGGATCTGCTGTGGGGCGGCCAAGCAAGGCGCAGGGTGAGACAGGGTCAGACAGCGAAGAGGAGGAAGAGCTGGAGGAAGAAGACATTGAGACTGCACGGATACAGCCTCAAGAGCTGATTCTGACTTGCGTGGGTGTGGGCATTCGCGGAGCACGCAAAGCAGCTTAGGACGAGCGTGACCCACCTGCGAATCATATATCACGTTCAACAAATCCCGCGTCACTCTCGTGAGACCTTCAGCTTCTGCAGCTTCAAAGTCACAGACACATGGCACTGATGTAGTAGAGATGATGGAGACAGCACATGCGCGAATTTGAACACTCTGGTATAGACACGTCAATACACTAGAAGCGCGGCGCGACATTATGGGATAGATGCGCGACCTCGATGTTCGGTGACTGCATCGAAGAAGTCGCAACGTGCAGTACACTACCAGCCCTTGTGATGAAACGAGCCCCATTCGCTTGCTGATCTCCTATCAGGGTCGTAGCCGCCCCCAGGTCTAGGCAAAGGTCCATCGGTCGGGGAACCGTCAGAGTCCGATTCTTCTCGTGCATTTGACCCCGAACGACCTTGATTCGAAGCCGCCTGTGCAACAGAGGCACCTCCACGAGTCATGTTCAGATTGCCCGCTGCCAATCGTTGTTGTCGCAATTGTTCCTGCTGCACGAGGCCCGAATGATCCGAGCGACTTCGCGTTGCACCGGGTGGAGCTGCCGAGGTGAGAGGCCTCAACGGTCCTCCGCCTAGGACAGTGAAGTTGCGATTGTGTGCTGGGGGCGCAGATGGAGGCGGTCTGGAGTCCGAGTCTCTTTGCCCTTCTTGCTGCTCTCTTGCTCTATCCTGCCGTTTCCTCGCTCGCTCACGCTCCTGCTGTTGAGCAGGTGTCTCGCGAGGAGGCAGGGGCGCCAGCGGAGCTCCGATGCCCAGCATCCTGTTTCTACTCTGCCTTTCCCAGAGTAAATTTTGCCTAATCGACTCTGACAATTCGTCTCGCAGCATGTTCCTCCTCGTTGTGCGAGGCGTTTGAGGAAGAGCGCCCGAGGGTAGAGCTACTGGAAGCGATGCTCGGTGCATGGGCACCGCGCCGGTACTAGTTGGTCGACTTGGCCCTTGTTCCGAGAGTTGTTGCCAGCCCGCACCAGACTGTGCTTGCGCTCGTTGGCGCGCATGGAGATCCGTGCTCGATCCGGTGGGTGTCTCATCGCTCTCCTGTTGCACAACAATCTGTGCGGCTAGCTCTGCGGCTTGGGTGCGCGGGCTGGGCGGACCTCGAGGGCCAGCCTTGCTGTAGGTGTAATCCGTGCTCTCTCTTTCCCGGCTCTGGCTCCTGTCCTTGCGTCTCAGAGAAGCGGCACTATGCGGTCTCTTCGTAGCGGAGCCAAGCTGGCTCAGTCGCTGCAATGCCGCGGTGCTGGCCGAAGGCCGCAGCGGCCCGCTCTCGGGACTAGCTGCAGCAGCTGCGCTGCTGCCAGCAGAGCTCCCGAGCGTGCCGACGTCATTCCTCGTTGAGCCACTGCGAGCTGATGCAGAAGAGCCAGGTCGCTCGCGTGGTAAGTCGTCAAATTCGGCTTGCATTGGGGTCATGCTGCTGATGGAGGTGGACGACCGAGATGCAGTCATGTTGAGCACTGGCAGAGCTACTGCACTCTTGCTAGTCCGCAGACCGTTGTCGCCGACAGGATGCGCTGTTGGGCGTTGTCGCGGCAGAAGACCACCCTGACCCATGGGCTGCTTCGATCCTCGCGGAGCCTGTGATGTCTCTTGAGAGCGCTCCTGCTGCTGATTGGGGTTGATCTGAGATAGAGCTAGGCCTGATCCAAGGGGACGATGGCGCAAATCTGCTGCTGAGGCGTGCGGGCGACCTTTCAGCTGCCCAGGCGGAGGGTGGGGCGCTGCTTCGGGATGGAAGATGGAGCTCAGTAGGCCTCGCACCGGCGGAGATTCGGCAGCAAAAGCCGCATGATCGCCAGCTTTGTCTCCACCCTGTGCGCCTTGCCTCCCATCGCCTGCCTCGTCAGCATGGCGCAAATCGGCCGCAGATTGAGACCGCACAGGAATCTTCTGAAACATGGCTGCTTGCCGCTGCTCTTCTTGCCGCTTCAAAGCCGCCAACCGCTCCTTCCGCTCCTGGGCGCTATCCACAGTAGAGTCGGATGACCAGTCACCATCATCATCGTCTTCATCTTCTCCCACGACTGGTGCCTCAGTTGCACTGATGGGCCCAAGCGCTTGTTGAACAGTCTTGTCATCTTGCGTCGCACCTCCACTGTCAGTCTTTACAGGTCTTTCATCTACCTCCCACCCGTCCTCTTCGTCCGAATCATCGTCGCCCATTGTAAAGGTAACAGGCTTTCCTTTTTGCGCTTTTGGTGCTACCGCGACTACTTCGTTGGCAGAGGCTCGTGGAGCTTCAGTAGTCGAGGGTGGTACTGCGCTTGTGCTTGGGGCTGCATCGCCCTTGCGATCCGCAGATGCATCTTTAGCACGCCCTTGCGCTTTTGAAGACGGCTGATATGGCTTGTGTCCACTTGCTGATCGTCCATGAGCCCGGCCACGTAGCGCTGCAGAGCTGTGGTGCCCCGGCCCCCGATGAAGCGCTATTCCTGAGCGGTTGCGTTGGTGGTGTGTGCCAGTAGCATGAAGCGCGTGCCGGGTGCTTGAGGTGGTGCTCTGCTTCCCGTTACTTGGTGCAGGCGAAGACGCTCTGGAGCTCTTGGCTTCATCACCATTGCCAACATCGTTGCTGCGATCTTGTACGCTCAATCCACGGTCCACGTCTGCGCGGACTGCCGCAACGGCGCGCTGCGAGTCCTCGAGAAGTGCCGGTTGACGTGGTGCAACCGGGGTTGCAGGGCTCGGTACTCGAGTGCTGCTTTCGCTCATATCCTCAAAGCCGTCCTCTGCTCTGGACGTAGAGCCTGAAGGCGCTGCCGATCTTGCATCCGGCATGACTACGTCGTCTTCAAAGCTCGAAGGCTGAACAAAGAATTTCTTCCTCTTTTGTTCGACAGTGCTGTCTTGCTGGTCAGGCTGCTTCCCTGAACTACTTTGCACCACAGGTGCAGGATCTTTCGAGACGTTTTGGCCAGCTCCTGAATCGGCAGAGCCGCGCTCATTGGGGGCAGTTGGAAATTTGGTTCCAATTGATGTGGACTCACGAGAGCTCGTATTTCCTTGTCCAGCTACGTCTGGAAGCTCACTAGGTCTAAGCCTCGGTGACAGAGACTTGCGAAGTTCTCTGTAGGCGCGAGCCGCCGCCGTCGTCGGAGGTCGGCGTTTATGAGCAGAAGTACTAGCCGTAGACGGACCAGCTTCTGACGCCCGATCTCGCGAAGAAGAACGAGACGGCCCGATCGCTGAACCTTGATTTGGCACTGCCATGTCGGGCTTGATTGGCGGTCTTTCGTCCCTGAACGCGCCCGCACTTTCTCGCCGCTTCGACTCTGCGCCCTCATTTGCTCCAGCGTCCGCCGGCGCAGACTTGGTGCTCGCCACTGATGGCGTGGCTGTTCGCTCATAGTCGCTGGCTCGAGACTGGGTCTCCTTTCTCTGTCCTGCATCGGCGCTGAGGGCGCGACCCAAAGCAGGACGGAGTTGCGAGCTATCGGAGAAAAGTGCCCTCCCAGGGATGAGATTGCTGATCTCGTCCCGAGCCAGACCAGCAACGGCAGCCGTGAAGCTAAGAGGTCGTCGCTGACGACTGTATTGGGAGCTTTCTGTAGCAGCACAGGAAGTCTCGCTGGAGATTGAGTGACGAGAAGCTTCGATGTGATGTGGAGGCACCTCTCGAGGTTTGTCGGAGCCTGACGACGACGGCCTTCTTGACAAGATTGGCTCCAGCGTCGTTCGGCCTCTTGTACTCAGAGGTTGCTCGCCATTCGCCAGAGGTCCGCGTACAGCAGCCCTCAAGGTGGGAAATCGTGCAGACGAAGCTCCTAAACGAGAAGCGCTGATTGTCGGTGGGGTTGCTTTAGGGGAATCGATGCTCTCTGTCTCGCTGCTCCACTCTCCTTCTTCCTCTTCATCCACCGCGGCTTCGGAGCTGCGTGACGTTGCAGCCGGACTCTTACTAGTTGATTCTGCACTTGCTCTCGGTGATGATGTTTCTGTCAGCGAGGCAATGTCTGTATGCAGTAGATCGAGAGGTTCGGGCACCAGCTGAGCTTCACGGAACCAGAGCCGCCAACTCAGGTTTTCCAGCCTGCGACCGCTTTCGAGGGATGGTGCGCACTTTGTGAACACTTCGAGCAAGTTAGATGGTTAGCAAGGGGGCAGGAGGGGATGCAGGCGCAGGCGTAGCACAGGGCGGGCATAGAAAGTCATGACTCACAGCTCCATAAACTGGCCAATTGGTGTAATGTGAGGTCGTCGAGCTTGCTGATCGAAGAGGTGGACAAGCTCAGCACTGGGGCTGGCAAAGTGTTGGACAGCATGACGTTGCTGGTGTTTGTGAGACCCTCTGTGTCTGCTACGCCGAGGAGGCGATTTTGCTACCTTTGTCGTTGATTTGATGCCGCTGTACTAGTCATGTCGAAGTCTTGCCGGGTCGCTTCATCAAAAGAGCGATGGCTCTGCGAGCTAGACTTGAAAATAGGGAAGAATGGTGGTGGTGCAGATCTTAATGGAAGGGCAAATTGAAAGCTTGCATCTACGAAGGGTCGGGATCGAGTTGCTATCACGCAAGATGGACACCAGATACCCTCTAGCTGCCTTGCGTGCGGTGCTGAGACTTTTAAGAAGCGTGAATCAGTGCACAAATTGGCGTGTTGGGGCTGATGAAGACGCAGTGTGTGAGTAGAATCAGTCTTGAGCAGATGCCGAAGTGGAAGTGGAAGTGGAAGTGGAAGTGGAAGTGGATGTGGATCAGTCGCCGTGAATGCGGGGCAATGCTCACCCTCGTTCGACCGCACGACGAGTCTCAATCAAGTCGAGAGAGGGCGCCGCGACTCCTGCTGATGCGCTCGCTGCTGCATGCCCGGCAGGCTTGTGGCTGAGGATGATCTTGACCGAGAAGGGCCCTGCCGCGCTTGACTGCGCAGCTTTTTCAGACGCGCGGGGTCACCAGGAAGGAGGTGCCTGATGCTGCCTGCCTGCCTCACCGTGTAGGCTGCGTCGCTGCTGCTGCTGCTGCTGCTCTTGGCCACTTCTGCTACTTTACGGTACGGTACCGGCAGATCGTCACGCAAACACACACGACTCTCATCAAGCTGCACCCTTGAGCGAGGCCATGCACAGTCAAGTACCGGTGCTGGGTACGTATACCTACAGCATGGGATCAATAAGGCAAGTCACCGCCTTGTTGAATCACAGACCGGGTTGTCTCCTGCGGAGCGCATCTCTCGATCATCATCGCGGCACGCAAATTCACTGATTGAGTCAACATGTTTCCCTCGCTTCAGCACCTTGTGTCCGACGCCGCTGTCAGAAATATAAGCTCTGTGCGTCGCGGGAAGGGGCTCGAGCGTGAGCTTCGTGTTGCATGTGGAGCTTCGCGCTGGTCCTTCATGTTCATATCCTATATAGCGAGTGTTACAGAAGTCACATGCCATGCACGCAATTAAGCAGCAGACTGGGACGCGGTGCGATGTTGATGTGTATTGCATGCCTATGTAGCTTTACAAGTTGTATGAGCACATGAAACACAGCTAGGTTTCGACAATCACAATTCCGGACCAGTCGTGCGTTGAGTACGTGGTTCAATCAATCACGAATGTGAGTCAGAATGAACCCCACACCGCGTTGTTTTTTTAGCCGGAAACGGGAGCGCCCACGGCCGCCGTCTTTCACCTCCCCATGCACCCAAAATCAGCCGCCGCGTACCTCAGCAATCACGAATGCTGATGCTTCTGCTGCTGCCCAGGCCCGTCTCCCGCACTGTTTCAAACCTCTCTCGTGCGAGACGTGTGCGCGCCACGGCAGCAGGGTGCTCGGGCGCCTGATATACACGCGCATTTCATGGAGCACGAAATTTGGATCGTGCGAATAAGCGTGCGCGCGTGCGCGCGTGCCGCGCCCTATGTAACAAGCTCGATCAGCATGCAGCAGCAGGTCGTTAGTCTGCCGCGGCGCCCGGAGATCTAATCAGCAGCAGCAGCAGCAAAGCAAAGCAAATAAGCAAGCATGCAGCCGCGCTCATCAGACTTTGCTCTTCCCCTTTCCGGGTGCTGAATCGTATCACCTCTGCGCACTCGCAACTGTCATCCGTATACCTTTGCTGTGCCTCCTGACATCCTCATGGCGTGCATGCACGGCTCATTCGTGATTGGGCTTCTCGCGCCCATCGATCCACGATTCGACTGAAAGAGGTTCGGCACACACCAACACCCACACCCACACCACTCGTCGCTCCACATCCGCTTCTTGGGCAATCGTCTCTGACCGCCCCCAGAGCAATCGCTCTACACATCGCAACAGCTCAAGCACACCTTCCACCGACATTCCGCATTCGGTCCACAATCGCAGCTGACCTGCCATCATCATGTCGACAGAAAAGGGAGACAAGAGTGAGTGAAAGGGTTTCCGAGCTCGAAATTGAACGCGACCTGAAGCCGCTTCTCACGCTTGGGCCGACGACCACTTTCAATGACTGGCATAGGCTCCGAGCCCGTGCTAGATTTCAGCCAATTCCCTGCCAAGGCCTTGCATTCTTACATCGTGCATCACGGTCTGGGAAAAGGCTATCCTCCTATCCCGGACCGTCCAGAAGCGGAAGAGGAGGAGGAGGAGGAGGAGGAGGAGGAAGAAGACGGAGAGGAAGGTGACGAAGTGGTGGGCTCAGAGGAACAGGGAGAGCTCTCGACTGGTCCCAGCACTTCCAGAGCGGGTCGAGCATCAGTGAAGAGGAGGAGATCGCGCAGTCCTGCAGAGCATCCCAGCTCATCCAAGCGCAGCCGTTTGAGAGCAAGAAGTCCGCCTGGTCAAGCAAATGCCAAGAAGGGCTCAGGTGTCGATGCCGCGTTGGGCGCTGGCAGCGGCACGGGTGCAAATGATGAAGATGCGGAAGATATCGAGGCCCCTGCGCACTTTGCGGACTCTGATGCCGCGGCTACACATCTAGGGGCAGTGGCAGGAAGACACTTTCAATCTTTGCCAGCTCCCAAGGAGGGAGAGGTGGTGGTCAACTTCCTGTACAGGTGCAGAGTTGGAAGTGAGTTGCGAATGGCACCTGCGCCAGCTTCCGCGCATTTCCTGTCCGCTGAGGCCGCTAAATCTCATCACGCTGTGCAATTTGGGGAGCAGACAAGACGCTCAGGGTTGCAGCAAATTGACATAGCAGCAGGTCCAAGCGATTTCGACATCTCTCTTTTCCTTCGGGTCGGCGATCTTCACATTGTATTGTACATCTTGCAAGCGATTCGGTCAGTACTACCAAGGCGTGAGCAAGACTAGGTAGACGATTAGCGGCTCTCGTCTGCGATCGAGACGGAGCGCGATCCGTCTTGGCCATCAGCATCAATGGCACAGCAGAATGCGCCTGCTGTGGCGTCGGCCAAGAGTAGGTTAGCACCATCAGGCGACCAGCGAAGCACGTGTGCTGCGAATCCGTCTTCGAGGTACAAGCGAAGGATTCGAGGAAACGTCAAGACCTGGGCGTTCGCCTTTGCGCTGACCTCGATGAGCTCGCGCTCTGAACTCACCAATGGGAATCGGAATGGCTTCAGCATTCTGACTCTTTTCGGGGTTTCTTGACCATTGATAGATGGCGCTTGTCCCGCAGACGAGGCCAAGTGTAGCTCCTGTCGCAGCGATGGCAGAGTCTTCTCTAGTGCCCGCTGGTTGCCAGCACGCGCGAGTGACTGGGGCAGCGAGGAGAAGCATAGCCAGCAAAATTGGTGCAGAGGCGCTTTGTGGCTCCACCAGCCAGATGTAAATGGTTCCCGGCACATTCTCTGCGCGGTGAGTCGAAGACAGTGGCGGTGGGCTCAGTGCGGAAGGGAGAAAAAGCGGCAGCCTCATCCCTTACCATTGCGGGATGCGATCAAAGAGCCGTCAGGCGACCAGGATAGCCAGGAGACGCCGCTCTTTGGAAAGGGCTTGGTGTGATCGACGCGCACTGCGGGGGGCGCCACGGGCAGGGTATTTTGCTCCACTATGGCATGGCGGTCGTCAGCCTGTGACTTGTCAACAAGGAAGCTGCCTCGACGCGCTCAACATCATCCACGCACATGTGATGATGCCACGGCCTCCCGTTTCTTCAATCCACCGATGCGGCTCTCGCCACGCGATCTGGTGCGGTCGCATATCGATCAGCCCTTTGTCAATGTATGCCCAGATTTACCAGACGAGGAGATTGGCAACTCACGAGCTGTTCTGACGTGCCGTTGCTTTTGCTAGATGCGCCGTACGATTTTTTTGAGTGGTCCAGCACAAAAAGCTGCTGTCCGTCGGTCGCGTCTAGGATCCAAAGCTAGCTCGAGTGAAGAAGTGATCAGCATGGAGCATGTATCTACCTCTGAAACCCAAACACACCTTTTCGTCTGCACCTCCAACAGCAAGGTACTTGCCACTCGGTGCGAATTCCACGCAGCGTATGCCTAGCCCGCCGCCGGCAATGCTGCGATTGTCCGAAAGGTGCTCCTGCGCCTTGCGATTTCTGAGCGAAGAGCTCGGACCCAGACTCCCCTGTTGGGTACTCGCAAGAGATGTTCCATTGTTGGCGCGAGAGCTGGTCGGATACACCGTGGTCGGCTCTTCGGCACCAGCTTCTATCGCAAAGGTTGCTCTGAGTTGTCCAGCGATCGTGTAAAGTTGAAGCTTGTACTACAAAGGCAAGGCAGCGGGAGGAGGCGTCACCATGTGAGGGCAGGACCGGTCACGTCGCAACATCTGCGGGCGCACCTCCAGCAGAGATTCCCAAACAGCGATGTGCAAACCTGTCGGCGACCACGCCAAGCCCGCGGCGTCATTGGTTGCGATGAGAAAGCTCTGCGAAGAGCACATGCAATGGTCAACAAGGGACGCATGTCAAGTCCAACGGTGAAACTGCTTACCTTCCAGAGTCTCCAACCTTGCCCATCCCCATCTGGATCGGCCAATTCCAGATGCCGTTCTCTCTTGGCATTGCCATGCGAGCCTTGGACGAAAAGCGACACAGCCTCTTTACTGTCGTGCCTTTGCAGCAGCGCGAAGATGTTGGACTGAGCGTTCGAATACGCTGTCACGCAAGGAGACATGTGTGTGTCAATATCACGGTGTCCAAGCACACCAAACGTGAAGCATGCCCACCTCTAGCAGTCTTTGGCGAGTCGATCAGAGTAGGTGTTTCGCTTGCCAGTTGCCATGCCGTCACGCGCATCTGAGAGGAAGTGGCACAGTGATGTAAGCGTTTTCAGAACGGGTTCGGGAACAGTCGAGACAGCGTGAAGCTCTTGCGCTCACATCGTTCTCGCTGAAGCACAGGACGGTGTGAGGTCCATCGTTGGGAGCCCACTGAGCGTGAACCAATCCTTCAGCGCCAGCCTGTAGCCTAGCGATCCATCCTTCGCCTGCATCTTCGCCGTGTCGCGCCTCCCTCTTGGGATCGAGGCTGAGCACAAAGACGGTAGCATCTTCGAGGGCCGTCACCAGCAGAAAGGCTCCGTCTCCTGACCATTGTAGGGAATGCAGCGTCAAGGGTAGGTCCCACGATCTGACGGGTGTCAAGCTTAGAGCTGAGCGTACCACCACTGTTCGCGAGGGATTTCCAACCAACGATGCGAGGAAAGTGGAGCCAGGAGAGAAACGAAGGGAGGAGGTGGATGCATGGGCATAAGATGCAGTGAAGTCCATCTCGAAGAGGCGCAGATCTGCGCCAAGTCTTTGGTCCGTGATGAAGGAGCTCGACTTGCGCGCACTTGATCCAGTCCTGTTGCGAAGGCCTTGCGCCGATCGGAAGCTTGAATGGCTCTTGGTCTAGCAAGTCTCTTTCTTGTCCAAGGCTCTCCTCAGCATGTCTTCCGAGCCTCGGCTTTTGAGCCCAATCGCAACATCAAACTTGTACGCGCGATGACGCTTGAACACGTAACAGTCACGAGCGACCGGCTTCAATTCAAGATTCAGGTTACCTCGAACGAATCACTTTGTGATTTAAGAGGTCACTTCTCGAAGACGTGCGTGCAATTCTGAACAATCAGCGAAGAATCACAATGCGGCAAGGCGGTGCATGCACCCAGCATGCACGCGTCGTGTTGCTTGCGCGTCGCGCCTACACGAGTCGCCCCCGCACCACGTGACCACGCCTGAACTTGCGTATAAGAAGCCTCGATCCACGTGATCGTTTCGATCCTCATCGGCTTCGCCATAGACGTCCTCATACCTGTCTCTGAATCCTTGGCTTGACGTGCTTGACTGCTTGCGTCCATCTCTTCCGAGCCATACGGCCGGCGGTCGAGGGTCTAAAGAGGAGCCTGGGTGAGTTAGCAATTAAGCTCTTGATGATTCCTCGTTCAGATTGAGATGGTGCTGCTTGGCTTAGCCGGCTTCCGGCCTTCGATCAAGCCGAACGCCTGTCCTACAACATCAGCAGGTGCTGCTGGGCGGCGTGTGTATACTGCAGGCAGGCAGCCAGGCGCGCGGCTTTTCTTATTCAAATACCAGCACGCGCGGGCTTCTGATGCTTGCGCGCGCATCCGGCTCCGGCAAAGCAAGATCGAATTTCATCAATTAATCTGCGAATCAAATCAAGCGGCTCGGGACAGGTCTCGCTTTGCCAGCAGTCTGAGTCCTGCGCGCGTGCACGGATGCGCGGGGGGGAGGGCCGCGCTGCTGCGATGCGGATCTTGCGCTCGCTTCCCCGCATTCGTGATTCAGCAACGGAACCGCTGCTGGCCACGGCAGTCGTGCGTTCAATTCACGATTTCTGCATGGATGCTGACCCCTCCCTCACGCCTGAATCCGCTCGTGCAAGTCATGAGTGACTGATTGATTGTGCACGGCTTCGGTCGCAGCTCAACGCGCCGTACAGTCTGTTGGGATAGGAAGCTTGTGGACCGGGATATGTCAGCTGAATCCGGCTGTCCGACGCAATCGTGAATGGGAATAGACTTTTCGACCTTGTGTGGTCAAGCGAGCGGCTGTTGAACGGGTAGTGGGATCGTAATCGCTGCGCGGTTGTGTACTGTATGTATGCACAGGTGGAGGAGACCGCCTGTCTTGCACGGGCAATCTACTTTGCCGAGGCACCGGTCCGAGTTGCTCGATGAAGCGACCAAGGGGAATGCACTAGTGCCTCATGCAGCTTTCGCGATGCAGCAGAGTCCAGCCATGATATAAAATCTGATGCGCTCAAGCTAGGCAATATCTTTCATCTCGCCACCACATCCTCTGCCATCCTCACACTTCCGAACCACGCACACACGCACCGCACACACACCACACACTTGGCCAAACATGCCGTACACTCCTCACAAAGCTTACGTCGTAGGCGTCGGCCTTACCAAATTTGACAAGCCCCGCGGCGAGCGTGATTACCCCGAGCTCGGTCTGGAAGCCACGGTCAAGGTGAGTAGCGATGCTCAGCATGCCTACTCTTGCACTCGCGTGACTGTCTTCGCATTGCCAGTCACAATCGAGCTGACCCGACATCACCTCTACAGGCACTCATCGATGCCGGCATCACTTACGATGATGTCGAGACTGCCGCTGTGGGGTACTGCTGTGAGTCTAATGACGGGTCCCTTGCAGCGTCCATACTGTACGCTGATTGCGACCACTCCCTTCCTACCAGACGGTGACTCGACTTGCGGACAGCGCGCCCTGTATCAACTTGGTATGACCGGCATTCCCATCGTCAACGTCAACAACAACTGCTCCACTGGCTCTTCTGCCTTTGTCCTTGCTGCCAACAGCATCATGGCAGGTCAAGCCGACTGCGCACTGGCACTCGGTTTCGAGAAGATGGCACCAGGCTCTCTCGGATCCGCATGGAACGATCGAGCGCCTCCTATGGAGGGCACCATGTCTCAGCTGTTTGAAATCGAAGCCGAAAAGGAGTACAAGACGGATGACTTTGGACCTTTTGCTGCTCGCATCTTCGGAGCTGCTGGTCAAGAGTATGTGGAAAAGTACGGCGCCACTTGGGATCACATCGCTGCAATCGCTGCCAAGAACCACAAGCACAGCGTCAAGAACCCCTATGCGCAGTTTAGGGTCTCTCCGAGCCCACAAGAGGTAGCCAAGGCCCGCAAGATCACGCGCGAGGTGACATTGCCCATGTGCTCCCCCACCTCTGATGGAGGCGCCGCTGCAATCGTCGTGAGCGAGGACTTTATCAAGAAGCACAATCTCCAAGACCGAGCAATCGAGATCGCCGGTCTGGGAGTGTCCACCGACTCTCCAAGACTCTACGAGGATCGCTCTAGAATCGAACTTGCCGGTGCCGACATGAGCCGGCGTGCGGCAACGATTGCTTACAAGCAAGCCGGTCTGACCGCCAAGGACATTCAGGTCTTGGAGCTGCACGACTGCTTTGCTCCCAACGAGCTCGTCACCTACCCTGCTTTGGGATTGTGCGCCGAGAATGAGGCTCACAAAATTGTCGAGGCTGGCGACAACACTTTTGGTGGAAAGTGGGTCGTCAACCCTTCTGGAGGTTTGGAATCCAAGGGTCACCCGCTCGGCGCGACAGGTCTCGGCATGGTGGCCTACATGGCTTTGCAGCTGCGCGGCGAAGCGGGTGCGCTGCAGGTCGAAAACGTCAAGGCCGCATTGACGCACAACATCGGTCTCGGTGGTTCTTGCGTCGTTTCCATCCTCAAGAAGGCCTCCTTCTACAAGGATGGCGCTCACAACAAGGACCGCTTCGGATACGACTTTGCCAACGAGTGCAGGCGCATGACCGAGGAGGAGCTCGAAAAGGTCAAGAGCAAGCACTTCTCCGATTACTTGCCCGCTTCTATCCCCGAGCCGCAGACCTCCAAGCTGTAGAGCGCTGTTCACGTCATGTGCGCGCGTGAGCTCATCCATACATGTGCTGTCGTAGCCAAATGCATACCTTCACGCCTACCGGCTCGAGTCTCAGCTTGATGCATTTCAGCAGTCAGCTTTCGCTCCCTCACTGATGTCTCGGAGACTTTCAGCTTTTGAGGCGGACAATGGCATTACGTGAGCCAGAATACGATATTCAAATAGGCGGGTGAAAGAGTGACGGCTGTGTGGACGGGACAGAGCCCAAAGTTGCTTGAGCAGTAAGCAATGGTCGAGAGTGATGAGGTGACCTGCACCGACGAATCTATTTGTATCTAGTTGGTCAACAGCGCGAAGAGGATATGAGACAACAGGTGGCGAGACCGGGAGGCATAAGTGGTAGAAAGCATGTCTATACAGACGTCGTCTTCCGGCTGTCAGGTGCGCGGTGCAACGGCGCGAGCCATCCCAACGTCACGTAGCCGCTTCCACAAGCTCTTGCCACTAGGAGCTGGGGTACCCGGGTCCTCTCTCATTTGACGACTCCGGAAGTCGTCCCTGCTCGAGACGCCAAGAGCTCCTGGTCCAGTATGAGGCGCTTTGGGAGTGAGTGGAGCCGCAGATGCCGGAGTCGAAGGAGTCCGTGAGCTCAAACGTGGAAGACGTCCTGCAGAGGCCATCCGAAGCAGACTAGGCCGATTTGGCACCGCGGAGCTGTTCTGCTTTTCGTCAGCTAGACTCTCATTGTGCGCATCTTTGCGTCTCAGCGAGCCGGTCGCGCTTCGCAGTCCTCCATGAGATCCTCGGAATGAAGGCGAAGTCATGAAGTCTGCAGTCCTTGAAGCGCTTGGCGGTCTGCTGATTTGCTTGGAAAGGCGGCGCTGGCGCTGAGCACTCGTGGTGGTCGCTCGCACCTCTACCTGGACAGGGCTCAACAAGCTGGTCAAGCGGCCAAATTTGCTAGCCCTTTTGCCGCCATTATGATGTTCATCCGGACGCTCAAAGGACGTAGAGAAACGAGAGTCAGGGGCGGGGGGCAATGCAGGAGAGCCTACGGAGCCCTGTGCAGCACTGGCGCCTACAAGACATAAGGAGTGCCGTGCTTTCAACGCATCTGCTTTGGGGTCAGTGGTGTGGGGCGCGAGGTCGCGATTGATGGTCGAAGCAGTGGTGTTGGGGTGCTGCGTCCGTGACAGAGTCAAGCCCAGACTTTGTGCTTCGTCGATTGATGGCCCCAACGGTGCTGTTGAGCCAGTGCTGGCCAGCGGCTCATTGGTACCATTCGTCAAGGGCGAGTAGTCTTTTGCAGCTGAATGAGACGCCAAGGCTGCTAGATTGGGCACAGCTGCGGCAAGTTGTAGGTTCGATTGACTGACTGACCTCACCATCTCGTTTGCGGCAGCTATTACCTGCGCAGAAGACGCATAAGCTGCGCTGCTCGAGTGTGCCGATATCGACGAGAGACTCGCGGTAGACTCTTCGACCAAGCGACTTAAGCGTTGAGCCATTTGACCAATCTCGGCCAGGGAAGCTCGTACGCGTGCCAGAGAACCGCCTTCTTCTCCAGCAGATGCTGCTGATACGCGATGTTCGTTGGCATCAGGGCTCAGTTGATTGGCTGGGTAATTCGGATTGCTACACTCACGACCGACGCCGTCTGCCATCTGCTCTATCTCCATACTGAGCTCAGCAGACGTGTAGCCTTCGTTGATCTTTTCTAGAGACATGGTCGCTGGACGAGGTGGCGGCGGCGGCTTCGTCGCATAAGATTGCAAGTGGGTGGAGTGCGTGACGTCAGAGATCATTTCGACGTCGTTGGCGTGATCGCCGATTGCGTTTCCTAAGTGGCACAGGCTGAGAGATGGTCGCCCAGCTTGTGCTGTGACGACTGAGCACATCGAGGATTCTTCCGAGCATTGACGGGTAGGACACGGTCTATTTTTCAGACCGACAGCGGAATTGCCGGGCGCGCATTCACGATCCCGGCGGTCGTCGCTCGATCTGCCCATAGCACTGTTGACCAAGAGCCCTCTACTGCTGTGGTGATCGACGCTCGAGCTGACCTGACGTGGATGTGCTGCCTCGCTAGGCTTTGTTGCAGCAACTTCTCCTGCCCAAGCGGACTGGAATTGCTTCGTACCCGGCTTCGCGTGATCAAAACTCAGTAGAGCACACCTAAAATGCTGGCCTGATTGACTATCCGTCTTGAGCGAGACCAAGTCTCGCTGCGTAATGGCAGCCGAAAAAGGTCTTGCACCTTTGCCTCCCTGGCCAGCACTTGAGGAAGGCACATCGAGAGTTCTGGATGGCTCAAAATTCTTGGCTGTGGCGGGCGGCAAATTGGCTGCGGGATCTGTAATACAGTGGGATCCATTCGCAATGAGCTATCCGACCCTTTGCGCCGCAGATCTCCCAACGTGAGGCACGTACCGACGGATGAGAGAAACGGTGACCCCTGAATTGTGTGAGAGTACGAGGTGGACTCGCCCGTGGGCACGTCGTAGGTGCTGTCGCCCCAGGCACCCTCCGACACTTGCAGGGATTGCACAGATCGCTCATCGGAAAGCTCACTAGCGGTACTAGACATGTCCAGGGTCGATAAGCTGGGTTGCTCGTCCTCTGCCGGGGTTTCATCAGGAACGAGGATGCGAGGTGTTGTAGGCGGGCGGCAGGGCTCGCGCGAGCGGTCGCCGTTCCGCTGGTTGAGCCAAGGCGTCCGATGGTGTTCCGAGTTCTCTATGGCAAAAGTTGTTGTCGACGCAGGCCAACTTGTCAGACTGTTCGGCACGACAACAACCCCGGAATCCAGGGGTGTCAGATTGAGCAGGCTCGGCGCTGCTGAATTCCGGGTCATTAGCTGTTCAAGCGCTGTGCTGTCGCTCGACTGACTGCTACGGTCGTGGGCCTCAGAATTGGGAGGTGGAGTTGCGGCAATGTCGTTGAGCTCCTCAACGGCAGCCATCGACTGGTGCATTTTTTCGGAGTCTTCATGCTCCGACAAGACATTTGACATCCCTGCTGTGGCGGGAGGCTGTTTGTCTTGCTGCTTGGACGAGGCATTCTTCGCATTAGACTTTCGATCTCCAGCCTGTCTTACTCGCTCGCTGACCCGAAGAAGCTCGATCAAGCTGTCGTCGAGGTCGGACGTCCTCCCACCATTGTGATGCTTATCTCGTCGCTGGGCGCCAGGGGCGTTTTCGGGCCAGAAGAAGGGATGATTCAAGGCGTCTTTCGCTTGTATGCGTTTCTTGGTGTCTGGTTCGACCATGGCGCGAACGAGACTTTCGCAGTGCACGGATATCATGTCCCAATTGCCTTGCCAAGCGGACATGACAGTCCTCTCGTAGTACAGAGTGAGAGATTCGGTGTCGAGGCTGCACAGAAGAGAAAAGATGTAGTCAGGCGTGGGGATTGACGCTAATGTTGTGGCCGTCCTCGACTCACAATGTCTCGTTGACGTTCTCAAACGGTGTGCGACCAACGGCGATCTCGTAAAGGCTGACTCCGAGGGCCCAGACATCGGCGAGTCGCTCGTCGTGATCATCGCCGCGAGCTCGCTCTGGCGAGAGATACTCCGGGGTACCCCACCTTGCATTGGTGATGAAGCCGGAGTTGGGATCATGATTCTTAGCAAAGCCGAAGTCGAGCAATATCGGCCGCTCTCGACCGTCTGGGCCAGGGTGTACCATCATGTTCTGGACCTGCACAGTGGTTGAAGGCAGAGAGGCAAATGTTCGGCGTCGGCAGTCAGGTCAGCCTGCAGCCATGTAGTGCAGTCTTCCTTACCTTGATGTCACAATGCGTGATGTTACGTGCGTGAAGCCACGCGACGGCCGACGTGAGCTGCTGGAAAAAGCCATCCGGCCCCGCGTACACCCAGCGAGAGAGGCACACTTGCATAGCCTTTGCAGTAGGGAGCGAACGCGGGTCAGACGCCCAGAGCAGAAAGCAGCACCTCAGCAGCACGATACAGAGCTCACCTGATCAAAGAAGTCCATCGTCAAGCACGCGTAGCTTGGACTGAAGAGGAACTGTTGTAGAAGAGAAAGTGTGTGGGAAATGGTTATTAACTTGTGCTGGTGACGGGTCGGCATACCACTCACCTCTCGAAAGACGACGAGATTGGGGTGCATTTCTTCGAAGCTGCAAGCCGATCTCATGACTTTGAACTCATTCCAAAGAGCTTTGACTCTGGACTTGCTCGCAGAGGAGTGATCGCGCACGACCAGTTTGACCGCCACTGTGCGTCGTTGAGGCTTGCCCGAAGCGTCTTTGACCACAGGCAGACCGGCTGCGGGAGGCCACCGACCGGTGTCAGATCAAGCCCAGTCACAGTGGAAAGAGGTGAAGCACAAGGGTATGACACTCACGCAAAGAATGGGTGATGACTGCTTTCCAGCAGCTTCCCCAATTACCGCTGCCAATCTCCTTTTCAAATCCGTAGCGCTCTCCAAGCTCTTCGTCAGTGAGGCAATGCATGCCTTGCTGTTGTCGACGCTCGTACCAAGCACGCTCGGCAGCAGCGACTTCTCTAGCTTCCTTTTCTCGTCGAGCTGCTTCTGCTTGCGCCGCAGCAGCGTCCGCAGCGGCCTTTGCCTTCTTTTCCTGCTTTTCGAGTCGCATGAGTGAGTCAAGCATCGACAATGGCGACTGTGTGATAGACTCTGACTGCTGACTCCGTTTGTGTTTGCCCTTTACGGCGGCTGCAGCTACAGCAGCGAGGCGCTTGCGTGGTTCTCGAGCGGGGCTGCCACCTACCAGGGAGTCGTCGAGCTCTTGTGCTGGAGCGTCGCTATCCACGTCGTCGTCTTCCTCTCGCCGGCGCTTGTCGTGTGCAGAGTCGCGGACCGAATCGGCGGTGTTCTCCCCTTCTTTGCCCAATCTCCCGGGCGACTTGGCCGACCTGGGCGACAGAACCTCCATCGTGCGAACCTTGATACGATTTGTTAGGCCTCCAATGCCGCTGCGTGCTGAGGTTGGCGAGATGTTGGAATTCTCTGTCGGGCTATGAGGAATATTTGCGCGGAGAGAGACTGTCGTGCTACCATGGCGTCCATCGATAGTCGCATTGGAAATCGATTCCGATGCGCCTCCATCGCCACCCGAGAAGGATGGTAAAGTCTGACCACCGGTGTGTGAGGTACGCTTGCCAGATGTCGAGCTGTCTCCGTGAGTAGTGCGCTGTTGTTTGTGCGAAGCCACCGTTGGTGAGCGCGATAAAAAGGACGGTGGCGGATCTTGCGTCGACCCCCGCGACGACGCTTGAATTTTCGCAGGTACGTTGACTCGCTTGTCCCATGGCGAGGAGACACCGCTCGAGACTGACGAGACCATTCCACCACGGTAAGTAACACTTTTAGCAGGATGCGTGTCCTTTCCGGTGCAGAGGGAAGATGGAGTGCTGCGTGAGGAGTTGTGGCGTGCGCCTCATTCACTCTACAATGATGTTGTATGCTGTAGTAGAGTCTGCGAGCAAGTGCGTAAGCGAGAGCTTGGAAGCGGACGGTCAGACTTGTGGCAGGCATCGGTCAAAGGAAGTGACGGCGTGAGAGCAAACAAGTCTCGGATGTGGCTCGAATAGCTTCAGCGCTGTACGTGAGTGATATGAGCTGGCAGCGAACGGCAGGGCAAAGCGGTAAGCAAGAGCAGGTCGTCCATCACTACCGAGGGACACAGTGGGCCGCGCTCTATGAGATAGCGTAGGTGAAGTGCCCAGAAAGCAATGCAAGGCACCACGCTGCTGACGTCTATATCGTCGTGAGGTCGCGCTGAGTTGGGCGTCGCGCCGACATTGCAACCCTTGGCACCGCGTGCCACAGATGGAGAACGCGGTCTGGTGTCGGTGGTGCTGGCATTAGCGTAGCCTCCGCCCTGGAAAGTGTGATGATTCAGTGGTCAGATTGGTCATCCGCGGCATCTTCCAAAACACGTCGGTGCACGCTGATCGAGGTGACCTATACCCTCAAGCCCGTACGCGGTGCACACTTGATTTGTCTCTATATGAGCACTCGCGACTTTTAACGTTCGCCTCGTAGCACATAGCTCCTCTATGTGGCGCCGTTGATAGCAGCTCGCAAGTTCACATGCGGTGCCGAGTGTGAATCATTACCTGCAGCTCACCGTGGGCTGATGTACAGCCGACACAAGGGAAAAGGGACGAATTGCGACCGCTGCCGTGATGAGGAGCTCCGTGCTACCATGCAAGCATTATGTATACTTGGTCAATATATGGCTCAATTAGCCCATACAGCAGCAGCAGCATGACGGTGATGACTCACCATTATATACAAAACTCAGCACGATGTGCGCTCCCGAGCCACCTATCCATATGTGTGCTAAAATGGATTGAGAAGAGATTCCGGCCGCCGCCGCCGCCGCCGCCGCCGCCATTGCGCGGGTAGCTATAGCTGCTGGAGTAAGAATATGTAGGTAGCCGAGATTGATTGATGCCGAGCGGAGGAGCGCTGCTGCTGCTGCTAAGATGCAATGCCCAAACTCAATCGCTTTGCGGACGGAAGCTTGCGCTCGATTGCGATCAGTCAACCAGTGAGACCTGCATATGCTGTTTTGTATGCTGCATATGTGTGTCTGCTCTTGATGAAAGAAGCTGAGCAGAGAGACGCGTTTCGACCTCGATATGAGTAGACGCGGCTATTCAAGTGATTGTACGCTGGTTGCATGCACACTCACACTCGTGGCTCTTGAATCGCGACTCCAACTACTTCCTGATGACATTCTCGGTTTCGCCTGTGTATATGCGGTACTCCGCGTACACATTCTTCTTTATGGCAGCCTCCAATCTAAGCGAGGCAGGGCACCTGACCACATAAATCTTGATGAACACTGGACGCAAGACTCGGAACAATAATCAGAATAGTGGTGGATCAGTAAGGATAACGCATTTGCTCGTGGGCCACGTCGAGTCCATGCAGGCAAAGGCGTGTGTATCGACGATAGTCAGCTGGAGCTCGACCGTCGTGGCTCCCTATGACGACGGATGCTGGACGCTCGTTCGCCGCCACATGGACGTGTTCAAGCCTTGAGTGACGTACACGGGGGGCTACATAGCTGTTGTGTCTTATCCCTCTATCGATCACATGTAGAATCGCGATTCGGAGTGCAGCATAGCGAGCGCATTCAAAAAGGACCTCAGAGCCGCATCATGGGTCGCTGCCCACTGCACGGGTCTGCGGATGGTACCTTACTCCAGGCGCATGTTGGGCAGGCATGTTTTGAGGACATGCCGCCGTCGCTGCGGATGCCATCCGCACGGGGCTGTGTGACGAGGGACAGCAGCCTCCGATGCATCCATCCTAGGGAGCATCTGCGCGCAATACGCGAAGGTGTAGTACAGTAGTGCACCGCCGTAAGGCGATGGTAGGCTTCTGTACTGATTCAGGAACCACCACACCAGTAGTACCTTGGACGAGGGATTGTGGAGCTTCTTCATGTATTATCTCAACAGTGCATGGCGTGGCAGGGGCTCCTTGACATTCGCTTATGCTGGCAAAGACCATCATCTTGGTACCGGCCTCACTCGTGCGCACGATGCGCTCGGGTCGTAGTTCTCCTCCATTGCAGGGGCAGCAAGGTCTAGGTCAAGACCGTTTGGATCGCGTTTCTAAAGCGTCTCCTACCCTGAACCGGTGCAGCATCGAGTAGACAGGTGTGCTTTGCTGGAGTATCTCACAGAGCCCGGATGTGTGGATGTGTGAATGGTTCAACGTCGTCTCGTTGCGAAATCTGGTCAGGGTCTTGATTGATGAGTGGGTTGTGGGTGTGTTGGCCGGGTGGTGAGTCTGCGGTGTTGCATGCATGCCTGCTGGTGCGTGATCCGCGCCGCGCATCATCAATCACGCACGGCGCAAGGGCACGCGCAGGCCTAACGGCCCACGTGTCTGAATCTCAACCAGAAGCCATGCTTGGAAAGCGCGCGCTCTCGTTCGTTGGCGGGACGATGCAGGCGCACGGTCAAGAACGATCGTCACTCGTGACTTGTGACTTGTTGACTCGCGGAAGCGCTCATCGGTCTAAGTCTTGAGTCTTGATTCGTGAGTCAAGCAATTATGAATCCAGCCGAGTTTCTACGAGGTGTCAAGAAACTTCGCGATCCGTGATCCTACATTCTTTGATACGTGAACTCGATCTCGCAAACGCTCGGCTCACAGCACCACCCTGGCTTCCTTCGCTGTTCCCCTACAGCCGGCTGTTGCCTTACATCGTTGGCGCTGGTAAATCGGCACCTCGCTCGGCACCTTCAGGAAACGATCCTTCCCACTCCTTCCTACCCTCGGCCAGATCGATCGAGTAACGATGGTGCTCTTGCCTGCTGCTCAAGCTACCTCTAGGCAAGCTGCCTCATCGGTTCTGCGCCCAGCTACCGCGGCCGCGTCTCAGCAATCCAGAGCTGTTCACGACTTGGTCATCAAACGCCGCACCGGTCAGCCTATCATCCGCGCTGGCCCATACGGAGGTGGTCGGTGAGTCGAGCTTGCTCATGGGTAGAGATCATGTCCCCATCTTCTTGCTGATACTTGCATGTGCGGCTCTTGCCACGTCAGATCGTCGGTGTCGGGTCATGTCGCGACGGTGTTCGGCTGCACTGGCTTTCTTGGCCGATACGTAGTGAACAGATTGGCGCAGAAGGGCACTCAGGTCATTGTGCCCTACAGAGATGAGGACGAGAAGCGACACTTGAAGGTCATGGGTGACCTTGGACAGATCGTGCCGCTTGTAAGTCAGCAATGGACAGGTGTGCAGGCTGCCTCTTGCTTGCCGATGAAGCACGCCGCTGGGCGGAATGGCCATGCGAAAGGCAGCCCTGAGCTGACTGAGCTTCAACACGTCGTGCTTAGGAATGGGACATTCGAAGCGATGAGCAAATCGAAGAGTGCTTGCGTCACTCTGATGTGGTGTTCAACTTGACGGGGAGGAACTACGAGACCAAGTGAGTGCAACGCCAGAGCCTCGCACAGGTGAAGTCGTCTCAGACGACTGACATCCAATTTGCTCGCGTTCAGGAACTTCTCCTTCAACGACGTCCACGTCTCTGGAGCTCAGCGAATTGCAGGAGTGGCGGATGCATGCGGAGTCTCGAGATTGATTCACGTGTCCCACCTGAATGCCGACAAGAACAGTCCATCCGCATTCTTGCGCACAAAGGCAGAAGGAGAGGAAGCTGTGAACAGAGTCTTCGAGGGCGCGACTATTGTGCGACCAGGATCTCTGTACGGCCACGAGGATCGCTTCCTGAATCAAATGGCAAGTAAGTAGCGAATCGCGGCAGGCTTGTTACAGTCTTTGGTGCGTCAGGGTGACAGGTAGCATGTCAACTGGGACGTTGCGACGGTCCAGTGCGCAGGAGGTGCCGAATGTCGGCCGGGGCGATGCTCTGCGAGCAGCGCTTTGAAGGCCGCATAGACTGCATTCGACGTTTCTTTGGCGCATTTGGTCTTATTGACACACAATCCCGTTTCTTTTCTTAGGCTGGCCAATCACCTGGCACGCAAACCACGGCCGAACAAAGCTGCGGCCAGTCCACTCTCTCGATGTCGCGCAAGCCCTCGAGGTGATCATGGATGCAGAAAATACGTCCATCGGACAGACATTTTCTCTGGCAGGTCCGAAGACCTACACTGTCTCTGAGCTTCTCAACCTCGTCCAGTCTTTAACCTTCAGGAAGTTGGTTCGCCCCTCTTTGAACATCCCCAAAGCAGTGCTGATGCTCGCTGCCAAAGCAGGCGACAAGGTGTGGTGGCCCATGCTCTCGCCGGATGAGGTGACAAGACGCTACATCGACGACTACCCCGACGCGCCTGGCACCAAGACCTTTGCCGATCTTGCCATCGAGCCAGACACCGTCGAGGAAGTTGCCATCACGTATCTTCGCAGATACAGATCTCAGCTGCATTTCGAGAGGCCCATCGAGACGGGTGGCGCACGCCTCAAAGGTGGCAAGCAGCCCTACAGAGTGGTGGACTAGGCTGTGCGTGTTTGCGGGGCGAGAGTCGATCCGCTTTTCAGACCTCTGTTTGATTCGAAAAGCAGCCGTCATACAATGCAATCCATAGACTGAGTATGGGTGAGCGTGCCAAGCCTGATGTGGTCCTCGAAGATTGTGGCTAAGCCCCAGAGTCTCGAGCTGGCTCGTGGCTTTAGAGCCATGGTATTCTTTTTGAGTGAAAAGTCGAAGTATTTTTGGACAGGCTTCTTCCACGTGACTCTATGGGCACGTAAGTCGAGTAACCGATTTAAGATCGCTTCGATTCACGATTCATGATTCTTCGATAGTAGTCTTGAATTCTTCAAATCAAGAATGAGTCTTTTCGCGACTGGCGTCTCCTTGTCCAAATCCTGTGTGCAGCTGCTCGCGCGAAGTCTGCTAGTCTCTGGAATTGCGGCCCTAGCTCGATCGTGAAAGCTGATCTGAAAAGTGTGCGGGGTGCTGCAAAGCATTCAGGGGGGGGCGAATGACTCGTGACTTTGGCAGCGCGGATCATAGGTAGCGCGAATCAAGGGCAATGTGGCGGTCAGTGGCAGGGTACCAAGGGCTCAGGTAGCACGGGCACGACAGCCTTCTGTTTGGGAATCATTCACGATTGATGAGGCACCAGGAGCGGTCGCGCGAGACTCTTCCTGCACTCTTCCCCACACACAGGGCGGCGGCAAGCGCGCAAGCTGCGAGAGAAGCACCGTAGGCCAGGCTCCCTATCCCCGATGATGCGCCGACCTAGCCAGCATCCGGCTCGATGACCATGTCGAGTGAAAATTGAAAGTGCGAGGAAACAAAGTCTGGCTTGCTACTACTTACCACTGTGACTTCTGTACTACTGCGCACAGTCACAGTCACAGTTCAGGCAAGGCTGCAGTCGCTGCGGGGGAGGCACCTGCTTCCGCTCTTTCCAAGAGCGCCTAGCCCGCATGCAGGCCTTGCCCTCAAGCTGCAGGAAGCTCCACGAGCCGCATGAGGTTCCGCGCACCTCGTCATGTGTCTGGGTGCCCGGGGCGGGGAAACACTTATTACCCCGACCAAGGCAGGCATATGAGCAGCCCTCATCAAGGGAAGCTTCATGCAAGTCGACGAACCCCACCCCGCGTCAGTCGTCCGCCGTTCAGCTAGACGACGACGGTTGGGTTTCTGCTGCGTGATTTGCTCTTTGCGCGCGCGCGCGCGACGGCGGTCGATCGTGAACAGGCAGAGAGAAAGAGGCGAGACGGACACCGGATTGGTGCGAGGTCTCACGCTGCTGCTCCTCCTAGTCGTCATCAATTTCACAGATGCTCGCGGCTGCCTCTTTTGCGCACGGCTGGACGCTCATCCAGCGTTGATCTTACACGCTCTCAACCCCCTCACTCCTTGTCCAACCCTTTCCTTCGCCGTTGCCGTGAGCCTCACCGTCTCCATTCCCTTCTACCGGTCCAGTTCGCGCTGCAACTGTTATTCCCAGCACGTGCGACTGTTTCACCTTGCCAGCTCCCCACTAAGCAAGTGCCCCAACCTGGAACATAAGAGCGTCGACTTCTACTGCCCCCCTCGCCACCCTTCATTATCATCAAGATGCAACTGTCTTTCGCTTTGGCCCTTGCAGGCGCTGGTGCGGTCGCGGTCTCCGCGCAGAGTGAGTTTTTGGAGGGTTCACCGCTAGACTGGGCTGGCCAAAAGTTGCAAAGCGCGTGGAAGGAAGGAGGCGAGGTGCTGGTGAGATCCATGACCAGTGCACGCACCCGAGCATCGTTGCGCATGGCGGCGTTTCGCGCAAGAGTCTTGTTGGTGCGACGGAGACAATCTGCGGTCAAGAGTTGCGTCCTCGAAAGATCGCGCTTGCGATTCATCCCAGGTCGAATGCCAGGCAAGGCATGCCTACCTCACGTTTGCCGGCTCTGCGCTTACCCATCATTGCCCACTCCTCCCACTTCTTCTTCTCTAGACTTGACTACCTACTCGATGCTGGCGCCAGCGACCACACCACGAATCTTGTCCACCGACACGGCTTTCACGCCACCTGTCACCTCCTCGGCATCTGGCACCATCCCCACGCCACAAGCCACGGTCAAGTCGTTTGACTGGAGCTCCGCTGCATCAGCAGCCGCCACGTCGGCTGCAAACCGAACCGCGTCCTCCAACTTCACCCTGCCATCTGCTACGGCCACCGCACCTTGGGTGGCCAACCTTGTGGTCCAGCAATCCAATCCTTACGTTTTCCAACAGCTCGACACGACTGACCTTCCCACTCTCAACTGGAACCTGGCCAACGAGACGGTGATCAACCGTGAAGCTATTTGTGCGCAGCAGACCAAGTTTTGTGCCACCGCTGGATGCGCAGAGGAAGGTGCGGTGATCAAGGAGAACTTCTGCGATGTGCAGAATCTCGGCACTCGCTGCACTTGCGACAAGGGGGCCACCAACCTGTCTCAGTACAAGTGGCCCGTCCAATTTGCGGACTGTCTCAACAGAGCGACTGCTTGCGGCGATGCTTGCGCATTGCCCGGCGGAACGACGGCGGCGAGGACAGCGTGCAAGAAGGCTTGCCAGAGCAACTTCCGCGAGACTTGCGGTCTGCCCGGACAGTACAGCGCCAACTACGCCGTCAACAAGCAGGGAGACAAGCCCAACCTCAAGATGATTCAAGGTGGATCGGCTGGCGACTCTGCCAATGCCGTCCGTACCAGCGTCGCCACATTGTTCGCAGCTGCCGCCGTCGTCGCTGTCGTGCTGGCAGCATGAAAGGCGCGACCTTCGCCCCGTAGTCATCTCATCACTTTCTCGTCACCTCATCTTTGCACCTGAATCGTCCTTGGCAAGGCGGTGTCGGGCTCATCGCATCTCCAACGCTGTTCACTCGATATCACGCTCGCTTGTACCGAGCACCTTCTGTTCGCCTACTCTTGATACCGCATCCACTTCTTTTTAGCACGCACTCCCTGCTCACTCTAACCTCTTTGTCGTCCTTTTTATTGTACCGCCTGCTTCGTCATATTTGGACGACACGGACTCATTCGATGCGCCTCTCGATGTGCGCTTGCTGCTCCGTGAATCTCATGCACATTCTGCATCGACCAGTAATTGGATCGAGCTACGCGCTGCGATGAATAGAGCTCGTGGGGGCCCGATGATCATAGCCTGTCCGGGACAGAGAATGCACAGCCTTCTGTGCAATGCACAACGAATTCACAGCTTGCTTTGCTTTGCGCTCTGAGATTTGACTTTCGCGCGAGCAAGGATAGCGCGACCTGCGCTGCTACCATTGGGTCTATCGAGCTGTTGTGAGATCCAGGCGCCAATTTGCGCCAAAGCGTCAAGATCGAGGCCAGTGTCGTACCCTGATTCGTGAAGCGCATAGACCACGGACTCGACGTCAACGTTGCCGCTAGCGCCTGCAAAGGGCCAGAGGGGTCAGCCTTCCTTGCTTTCTTACAGTCAATCAGGAGGGCACACTGGAGCGAGCGTTGCTCGTGCACTGCAGCCCACTCACCCGGCGAGTACGGGCAGCCACCGAGGCCACCAACAGCTGCGTCGACCACTCTTACGCCTGCATTGACCATCGCTAATACGTTTGCCACTGCTGATCCAAAGGTATCGTGGCAGTGCGCGGCGAAGCGCACAGAAGGTGCATGACGCGTACACTCGTTCAGCACATTGAGCATCTGACCTGGTGTCCCTGCACCAGTAGTGTCGCCTAGGCTGATCTCGTAACATCCCATCTCCAGCAGCGTCTTTGCAATTTTTCCGACGTCTGCAGGATTGACCTTTCCCGAGTACGGACAGTCCGCGACGACACTGATGTAACCCCTCACCCGAATCCCATGCCCTAGCGCTTTGCTGGTCACCTTGGACAACCGCTCCAAGGATTCATGGATGGTACAGTTCGTGTTGGCTTTGGTGAAGGCGTCGGTCGCGGCTGTGAAGATGGCAATCTCGTCTGAGCGTCCGGCCGCTCGACCTTTGGGCCCGACCATGTCCAGGAAGTTGACCAAGCCCCTGTCATTGGGCACCAAGAAGGGATAAGAGACGCCTTGCTTGACCGTCATTTGCTCTAGCACAGCTGCAGAATCTGCCATCTGGGTGGCCCTCTGTGTAAGCGCTATGGCTCTCGCACCTCATGCGCGCACCCTTCTCGCTGCGTATTCACCTGAGGAACCCACTTGGGACTGACGAAAGAGCCCGCTTCCACAGTCTCGACGCCCGCTTCCTCAACCAGCCTTCGAATCAGCTCAAGCTTGGTGGTCAGCGGGACGACTTGTTTCTCGTTTTGCAGTCCATCTCGAGGAGACACTTCTACAATCCGCACGTGATGAGGGCTATCCTTTCCCAGGCCTGGACTGAGCGCGATGCTGGCAAGGGCTCGAGAAGTAGCGCACGGCAGCAGGCTGTAAGCATCTGCTCTCGGGCGTGCCATGCTCAGGGCTCGAGTGACGCTTCTTGAAATCATCTCGAGTTCTTCGGCGTTATGGATTTGCTGGGACGCTTCTTGGGTGAATGCAAGCCAAAGACATCGAACCTGTGACCCTATGTATCGGACATTGCTTAGGTGCGCAACCGCTTCGATCGTCACACCCACCAGCACTTTGGGATGTAGCTGGGATGTGTGGAGTGGAAGGCAGGCAACGCGCACCGTATATACACAGCGTGCTAGCTGAGAGGAACCCGCACGGGGAGCCGAATTTGCCGTGATGCCAGTTCTCGCGCGAGTGAGCCCAAGCCGCTGTCCATTCCCCACGCAAAGGCATGAAAGTCGGCCCGGAAGTGCCGGCATGCCCTCCGCGCTCGTACGGACGTGGATGTGCTATAGGTGTGCCCACGACCCGAACCATATGATCGATGCGCATACAGCCAGCGGGGTCGGCCCAGCAGGAGAATATGCAATGTCCAGGAACCAGTCTCGAGGTCAGATCCCCTTTCCTTTCTCCCTAACACCCACAAGCCCGCGATTCTGGTAGCTAGGTTTCGAGCTTCTCTTCTGGAAATCAAACTAAAGCTGTGACACGACGATGGCGCAAAGGCTTCAACAATTTGCTTCTCACCTCGATCCGCGCACATGGTCAGGCAAAGGTTTGGCCCACGCCAAGCTGAAGAACGATGACGATGTGGTCATAGTGGCGACAGGCAGAACGCCCTTCTGCAAAGGGTTCAAAGGTCAGCTCAAAGACACGCCCTTCGACCTGCTCTGCCTTGAAATCTTCAAGGGCATCATTTCCAAATCTCAGGTCGACCCCAAGCTCATCGAAGACGTCGTGGTGGGGAATGTGAGGAACGACTTCAACGCGTACCACATTCGAGCTGCTGCTCTCGCCGCCGGCATCCCCAACTCAAGTCCCACCCTGGTTGGTCAGTCATCGGCGGCACCCGATCAGCATACATGGCTCCGAGTTGTTCTGACAGCTTCCTTCTCATCCCTCAGTCAACCGCTTCTGTTCCAGCGGTCTCATGGCTATCCGCACCGTTGCAAACCAGATTCAGACGGGCGAAATCGACTGTGGACTGGCGGTCGGCATTGAATCGATGAGCCAAGGCCCCTCGCCAAAGCTCAACTTCTCGCCCGAAGTGGAGAATGGAAGTCAGGAAGCGTTCGACTGCAAGTACCCCATGGGCTGGACAAGCGAGAACGTTGCAGGTGAGAATGATTTCATACTTCTTCAGCGCATCGAGCGAACGTTCAGTATGCTGAGTTGTGTCACGTTGCTAAGGCGACTTTAACATTTCGCGGGAGAGGATGGACGCCTGGGCGGCGCAGTCGCACCAGCGGGCAGCAGCAGCGCAAGCCTCGGGTACATTCGACGCAGAGATAATTCCAATCACGGCAATCGAAAAGCAGGGCGAAGCGCGAGTGCACAAAGTAGTCTCTGCAGATGATGGCATTAGATCAAACAGTTCTGCGGAGAGCTTGGCAAAGATCAAGCCTGCCTTTCCCCAGTGGCAACCGGCTCATACCACTGGCGGCAACGCATCACAGATCACGGACGGTGCGGCTGGCGTATTGCTTATGAGACGTAGCTTGGCCAACAAGCTGGGCAAGAAGGTCATTGGCAAGTACGTGTCTACCGCAGTCAGCGGTCTTGCTCCGAGGATCATGGGCATCGGTCCTAGTCTGGCTATTCCGAAAGTGGGTACAGTATTTCCCATCGTTTTACCCTCCGACCAGGCTGACGTGCACATGGGGTCGGCTCCTTCCAGGTGCTCGAGCTGAGCGGCATCTCCAAGGACCAGGTGGACCTGTTCGAGATCAACGAAGGTAAGCTGTGTTCCTGCGACTCAATCGCCATTTGCGCTGACACCTCATGCTGCATTAAATAAGCTTTCGCTTCGATGATCGTCTATTGCAAGGACAAGCTCGAGATTCCGGATGACAAGCTGAATGTGAATGGTGGAGCATGCGCTCTCGGTCATCCGCTTGGTGCAGTGAGTATCGGCGTGGGCATCTTCTTGCCGTCAATCCACTGATGGCTACTCTATTCGCAACATTAGACTGGTGCGCGTCTGGTCGTGACAATTTTAAACGAACTGGAAAGGCGCAATCAGCACGTCGGCGTCGTCTCCATGTGCATTGGTCTGTGAGTGCTGTGCACAGTCCGTCGGAAGGCGATCATGCAGCCGAGTGCGAACTTTTCTACAACTACATCGAACGCTGACAACGACCCCGTCATCTCTCTCCTTGTTCTCATTAGCGGTATGGGCGCTGGTGAGTACCGCGAGGCCAACGTGCGCGAAGTGACGAGTCCGCTGAAAGGTTGCTCCGCGCTCTCTTCTCTTTAGCTGCCGTAATCCTTCGCGAAGACTAAGGATTGTCTGGCCAAGTAGCTCGCTCCTTACGAATGGGGCTTGGCGCCTGCGATCGGCAGATGTAGGGTTAAGCTACTGTATTCATCATTGCCCCAATTTCTCAGAGTGTGCGCAGCTGAAGATGCAATTGTTGCAGCTGGTGTGGGGCGGGGATGTCGCAAATATGGGCATTCTTCACTCTGATTGAGATTCGAGCAGCATTTGATCAGGAGCAGAGGCATCGCTTAGTCTCTGTGAAGCTTTCATGTATCAGTCGTCGGATCTCCATGCGTGTTCTCATGTCAAGCGAGGTCTGTCGCTACCCGTCCGACGCGAGGTCGAAAGCCACTCTCGGAAGCCTTCATGCTTGGCTTGAATGCGACATTTCTTGGATCATTCGATGGAGCTTGGGACTATTCTTGCCAGTCAGCATTCAAGAGGTCCTCACTTGAAGTTCTGGGAACATCTGAAGCCACACGTCCGGTGTGGATGAGGTACGACTTGAGGTGATCGGCTGCCCTCTTTACCTTGCCAAGCCTACCGGTCAAGCCCCCGTCAACGCACACACGTTTTCATGGTCTTCTCCTCTCTCCACTCATCAAGATTCGGAATCGAGCAGGTCTTGTGATTGTGCAAGCAGTAGTCTCGCTCCAGAAGAGTCGCGAGTCCGAGTCTGCGCTCAAGAGTACATACCCCTACTGAAACAACGCGATTTGAAATTGCGCGCTGCACAAGATCGCGAGCCAAGAATTGATTCCTGAATAAATCAAATGCGATCAAATGATTTGATGTTTCTTGCGCCGCCATTTGAATGCCGAGAAATGGGGCACGGTGAAGATGGTTCTTTTGCAGCTCTAGGCAGTACGAGATGCCGAAGACCGCAGATAGGTGATGCAGAGTCTGAAAGGTTTCAAGATCGAAGGATCCGGTTCGTGGAAGCAGAGGCCGCCGCCGCCATCACGCTTCATCCTATACATCAATAACAATTCGCCAAGAACACACTCATCACTCTGCGGCCGTGTTCTGACGTTCTCATCCAAAGCAACAAGAAAGCAACACTCAGACTGCTCCATCGCCCTGTCGCCTCTGCTGCTTATTCTGCACGGTTCGCGCTTCTCTAGATCGAGAACGAGGGATGAGCAGCCTAGCGGCAGCACGACCCGCAGGTGAATGCGCAAGGGAGCGTCATCGGATGGACGAGGCTGCGCTCTGGGCGCTGCAGCAGCACATCAAGAATGCAGAGGGAGGTCAATCCATTCGACTCGTCTCCATCGTCCATTTGTGCTCCGCTCCAAATCGCTGATTACGCGCTAAAACTTTGTAGGTGTAGGCTTGAACATCAGTGGTGCAAGTGCGCCGTACGCGAGTCGAAGAGTAGAGCCCGGCCCCTACCTTGCTCACACCGAGATGCCGGCCGTAGCTTCGGAAGCTGCGCCAGACGGCAGAACGGATTCAGCGCGCGGACTGCTGCTGCGAGTCGCGACTCTAAAGAGGCGGACTTGGGATTTGGCTGTGATCGAGCACTGTAGCGCGACTCCTCGCACATCTTCGTTGACGGTGTGGAAATAGGGATGGGATATGAGCAAGCCGCCGCCCCTTGCCTCCTGCTACGGGTTCATGTGCCTGCTGATCTGCGTGATGCCTACCACAGACATTCACGATTCGTGATTGGAGCTGCATGTATGCTGTGTGCAGCTCGGGATGCAGAGCAGCTCTTGGTCGTTTCTGCTAGCGCGTCGGCGCGTCGTTGGTCTTGGCCCTTCGATCGCGTCTCCTATACAGCCCCCTCCCAGCAATGAATGTTCGGCTGCGCTCGACACGACTCTTGAGCAAGAATAGAGACGCGGGCAAACACAATCCCTGCATCGCCGGTACGGCAGGAAGGGGCTCGTCGCCCGCCCAGAACAAGCTCGCCCGCCATTTGCGTTCTTAAGTTGCCCTGGCACCAGCCCAATAGGCAGATCCGCTCGATGGTATATTCAAGAAAGCCGGCTTTTGAGTTTCAATGTCAAGAACTTTTTTTTTGAAATAAACTTTTCGAATCCTCCGCGGATTTGTAAGGGAAGGGATGCGCGTGCGCGCTCCCTCCTCGCATGTGTTTCAATCTGCTGCTGTAAATACTCGTGACTGGTGACTTCTATAGACAATAGTCAAGAGGGGCTCGCCATCACTCCATCACCATCCCTCCTCAACCCTCTTCACTCACCCATATCCGACACTCCCTCACCATCACAACCTACCTCCCACACGCGCAGCCTCCAAACCGCACCACCACCACAACCTCTGGACCGCATAATTAGTGATCTCACGTAACGCGACACGACCTGTCCAGTCTCACTTTCTTTTCGACCTTTCTGCTGTCTCCAAGCTCGTATTCGATCACGCTCACCTTCCTCCCATCACAATCTCACGATGAAGTTCAGTCTGGCAGCCGTTACCGCGCTCCTTGCCGTCGCTCAAACTGTGACCAGTACGGCAGTGATTACTCAACCGGTCGCATCCACGGACAAGAACGGTGGCAGTCGCCTCACCATTGAGTGGCACGACGACAACAAGGCCCCCACGCTGAAGGACTGGGGAGACATCAACATCTACCTCGCTGCTGGATCCCAGAACGTCCAATTCAAGCTCCAAGAAGTGGCTGCTGGCGTCAAGAGCACCGCTACTTCGAGACGTTTCAAGATTGACCCTAGCATCGGCGAGACTGGACAGTACTAGTGAGTAGAGCAGAGGCACCCGGATCAATGTACAGGGCGCGTTGGCTGGCGAGGCGATGCCGGTTGCGAGGACGCCGAGACTCAATTTACGGCGTTGGTCGCATGGCGCTTTGTTTAGCATGCTGCCCGCACGGACATTCATCCAATTACGAATATAGTCGCCGCGTCCCCTACATATTTGCTGACACTTCTCTCACTGCACCTCCTGTGTCCAGCTTCATCCGCATGGAGGGCACCAAGCTCGGAGCCAACAACCTCCCGCCCATGTCCTTCTCTGCCCGTTTCAAATTGGACAAGATGACTGGTCACTTCAACTCAACCGTCCTTGCGGCAGCGAAGGGCCAGGAGGGCGCTGCATCTCCTACTGCCGGCGCGGCAAAGGTGTCGTCTACCTCGACTCTCAGCACTCAGAGAGCCTCTGCGACCCCTCTCACCGGCAGCGCTTCTGCCAACCGTAGCTCTTCTAACACCTCGGGCTCGAGCTCGGCTGCTGGAATTGTCTTGCCCGCTCACTTCTTGAGCGCAGCTGCCGGTATCGGAGCTGCGGCTGTGGGAGCCGTGATGCTCTTGTAAAGACAGAGACGGAGCCTAGTGCCAAAATTTCTCTGGTCATCTACAAACGCCTGGTCTATCCTTGATTCGTCTCTCTCATCTTGGTTCCTGGTCATCCATGCATCCCTCTAGTACACCGGTCCGACGGCATCAGTCCCCATTTCGAAGCTCGTGGCTCTGCGACGTCCGCACATTTGCGCACACACACTCTCCCTCTTCTCCATGGCGCAGACTACCCGCCTTGTCTTTCGCGGATAACAATCGTGCATCCAACGTCTGACCGCATCGCTTGACACACCACGACTTCCGCTCGACGCTTTCGCTTGTGCATGCCCATCCACTACTGCCAGCTGTACATAGCTCGTCCTCTCTATACTCCCTTCGCAGTCGCTCTCGCACGAGAGCCTTGCCCTTGCATCTTTCCGTTGACCGGAAAGACCCACCGCAATAACATCCAACGCTCTCGCGCAACCATGATCACGGTCGTGTGAGTGCGATTTCATGGGCCTTGGCGTCAGGAAGTGACGAATGTGTGAGCAAGAGTAGATCTCAGAGGGGGGATCCGACGCAAAGTATGTCATTCGAACAGGTCCGCGGCGAAGTCTGGGCTAATTTGTTGTGGAGACATCTAAGTACACGCGAAGGGGATTTCGGCATCAAACACAGTGGACAGTGCCGTCAGCGTGAGTGTGGCAGTCCTGTGCTGCAGCTGTGGCGCTGGCTGAGGTGCTCGTCGCTGAAATCGTGCTTGTGGGAGAGGCGTCGTGATCGTGATCGTGATCGTGATCGTCATGTTCGTGCTCGTGGTCGTGGTCCTCGTGATGCCTATCCGCAGGGCAACCCTGCTCGTCGATGTTGGCGCGCACAAACGCTTCAAACGCAAAGTCTTGCAGCGAATGCTGGTTCTTGACGCTCTCCGTCACGTTGTTCCTGGCCAATTCTAGAAGGGCCGGATACTCGTCTGCCGTGTGGCCGACGTGGTCGTTGGTCATCGTTGGCAGGTGCATGGCGCGGTGCAGCAGATCGGTGGCCCAGTACACATTAACATTGTCGTGAATCAGCGAAAAGCCATTTGCGCAAGCCTTCTCGATGGGCAAGCGAGTCTGGAAAGAGAGAGGGCAAATGACCGTCTCTCCGGTGGCGCTACGATCGGAGATGCAGAGGAATGCAGAGGAGACGCTTCGGTCAATGACTTGCCATGCTGACACTATGGTCAACTTTCTCGACTCACTTGTTTCCGCGCCAATGACCATTGTAAGTTGGCTGCGTCTCGCAGTTGCGATCCGGGTCATCGCAGCGGAAAAGAGTGGCACTCTTGTCCGACTCGAGAACTCGCAGGTAGATCCCAAGAGGTACGCTAGGATCAGAACCTTCTCCGAAGTAGGTTTGATACACTTCCGACTGGTTGCCGTGCAGCAGAATGTGGTCCGCAGCGCCTCGCAACAACCTCTTCAGGTCGAACAGACCGCGCTCCAGCTGCATACGTTGCGACTTGTTGCACGACTCGTGAATGGGAAAATCAGGCTGCAGGGAACGAGAGGCTGGGCTCGTGATAGTAGGAGGGACGAAGGTTTCGTTGGAGGCGACGGCCTCCTGACGCGCAAAGACCCCAAAGTTGGCACCGTCTACGATGGGTTCAGCAACATAGGGGCGAGCAATGGCGGTCGTGACCACGGTGGCAGCCAAGGTGCTTAAGAAGGTGACAGTCAACTTCATTTTGAGAGTCACGATGGATCGGGGTGACTTTTGAATGGGGTGGGGGTCGAGCTACGTTGGACTGAATGGATGTGCTCGAAAGGTTACATGGAGGACTTACTTTATACCTGCCAAAGTGAACCGCTATCCCAGCTAGTACTATTTAGCAGCACTCAATGATCCACGAAAAGCTTCTTTGCGCGTGCAGCTGGACGCTCAACATGACACATGAACGCGCCCACAATTTGGACTCTTGTGTGTCGTCGCTCGAAGGACTCAGAGTACCTTCACAACCCCGTCGAACGTGGCTGACGGTCGCCAAGACTTCCTTCGAGGACCTTGCGGGTGTGACTGTGAGCTCAAATCGCGCGTGAGAAACCGCAAATTTTGCTCCGGCGCGAGATTCTGCCAAGGAGGGTACCTCATGGGCACCGACATCTCTCATCGACCGAAGAGATGTTGGCGGCTGGCGGCATCCAAAGTGGTGATAGCTGCTGATCCCGGCGGGGCCGAGCGGATCAGGACGGGCTTGGGCGGCAAGGACCCGCAGCGAGGGCTGCCTGATTGTCGTTCGACCTTGAATGACCACCGCTCATCTTCGACGGAGGTACATGTCTTGGCGCATGAAACAAACGTTAGAGTACCGAAGTGCGTTCCTGGCGGACGAATGCTAAGGATGGACTCGCTGAGCACGCTTTGATTTGTACTCGAAGCCCAGGCTATCGTGCGGTGCAGCTATGGCACGCTTGTGCGCGCATGGAGAGTAGCTGTGCCGCGATGGAAAGGCAGGTAGGTGCCTTACTTGCTGCAGCCACGAACCACTGGGCCCTACTACTGATGACAATCGTTGATCGTGTGCGAGTTGTAGAGAGCATGCGCTGCTGCTGGAAACGGTGCTGCTCAGGGCTAAATGGATGCTTCGCATGGGTCGCGGCGAGGTGAGTGAGCTTTTTTGGACGCGCTTAAAGGCGAAGCTTGGCATGCACGACCGCGAGGGTCCTCTTTGCGCGTCTTTTGGTGCAAGAGCTGGATTTTCCCGCAAAGATGCTCCTGCTGCGGTCTTTCGTGAATCGATCAGGCTTGAGTCTAGGTCGTGGCCGGGGAGCGATTGTACTTGCGGCTTCTGTGAGAGTCAGGGACTCTCGGGTTGCGCGAGTCATCCACGACGGACTCAGCTGGGGGCTCACCCTTGGCCTGTATACCAAATGAAAACGCCAAGACCGAGACCCCGAATATCAGGCACGAGGGAGCAGAGAGCAGATGGTAGGAAGATGAGCGAATTCCTCCGCCATTGCGATGGCCATGGGTGCGCGAGACCAAGCCAGGACTGGGAAAGGGAGCCGACGGCCGCGGAAAGCTATGGCAACCCCGAGAGCCCTCTTTGATTGAGATCACAGCCGGCAGAGTCTCTATAAAGATCAGTCACATTTGCTTGCAACCTTACATGGACCCTCTGGCACAGAAGAGGTGCTGTTGACATCCTTTCGTGACATCAACTTCTACACGTCATGAAGCTCCAGATCGTTTTCTTGTGCGGTGCGCTCGCCGCGAGTGCCGTCTCAGCGGCCAATGTTCTCGCAGCTCGCCAAGCCGGTCCGTCACCGACTGGTCGCGGGGCCTGCGTGCTCTCCGGCGGCGCCTGGACCTGCGAGCTCGCCGCTAGCGGCGCAGCAGCAGCTCCGATTGCAACCTCCGTCAACTCCCTGAGTGGCGCAGGTGCTGCCTCTCCGACTGCTACGGAAGCTTTACCGCCGGCTACAGTGACAGTCACCGAAATGGTAGAGCCCAGTCCGACTGGTCTGGGTGCTTGCCATCTTCACGGCGATCATTGGCACTGCGACGAAGAAGGCGAAGAGGGTCATGACCACAGCCACGAAGGACACGATCACAGCGGACATAGTCACGCCGGTCATAGCCATGCAGGCCACAGGTGAGGATTGTTGCGTCCGGTTTCGCATGCTGTGTGCTGACAAGTGACAGTGGCTCCCCCTGATGCAGCCATGGTCCATCCGAGGAGTTTGGTTGTGGGCTTGCACCTCTGGAAGAGTACAATTTACCATTGCACGTAGCTGCAGTCTTCATTCTCCTGGTCGCCTCCATTGCAGGAGTTGTCTTGCCTTCCTTTGGGAACCTTCTGGAGCGCGCTTTTGCTACTACAGCCTCGCAATCCGCTACCTTTCGACGTTGGACTGGAAGCTTCACCTTCGCCATGCGCCACTTTGGGGGTGGGATCATCTTGTCCACCGCCTTCATTCACCTGCTCTTCCACTCCTTCATCTACTTCAACAACAGCTGCATTGGCGAGCTCCAGTACGAAGCTGCATCAGCGGCAATTGCCATGGCAGCCGTATACGTCATGTTTCTTATCGACTTCCTCGCCCTTCGACCGTTGCGACGTCAAGCGTACGCCGCCCAGGAACGCGCATTCGCGTCTGGAGCGAGGAGTACTTCCGATGACGACTCTGTCGAAAAACCCAACGAGCGCGCCTTGATACCTGAGGAATCAGATGGACATGCGCACGAGTCGATTGACCTGCTCAAGCATAGCGAAGGTCGCATGGCCAAATGGAACGTTCTCGCTCTGGAAGCTGGCATTGTCTTCCATAGCATCATCATTGGCGTGACGATTGGCACCGCTTCTGGTGAAGGTTGGGTGGTGAGTGTCCATGTCTCAAAGATGATTCAAAGAAGTGAAACATATTGAACCCGTCGCCGCTTTGCCTTTAGCCGCTGTTGATCGCCATTGTATTTCACCAATTCTGCGAGGGTCTTGGCTTGGCGAGCCGAGTGGTCCTCCTTCCTTCCTCCGTTCTGAGCAACACTTTGAAGTTCGTCATGCACCTCGTCTTCATCGTGACAACGCCCGTGGGCATCGCCATCGGCATTGGCGTGCGACAGTCCTACAACGGGAACAGCCGGGGCACTCTTCTAGCAGTCGGCATCCTCGACGCGATCTCGGCCGGCATTCTGATCTACGCGGCCCTCGTTCAGATCATCGTCAACGACTATATCTTCAATCGCGAAATGACGCGCGCTTCAATGAAGCGCTGCGTTGCCGCCCTGACGTTCTTCACGCTCGGCCTGTTCGTCATGTCCGTGCTTGGATACTGGGCTTGAAAAGTCTGGAGCGGCTGCAACACTCTACCGCCTCATTATTCTCGGATTTGCTCTCTCGGATGAGATTCTCATTTTCACGTTCAATCCACGATTATTATAGTAGATACGTCCTCTGATGAATGGCGGAAGTATTCTCGTTCATCATCATCAAGGACTTGACTCTTCATACGCAATTCAAAATTTGCCAAAGCAAGCAAAATGAATGGCTGGGGTTGAATAGCAGTCACGTGAAGATGTCTCGTTGCGAGTCTCGCACGCAGTTCGGAATCCCTGACGGCTTCCCCGCACTCTGTCAAAAGTCAATTACCGAAATTCTCCTGCACTTCGCTCATGATGGCGCATGGCGTCAGCCACCCGTGACTCATCAGACTGCTTGTGACCGCGGAGCGTTATATTAGCCAAGTCCTAGCTGCAGCAGAGGCGGCGTCTCTCAGCGCAGGGCACCCGCTGCAGCTTTCCATGCATCGTCACTCAAGACTGCTGCAGCCATGCATGGGACGCTCGCGACAGGCGCACGCGTGAGCGCTGCGTGAAACCTACGCACCATGCAGCAGAGCTTGCCGGCCTTGCCCCGCATTTCATGCCTGAGCATCACGCACAGCAGTCTCGCACGTCCCTCTGAAGATCCTCTCCCTGCTTTCTCTCTTCTGTTGTGCTGATTCGCCAAGAGGGATGCACGAATTGTGATGGTTGTGCTAGGAAAATACACTCCGATCGGCTGCTGTTTGCCGTTGAATCAAGAGTTCAGGTCTCTGACCTATCAGAGCGTGGAGCCAGATGTTTCATGCTTGTAGTCACGCTGTCGAGTGATCACGAGTTACGAGTACATGTGGCTTTGTACATGTTACCAGGCACACCTCCCGACTTTCTACTCATCAACATAACCATCGTCTAACGCCCTCTCATACGTCTTGGTCCCAGCAAGTTTGTGTAAGGATTTGCTACTATTCTCGCACCGATTCACGATCCAACTCGCCAACATGGCCTCACAACAACAAGATGACCGTATGCGGTCCGAGGCGGATGCTGCGCTGCGTGAACACAGTCACCTCAACTGTGACGGTTTCGAGAGCAGCAAGGTGAGCTGTATGCGTAGCGCAGCCAATGATAATGAATCCACAACTGAGCTCGAGCCCACCTTGCCTTCTTCCCCCACCTCTCTCTCCCCCGGAAAGGTGTTTGCGCTAACATCGGCCATCCTAGCATCACCAAAGCCGGGAGGCATGACTCGGTCACGTCTGATCAGAAACATCAACGCGATCTTCCTATTCATTGTGCACCCGACAACACCCCTGGACGCTAGTAACCCCCGGACGAAGCCCACAAAGTCGTCGAGCGGAGGGGCTCTGCGGCCTGCACTCTGGCACGTCGACATGAGGCGCTCTGGGCAGATTGGAAAAGGACAACCACCTACTACTCTGTTGGGTCGAAAGCGAAGGGCAGACATTGTGGTGGAGTGCCGTGAGTAGCTTTGGCGCTCCTCTACAGCCACAGGGGCGACTTTGATGATGCTCCGTGGGGCTCAGACTGATCAGTCTTGCTCGGGCATCAATCATTCAGGCGATCGCGACCTCGTGGACCTCGCTACTGGCAAGCTCCATCCCGCGAAGCTTTACAACGGCGGTAGGGTGAGTAGCATTTGATGGACCTTTTTGAGTGGCACAGGACACGACTTGCCGTAAATGGTGGGGGATCGTCACCAGGTTGGCGCTCCAAACAGGGGGTCAGGCCGCCTTTGACTTCCAGCTGACCACCTAGTGCGCTCGTACCCTGCCCAGCTCAAGATTAAAGGAGACCTCGATCGCGCTCTCCGCATGGCCACAGTTCTCAGTCACGAGCGCAGCAAGATCTTTGGTGCCCCACCTGTTCCTTTGACCGATCCAAACTTTGGTGTCCAGGACGCTCATCAGGGCTCTGTGCTCAATGGCCAAGCAGACTACTCTGATGGCGCTCCAGCCCCATTTTCGGACGTCAACCCACCTCGTTCGAGACTCTGAATGGGTCTGCAATGCTGTTGCTACAGTCATATTTGGAATGGGCTCTTCGAGCTTACATGTCGGTCTGCGAATGCCCAGACTCGTGTTCCTTTGTCATGAGCGCCGCCCTCTCTTCTGACTACCGCTTCGTGAAATGGATGCATTGGTCACAGCCTCGAAGCGACGGCCTGCTGTCGTGATACTTCACCGAGCATCCATCGGCTGTGGAGCGTCTACCGCGGATTGTTCGAGGGCAATGTTGCAGCTCATTCCTTCGGCCAGCCCTGGCTGTGATACTCGTGACTCTATAGGACGCGGATACTTTGTGGGATCTTCCAGGAGGGTAAAGTAGTCTGCTGCCTGCCTCATAAACGTGAGCGTTCGTGAATTGAGGCATCTGCAAGGGACTCGTCGAGCGCACATACATTATGCATCAGCAGGTGCTCGTCTTCTCCGTCTAGCGCGCGTAAAAGCGGCCGACCTGACTTGGCAGCTGCGCTTTGGCACACCTGCTCAGCTCCTGACGGCCACGGTACATTCGCAGTCAGTCGCAGCACACAGAAAAAAGGGTCTTGCGGCTGATTCAAAGGAAAGGTGAAGACGCAGTCACCATTGGGAGACACGCCAGTTGGTGTCCTGAACTCAAGACAGATCTCGCAGCAAGTCCCTTCGCGCTAAGCCGTTGCTTGAGCGCGTGATGGGCCAATTCGCCATTCCTTGCTCCTTGCATATGTTGTTGCTGCGCGCCCGAGACTCACCGGCGCAGATAGTTGGTGGTCGTGGATGACAGCTGATCAGGCCAAGCCTCTCAAGCACATACATGTCTTCGGATCGATTACAGTATCGACATGCATTCACGGATTATCTGGCCGGGAGGAAATTCACGAATATGAATTTTGAATGGCAAACAATCACGAACGGTGAGTCACGAGTGCACGCATGCCCGCGTATGAGCATCAGCCCCCTCAAGTCCCAAAATCAGCTTCGATGATATCACACACGCATCACCAAGAGTCTCGCGGGCGCCGGCGCGCGCGCGGCTGCTGATGCTGCATGGGATTTGGTTTGCGCGCAGGATGTCTGAAACCGTTGTCTGCATAAAACACGCGCGCCCTTGCTCCTTGCTATACATACATGATGCGTAGGCAGCCCCTGATTTGAGCTTCGCCTCGATCGCGGACGTTCGTCTGCTGAGGCAGCCTTGTTCACCGTGACTGTCTCTTATTGCTTACAGGCACGCTGGAGCGAGTCTAGTCATATGAGCGCTGCTCTTTTCTGCTTCAAATTTGTCTGCCTCCCGGGCCGTCTCCCCTCGACTCTTCACCGCGCTCTCAGGCTACATCACATGTACTGGTCGAGCTGGCAGCCGGAGAGTGCCGATGTACAACGATGCCAGGAGGTTGTCGCTGGCCGCAGAGCGCTTTGACACGGAGATCCAACGGTGCCGAGGTCTGATCTCACGTCCAGACGAAGTTGCGCACTATTTTCAAGGGTCGTCGCCCACACAGATGCTTACATACTTTCCCGAGCAGGTCGCTTATATGCAGGGGTCATGTTACAATCTCAAGCACGAATCGTGATCGAAGAGGAAGTAGAGCAACGTCCGTAGAGCGATTCAGTGATTCACGAATCGCGGCTTGGCTCGACGCTCGTCATGATCTCATCGCTGGCGTTATAGAGTCCTGATCTGCCCCGTGCCTTGCTCCGGGAAGAATAAGATGCGGTCCCGGACACGGCTTGGCTACTGTAAGTCATCGAATGGCTGCTCGAAGCTGTACCTTGCTTTCCGTTGTGATGGCTGCGGCTCGCGACGATCGTGGTGCCTAGCCGGCGACGCGGTCCACCACCTGCAGCGACCCGAGCTTGGGCCTCCTCAGCATACAACAAGCACAAACAGGCTTTTAGGGGGTGATCCACCTCATCTACCTTTCCTCGCTCCCTTCTTCGCAATAGGGTCCGGATCAGAGGGCCAAGAAAAGTTCGTAAGCCCTCACCCACGACCCTCACCTTCACAATTGAAGAAAGACAGGGACTCCTTCGGTATTCCTTCCACCGTCCCTGCCATTGCCCTTACCACTGTTCCTCGCGTTCACGATTGTCCCTCTCCCTCACGTAGCCCTTATTGCCAAGTCAGGCACCTTGAACGCCCGTCACCGGCCCTTAAGCTTAGGTCAGAGGTACAAAATACGCCAGCCAGCCCGAGCCTGACCACGCTCCCAAACATATTTCCGCCCCTGATCAAGCCCACATTGACGATACGCAACACCCCTGCCTCGTCCGCCGGTGCTCAGCCAAAGCTTCGCCGAAACATCTTGGTGAGTCCGAACGAGGATCTGTGTTTGTACGGCTGCCCATCGTGAGACCAGCGTTCATTCGCTAGAGGTGTGGGCGCAGGACCGCTCAGCTTCGCTCAACATCAGAGCGTTGCAGAATGGGTCACAGGGTAGAGTGGGATGCTGCGCCGGCGCAAGTGCCGCAAGCTTGCCTCGTCGAAGTTTGTTCGCGCAGCTTTTGCACGCCTTTCATGGGCGCACGGCTCCTCAGAGCTGAGCATTGCGTGCGCTCTGCCTGTACCGGACCTCTTTGCAAACCGACATGTGGTCGTCTACGACGGAGAGCAGTGGCGCTGCCCCAACCCATATGCGCGGGTTGTGTCCATCAAATGCGGCGTGGCGTGGTCATGAAGACTACCATCATCTCACAAAGCCACGACCAATGTTTTGCGAGTGCTCTTCTTTCGTTCGGCCGCTTTCGATCTCGCATCGCTGGTCGCAAAGGCAATGGAGCGCAGAGGAAGCGGCGAGAAGCTCAGCCAAGCTGGTGCATCCAGTCGTGAAGCCTCAGTCAAGCGGCGTGCAGCGGTGCAAGCTGCCAACGACCTCTCCCTGTACTATTTGCATTCACTGGCTGGTGTCTCTGTCCGAGCACACACGAAGGACAGACGCGCTGATGCTGGCTCTCCACATTCATGCAGGCTTCACTCCATTAGCCAGCGTGCATCGTCCATCGCGTCAGACTCTTTACTGGCTCCAGGCTCAAACTCTAACTCATCCACACGATATCGACGCTCGACGGTCTCCTCTACCTCCTCATCCCGGCAGCCTCGAGCGAAGGCGGAACCTTCTCTTGTACCGACGTGCGATCTCCAAATCCCTTCAACGCTCCAACATCAGTGCCGACTTCCCGATCTACATTCTCGAGAACGTTCACTTCAGCAATCTGCTTCTCCCAAAAACTGCGAGTTCAAGGGCAGCGAGCCAAGACTCTCTACCACTCTTCACAAAATCTCGCAGTCCAGTCCATCCGCTTCAGCAGAGCTTGCTCCCATTCGTGGTCTCGCAAAACGCTGCTCCGCTTCACATTGTCGTGGTGAGGATCTTCAGGAACTGCTGTCATTGCCTCGCGCTTCCGAGGCCACGCGTCCCTCACCTTCTCAGGAGACCTGGCCGCTAGCTCTGATCTCCACCAGCTCTCACTCGGCAAGTGCTGGCAGTCCCAACCCCTCGCGTCGTTCTCCCTCAGCTTGTGACGTCCAATTACTTACCCTCGTCTCGACGAGTGTGAGGCACCGACGGGGCCGTAGTCACGGTCAAGACCAACGAACACCCGCGGCCAGTCGCTCTCAAGGGACCACGAGCTCTCAGCTACTTTCTGGTATAGCCGGTGACAAAATAGCTCAAACTTGGTATCACTCCAGCATGCTCATTAGGAACGGTTGTGCTGCGACTGCATTCCCTCCCAAGCTCGGCTCTTTGAGCAGCCCTCGGCCACTGTCTGCAATAGACATGTCATCCACTTGCGGAGACCGCGTGTCAGAGCCAAGCACCATCAGCGGTGCAATGCCGACGGTCTCTGAAGATGCTGGAAGTGCTACGGAGACAGAGCGTACACCGACACCTCATTGGCGATCAAAATTCGAGCAATCACCTGTGGCGCACCAACGTCAAGCTTCTCGTATCACAGTACAACTCCACAGACGAGGTCAAAGCGACGTCGGCGTGACGTCGAAGTCTCAGCTTGCGGGCGACGGTGATATTCAGAACCGCAAGCATGAATTGCCAAGAGGTCCGACTCAAAGCACTGATGGAGAGTGCATGGAGGTGCTGATCATGGGCAGCCTCCAAGCAGCGGGACCAACTCACCCTTCAGAGCGCACTTCTCGCTCTCGACCTCGCGCCAGCACGTTCAGCATTCCTAGTTTCCACCCGTCTGTCGCAGATCCTGCGCCAGAGCGAGAACTTGCCAGCGAGCACCGCAACCGACGTCGCAGCAAAGTCCTCTTTCAACAAAAGCTTGTTGCTCGACACGCACGCAGCGCGTCAAGAAGTGAGACGGGTGAAGTGGTCCACACTGCTTCGTCGCGACCTCGGCGGAGAACGAAGAAGCCCTTACCATTGGAGCGCCCAGCCGTACCAGCACGTCGAGCATCGAAGAGCAACGTGCTTGACACTGCTGAAGTCAGGCTCCACAAAGATCAGCTTCAGCTTGAGTGGGAAGATCACACGCTAGCTACCGCCAAGCTGTTCATCGACTGTGGTTACGGCACGCTTTCGGCCCCATCTAACCTCCACGAAGCTGGCATGCGATGGCCGAGCGTCGCTGGACAAGGTGCTCCAGCATGCTGGAGCGCGAGAAGTACAGGACTGGCGACGCCCATGTCACGCATCACCTCGGAATTTGCAGAAGAGGTAGAGGCGTGGAGCAGCTCGGATGAAGAGGGGCATAGCCAAGACCAACGCAGTCGACGTCAGCTGGAGGCTTTCAGCACTCCTCTGTCTAGTCCGCGCACCGCTTTTGACTTCAGCGCTGTCCACCAGGCTCAGGGTAGAAGCCGCGCTGCCCTTCGTAAATTGCCGCCGTCTTCATCCGCGACTCTATACGAGCGAAGGCCTCTACCTCTGCCGCCTGTGTCTGGGTGCGATGGATCTGCACTCATCCCACACTGCACGAGTGATCTTCTGGAAGTAGGCAAGGAGAGCTCACTTCTTCTCCACCTTGGGCAAAGGAGCACGTGTCAAGATCTGATGTCACGAGCCGTTGACCAAGCGGCTGCTCAGAACATGCTGCGAGTCCGCAGTAGCTCTAGCGTATCTTCCAACTATAGCGAATCAACCTGCGCTTCCAGCTTGATGTGTATTCCTGGGGACGAGGTGACGGTAGCGAGGGAAGGCCTATCGGACTGGTCATCACCAGCCAGCTCTCTTCCATCTCTATACTCACCTGATGCCTCGCCAAGCAGCTTCAGGGGACGCGATCTACCTCCCGTGCTCACTATCAGCCCCGGGGACTGTGCCGACCTCAACAGAACTAGCCTTCAACGGGACTTCTTCGCTGCGCCGGGCAAACACCGTAAGACGTCGGACCATAACTCAGGCACAGCAGCCCGGCACCTCACCGCCTCACGAGAAGGCGAGAGCAGGCTGGGACCTCACACCCCAGTGCGCGCCGGTAGTCTGCACAGACCAGCACCACAATCCTGGAACCCTAGCGCCACACTGCTCGGTGCATGGCTGAGTGACAGTGATGATGCCTCGAAGCCCCGCTTCATCGACCCATTCTCGGCGGGGCGCGAGCCTCTCAAACACGAGCCAATGCCGGTGGTGCCTCCCAAAGGCTCTGCCATGTTGCGACTACATTCTACCCCAGTCACGGGCACTGGCCCCGCGGCAGGATTTGGAGATTCGCGCTCGCTCGCTGCTTTCGTCGCCGATGCTGAGCAGAGCGCAGCAAGGAGCCAGTCGACCCCAGACGCTGCGCCCACCAAGACGGGCTCCACCTTCTTTCGCCGCTTCGAGCGTGCACCTCGAAGCGCAGCACCTCTACGTGCCCGAGCGTCGGATGCGTCAATTGATATCTCTCGGAGACACTGCGATTCGGTCATATCAAATCATCCTGTGTCGAGGTCATCGAGCCCCTATCTTCAGCCATCTGCGGCGGCTTCGCAATCGCGGCTAGGAGCCAAAAGCTTCGGGCGTAGCAGCTTCTCACGTCTCCGAACATCTGGTACCGCTGGTCTTGCTGCACTCGCATCAGTTATGGACAAGAACCCGGGTGAAACAAGATCGGCCGGCCGAGCACCAGACGATAGTGGGTATATCACCGACTCCCAGAATCGAGAGCCGGCAGCTGCCAAATCAAGTCATAGTCTATTATCAGTTGCTGGAGAGCCAAGCAGTCTCCGACTTGGAGTGAGCCGATCGGGATCTCGACTTGGCCTCACGAACTTAGGCTGGTCGCGAGATCGCAAAGACTCTAGCAGGACATGTGTCGACCAAGACCCAACGCGCTCCCGCACACCTAGCATATCACGTGCGCTTTGGGCTTGAGGCGGGTCAAAGTCAACAAGTGCCCTCGGGTCGTGTAGTGTTTTGATTGGCTAGTCTTGCTCCTTATGAAGCTACTCCCATCCCATTGCCTTCAGATTGTGCCGGCCCCAGGGTCAGCATCCGCCTGTAACGATACCCTTCCCTGCTTCGAGGGGGCGAACGCATATTATACTTGTGACCGCACGAACCCCTTCTCTGACAAACTTGCTGAAGTTGTGACCTATGTCGTATGAGCTTAGTAGCCAAACGCAGGATGTACGAGCGATAGGTGCGGGATGCGGGATGCGGGATGGTGGGTCGAAGTCAAGCAGATATCGTGACTGGCACCCGTACCGGTACCGCAGCTGAAGCTCAGCATAGTCAGTAAGTCACGAATGGTGAGTCAAGCGCGTCGCAGCTTGCATGCCTGCACAGCATGGGGCTGCAAATGGAGCGCGGCCGCATGGGCGTATGCGCGTCTGGTGTTGCATCCGTGCTCAGCGTGCGGTTCACAAGTACAATCGCGGCGGGTTGAAGCGCTTGGCAGACTTTGGACGCACAGCACTTTGAGGCCCTGAGATCTCACAGACCATTCCCTTCTTGACCCGTCGCGCTGCTTGTCGTTGCGTTGAGCTACGCCGTACTCTATAGCACCAACTCATCGCCACGTTTCAGGCGCACCAGGCGAAGCTCGAAACGCCTCTCAGAGTCGGCTCCCTGGACAGCATTCAGAGAGTACCGACCACTCTACGGCTGGCGAGAACATCGGATCTCAACAAGCACTGGGCATTGCTCCAGGCTCTCAGCTTCGTGCCTCCAAGAGAGACTGACGAGCACTCTCGCTCCTTTCCTTGGTCATTATGGCGGCTCCGAAGCAGGCTTCAAGCCTGCTGTCAGTCGCATTCAACCAGACGCAGGACTGTCTTAGCGTTGGCACTAGGAATGGCTATTCGATCTATGGTGTGGAGCCGTATGGCCGACTTTTGAGCGAAAAGGGGGATGGCCGGGCGATTGTGGAAATGCTGTTTCAAACAAGTCTGGTAGCGCTGGTGGGAACGGCCGATTCGTCACCTCAAAGCTCGCCCAGGAGGCTGGAAATCGTCAACACAAAGCGGCAAACAACGATCTGCAGCTTGCTGTTTCCCACTGCTGTGCTCGCTGTCAAGCTCAACAGGCAGCGCGTAGTAGTGGTCACAGAAACAGAGATATTCATCTATTCGATCTCAACCATGAGACTGCTGCACACCATCGAAACAAGCCCCAATCCTCAGGCTGTATGCGCTCTGACGCCCTGCTCCGAACCTTGCTACCTCGCGTACCCTTCCCCCGTGCCTTCTCCCACATCTCCTTTCGCCAACAACACGACGAGCACCACCTCGATGCCGGGCGACGTACTCATATTCGATCTGACCAGCTTGACTGTGGTCAACATCATTCAAGCACACAAGACACCCATCTCGTGCCTCGCCTTCAACTCGACAGGAACCATGCTTGCAACTGCGAGTGACAAGGGCACTGTTGTGCGCGTCTTCTCAGTCCCTGGAGCACAGGTGAGTTTCGACTATCCCAGATTGCTAGGTGCCATGTCCACGCCGGTTACCAGGGGAACTGAGGCCTATTCGTTGCGGGATCACCCTCTCTTCAGAAATTGTACCAATTTAGGCGCGGTAGTCGACCAGCCAGAATATATAACATCAGGTACGTCAGATTCTGAGCGCGGCGCCTTTTGACCGCTTTCTTAGCTCATTCGACTTTTTGATCTCTCAATAGCTTCAATGCAGTCAGCACGCTTCTCTGCGTCTCTAGCGACACCGAAACAGTCCACATCTTTAAGCTTGCTGGCCAATCATCAAGCAATGGCAACACTGCGAGGCCTGCGATTGGACCAGACAGCGGCTCCAGTCCCACGCCCAGTTTTGAAGGCAGCGAAGCTTCGAGCGCTGGACCAGGAGGCTACGAGGCATTCATTAGCGACAAGAAGAAGGGTGGAGGTCTCAGGTGAGTGTTACTAGAGACCGGGTTCCTCGGGCCTGGAATTTCGGTCGTTGAAACACACTCTCTTGCTACCCGTCAGCGGTACGTTGCGAAGACGGTCAATGGCCATGGCCAGGGCGGCCGGTGGCGTGAGCAGCTACCTGCCTGGAGGTCTGTCAGAGATGGTAAGTGGTGTGTCATGCGAAGCTTCGAGCAAGCGTGCTGAAATCACAGTCTCTTCTTTGCAGTGGGAACCAAGCAGGGACTTTGCGTACTTGAAATTGCCCACTGCAGGAGTATCTTCGGTCGTCGCGCTCAGCAGCACGACTCCACAGGTACTTGTGGCGACAAGCGAGGGTTTCTTCTACTCGTACAACATTGACCTCGAGAACGGAGGAGAGTGCTCTTTAACACGACGTAAGTTTTGCTGTTCCTTTTCGACGACGTTCAAGGCAAGAAGGGTGCTGAAGCCCCTTTCTTCCCTGCGGCTTCACCAGAATACTCTTTACTGGAGAGCGAGGAAACATCCAATGGCGCGGCTTCTTCCATGGCGGAATGATTCGCTCACTTGCAACCTCTGAGTGGTTGTCGCGCACCCGAGCATCGTTATAGCCCGTCATCTTGCCATTCTGATCTGTGCGAATTTCGTCTGTGCTTCGCTCAGTCGTTCACAGCCTTTCTCAATTCATACCTGTCACGATACTTGCACGAGCAACAAGAGCTTGTCAGTCGATTTTCTTGTTTCGTGTCCATCATTCACGGTGATGCATTTGAGTAAGAGTTGAAGCAAATTGAGTGCCATGGGTTCCAAATGTGGCGGAAGACTGGGAATAGTATGAGCAATGCCGAATGATTGAGACTCGGAGATCTTGTGTACCGAAACGAAGCATGCAGCGCCGCACAGCTTGAATATTTGGACGAAAGCTGCTCCGTAGATTGCGCGCTATTGGCGCTCAGGATTCCAGCTTGCAGTGTGTTGAGAGTCTTTAGGTGAGTCATCGAACATGTTCTTGCCAAAAGAGCCGGGCGTGTCAGGTCGTCGACGCCTAGCAACCTCGCTGTCACTGTGACTGTGTCCGTCAAACATGGCGTAAGCTCGCTCATCGTCCTCATCTATCACGTGTGTGCGCTTCCAAAATTCCGCAAGAGCCTCTCCGTCGGGAGAGTTCCATTCCTGCGAACGAGGAGCAGCGGACCAAGCTTGCAAAGTCTTCCTGTCCCTGTGCAAGGTCGGCCGCCTCTTGAAGACTCGCTTGGCGCTCGTCAGCTCCTGCTTGTATTCCGCGATGGAAAGCCCGTCCGGAGGTACGAATTTAGCTGGGGGCAACGGTGCCTTGACCTTTCTCCCTTGCTCGGGCAACAGCTGGGTGCCCTTCTCCTTTATTGGCGAGCGCAAGAGCTCCTTGTCGCCTTCAGCCGGCTGCAAGATGCGCTCGATCCGACCGTATTCACGGATGAATTGCAAGCCTCGCTTGATGGAGATGCTGGGCACTGTCCTGTTAAAGTCAGTGCCGCACAGAAGGGCAAGCTCCATGAAGCGAGCAGAACTCTCCATATCCCCTTCGAGACTGATCGCACCGCCAGTGACCGACACTAAGGGACTGTCTGAAGTTGAGTCCGCGTCGTGCGACTGCGTCCCAATTTCTTGTATGTGATGAGCGCTGGACGTGCTCGCGAGACGTTCAGGCGGAAAGAATGCTCGACGCACGGCTTGAGCATCCACCATCTGTAGAGGACCCCCAAGAGCGCCTCGTAACATCGGCACGTCGTACAGCAGTGTATCGCTATCTTCGGACACCACAGCATCTGCAAACCCCTGCTTAACGATCTCTGCGCACAACGCTTCGGCTTCTCCAGGTCTCTGGACACCTGCCACACCCGATCCCGTCCAGATGACTGGTACACCATGCAAGGAACACAGCTCTGCCGCGGTCTGCGAAAGATTGGGCGGGAGTGGGCGCGTTGCTCGTTTGTAGCCTGTGGTGATCACGTCATGCGCTTGAGTCATCTCTTGAAGCAGGGTGGTGAGTGGGCGCTCCTGCTTCGCCGGCGAAGACACGAGCTGACCTTGCTCAGGCTGCGCGACCTCGAAGCTTGCCTCGTCCGCTGGCGTAGTATCCTTTGTCCCACCAGCCACCTCTGCGCTCGATGGCGCAGTAGCCCCTATAGAGTGCGCAGTGCGCTCGCCTCGCGACGCGAGCTCATCGGCAAGCTCGATCTCGGTGATCTTGTCTGTCCACGCATGGGTCTCGGCAATCGCTGGCTCTACTTCTGGCTCGGGATGCGTCTCTAGAGCCTCATGTACCGCTTCTTCACTACTGATGGTAGAAGCGTCGAGCCTTTTGCTGACAGAATAGGCTAGAGACGTGGAACCAGCTTGGAATGCTCCATGCATTTGGCCTTCGGTGAGGGACAAGAGCCTTTGTCTACGCGACTCCTTCAATGGCTTGGACGCCGCAAGATCTTGCAGATAACCTTCATCGTCCATCGCGGTTTCCTTGCACATCGCTTCGAGAAAGTCGATTTGTAGCCGCAGAATGCGCTTGGCAAACGTAAGACCTTGAGAAGCCTGGATGGCAGAAATCGAGGCTGACCGAGCTTCGGTGTCCTTACCCGTGTCATTGATTTGGTGACTAGTGTTGATCGCAGATAGTGCATCAGAAGAGCTAGGCTGGCCGTCCAAGCGTGCAGCCAAGGATTTAAGAGCCTGAACTTCGCTTCTTAGCTCTGCATCATGAAGCTCTGTCAGGATTCGTGGTTCATTGCTGCTTGTCAGCTCTTCACTAGCGGCAGCCGCATTGGAATCTGCGCCGGCGTCCACGTGCCAGGTGGATCGCCGTGTCGGCGTGGACCACTGCTGAAGATATCTTGCACACTCCAGCCTAGAATTCTCGTCCATATCAGCCCACTCTGGCACCAACTGTTTGATGACCGCAATCCTCTCCATCCTCTTGTTTTCCTCTCGCAGCCTGAGGTTGAGTCGAGCTCGATGCAGCTTCCGCTTCTGGTGTTCCCGCAGCTTTTCTGGAACCCGCGCGGTTGGCTCTGGATTATCAAAGACGAAGACGGGCTGGATTCGATGACTGCGCAACGTCCTGAGCAGGTTTGAAAGACCCAGCATATGCCGATTGTCACTTTCGCTCGGAGAGAAGTGTAGCCTCATGAGCATCAGAGTGCCGTCGCTGTGCAATAAAGTGGGCGATACGCGATTGCGATCATGAGCGAACGATGTTCTGCGGTGTGCATGCGCCCGATGGGCATGTCAGGCGCGACTCTGGGCAGGACACTCACAAGGCGAGCTTTGATCCTGCTAGCTCTTCCCATCCCCTGACCTCGCGCACGGCATGAGGCGCGTGGTCCTTGATCAAGCGGAAGATGTTCTTGATCCCCATCGTGTCCAGAGAAGGAGTGCCGCCCTGTATCAAACAGTTAAGATGGAGCCCGGGCAGCTTGTGATGGCGGTCATGCCTCAATCTGGAGTGGCGAAACGTTGAATGAGCACGTCCGAGATGAGGCCCATTGCGAAATCGATCTGGGAATTGAGGGAGGTGCGCGCCTTCTTATGTTGCTCTGCAGCATAGCAGTTGCAACGCCAAAGTGCTCGTGAGCTCGAAGGAGGGCAAACAATTTAATGGCATCGGCGACCTACACGACGATGAAGGAGCGAAAGGTGTCGCATGAGTAGCGAGTGCTAGGTGACAGCAGGATAGGCGCGCAGCAGACCAAGGACAAAAGAGGGCATCATCAAGGGTCTCGGCGAAATCTTGACATCACGTGTGCGGTACCTGAAGCGTCTGGCCGAATCACGTGCGCCATGCTTGGCCCGCCGATCGCTCCGCCTCCATGAAGACCGCCGCCGGCACTCGTTACTCGTGACTCATCAGACTGTGCTCGACAGGCTTCTCCACACTTGACTCTTGGATCTCGACACACTCAAGACTGCTCACGGCTTCGCATTCGCAATGAGCATCGCAAGCGAAGCACGGACAGTCCTTCAACTCACTGCTCTGCCACTGACCCTTGATGCGGACTGGCGCAAGATCGATTGACCTCGCCCTAATCTTCTCCGCATCTCGCATGCAAGGCTTGCTGAGCGGAGTTGGCTTGCTCACCGGGCTCTCGCCAAACCACCTTTCGACATCCTCTGGAATCGCCTTGACTAGACCGCCTTTGCTACCGCACCATCATGCCGCGCACAAATGTCAAGTCACAAATGCATTCTGGTACCATCATCGCGTCCCGTAGCTCGTCTAGACTAGCATCCGTTGCTACCTCTGCTCACATCCAAGATGGAAGGTCGAAAGCGCAGAGCGTAAGCACACTGGTGGGAGCTGTGAGTCAAGGCAAGCGCACATTCTCCAACTCCAGCGCCTCCGACATCTCCAACAAGAGGACCAAGATCAAGGGCGAGTCCTCGCTACCTCTTCCTCCCAAGAAAGCCGCAGCGGACAAATCGAGCAGGTCGCAGGCGGAGGCTGAAGAGGGCGGACGTGTAGATCATCTGGCTCGTCATGCGCAGAACAAAGACTTGCCACCTCTGCTCAGCGAGGCCGAGATCCGTCTTGCGACGACGATGAAGCGACCTCGCATGACGTACTCTTTCGAAGTGGCTAGGAGACACCTGGAAGAGGCAGATGTGCGATTCAAGAGCATGTTCTCCACAGTCGACATGACTAGATTCAAGCCTTTCTTGGCAGCCGCTCAAGAAGGTGCACCTGAGCCGGCCATCTCACAAGACGATGACCAGTGGAACATGATCTCGGGCAAGGACGACGCAGAGGTTCAGCAAGATCGAGCGAACGGAGTGGAAGAGATTGATCTATTCAGGTGTGTGAGAACGACACGCCCGTCTGTGTGTCATGGGCTCATCGAGGCAATCTTCCACGCAGAACAATGACGACGTCCATCATCGGACAGCAAATTTCGTGGAAAGCTGCCAAGGCTGTAATTTGGCGTTTCTGCTCCATCTTCCACCCTGAGCTCGGCCAAGCGCCTTCTGATCGAGAGCAATTCAAATCCCAGCTCGTCTTTCCGGCTCCCCTGCAGGTCTTGTCAGAGGATCCTCGCAAATACAGAGGTGCTGGTCTAAGTGAAGCCAAAGCTCGATCCGTCGTCGATGTCGCAAGAAGATTCGCTGATGGACGTCTGAACGTTAGGAGATTATCCGCTGCTAGCACTGAAGGGTGCACCGATGAACTCGTCGAAGCTAGAGGTGTGGGACCTTGGACCGCGCACATGGTCCAGCTTTTCGCTCTTCGGGAACCAGACGTGCTGCCAGTTGGTAAGTGTCTGGCACCCGACGTGGCAAGTCTCGTGCTGAATGTCTGTCTCCTGTCCTAATGCAGGTGACCTTGCGGTGCAACGAGGCATGGTGGAGTTCTTTCTCTCAGATCGCAGAGGACCGAAAATTGCAAGAAAAGAAGGAGGGATCTACGAGCGGGACTCGCCGCCCCCCGACATTTATACTAGAGAAATTCCCTTGCATCCGGCCGGGATCAGCCATGAGTTCCTGCGCTCTCGGCGGAACTTAGAATTCAAAAAGCGCAAATACTTTTTGTCGTGAGTCGGGGCGTGTCGCACATTCCCTGCCATCTCTCCAAGCTTATAGACCCATCACCTACTGCCGAGCTGCAGGCCTGAGCAGATGGAGCTCCTCACAGAGACTTGGCGACCTTACCGAAGTGTCGGCGTTTTGTTAATGTGGTGAGTGTATACTCCAGATCCTACCTCCTGAGGTGTATCCGCGCTAAGAAGTCTTGCCTTCCGCCCTTCTCCAAAAGGTGCGTGGTGGATGAGGCAGGCAAGAAGCCAGCCCCGAAACCTCAGCCGAAGGTAGAGCCTGTCCTGGAGCCGGCTTCGAAAGATACTGCTGCTGTCATCAATGATCAATGATCTTGACCAGCCGACTTCTTCATAGCTTCCACGCGCTCGTACAGCAATGACTGGCAATGCGATCCACAGGGGTGTCGTCGTATGTGCGAAAAGCAGTGTGAATAACAACGAGTGAATCCTGATGCCCCGCTCTGTTACTGCGTTGCTCGGTCTATCGTTCCTGATGCCTGCTCCAGCAGGTCAGGCGCGTCCATTACCCGTCGAGGAGCCACTTCGACGCTAACATACTTGCTATTCACGCCAAGCTTTTCGAGGAAACCATCCCAAAGCCCCGTCTTGCAAACCATCGCCAGGATGATGACCGCGGGCAGATGCACCAGGCTGACCCAGAAGCACCATCTTGCATCCTTGTCGTTTTCGAACTTCCAGAATCTCCAAGCAGCGTGAGCAAGGACTAGATTCGGCGGTAAGCTCAACAGAGCGTAGATGGGTGAGAGTGCGCCTGTGTATGCAAGGGCGATGCATAAAGGTGTGCACGCTATCGCGTATCGCAGACTTGTGCGTCGATTGAGCAGAGGGTGCGATGCTGACATCATCCGGTATCCTCCTCGCGCGTACTCTGATCGAAGGTTGTGAGAAAGAGCATTGAAGTGCGGAAATTGCCAGGCGAAGAGCAAGGCAGCCAGCAGCCAGCCTGGCGAGTCACCAAAGGAGGAGAGTGACCCGGTAGCTGCGGCCCAGCCCATTAAGGGAGGCAGGGCGCCAACGAGCGATCCGATCCAGGTGTTAGCGATGTGGATACGCTTCAAAGGGGTGTAGACGAAGGAGTAAAGTACGATGTTGGCCGCCCCTAGAGCAGCAGTGAGAGGATTGACGGCAAGGGCAAGGGTTGTGATGCCCGAGATCGAGGCAACACTGGCAAAGCAGGCCGCATGTAGTGGAGTCAACATGCGCGCTGGAAGAGGTCTGTTGCGCGTTCGTGGCATCTGCGCATCGTATGGAGCCTCGATGAGCTGGTTGAGACTGTTGGCTGCCGCGCTGCAGGTCGCTGTGCCAAAGGTGAGAGCGAGAAGAGCAGTAGGTCCAGAAGCTACGGCCAAGCTTGCGGGACACAGCGCGTAGCCGGCCATCGCTGTCAATGTGACTAGCAACGTCAGATTGGCCTTGCTCAATGCCACGTAGGCCTTTCTGAGCACTCTTGGAGTGAGTGAGGGCACTGGCTGATACCCTGCTGCAATTGCCGCTGATGGAGTTGTGGGCAGCATCAACGGTCCGGAAAGAGGCGCCCTCGTTGGATCGTCAGATGGGGGCTGATGCGCGGATGGTGCGTAGGGAGATGGCGCAATTCCTCGTGAAGGATCAAAGAAGCTGACAGGAAGCGCTGCCCCGTTCGGAGCGGCGCACTTCGTAGTGGCAGAGGTATAGCATCTGTACCGACTCGGCGTACATGCACACCTCTGGTGCTCGGTCAGCTTGGCATTGGATCGAACGCCTGGGAGCCCAACAATCGAGGCCCGCGATGAATGCGAATAAGGGCGCCTTGAAAAGCTCATCAGACAGCTCTGACACCCGATGCCTTGCCTGGCGCGAGAGTTGAAGCCCGATGTCGCTAAGCGATTGAGAACAGGTCCAGGCCGAGAGACACTGTCTTTCGCGTAGTGTGCCGCGCAGGTCCTTGAGACCGCCATCGATGAGAGCGATTGAACAAAATGGCTGTGTGACTTGTCCCGGCTCTCGAAAGCAGTGCGCAATCTGGGGACTTGAGAGGCGACCGGAAAACGCAGAGCACTCGAGCCGAGGACGAGACGCGATGAGACGAGCAACGACATCGTGGCCAAGCTGTCGTGACCGAGGTAGCGCGACGCCGAGTGTGCGGACGATGACTTGCGTGCAGATGTCGATGAAGCGTTGTGCGTGAGGTGCAATGGAAGACTGAGGAGTAGGTGTTGTAAACAGAACATGCAACACTTGCGAAATAACTCGACCTCGAAGAAATTGTGTGCCTGTAAGGCGGATCGCGGCCGCTCTGAAAAGCCCAAACGCGTGCCAAGCTGCTTTTGCTTCTTGCTGCCTCTCGGAAGTTCTCGGCCGGATGAGCCGAGCTACGCGCCATCTCAATCTCGAACGCCCGCACCATGCAGCAGCACCAGCATGCGATACCCGCTCAACGCGCAGCAGCACCCATGCGGTCGATCCACTACTTTTACGCCGAATCGAGCTCGCCTGTCATGCATGGACGGGGTCACGAGTGTGATGAGGTGTGTATGGCAATTTGACTCACGATCGATTTGTGATGGCGCCTTCTGCCTCATCGCTGTGCCCCCCAACTCCACCACTACGTTCGCATTCATTCGCCATTCTACAGTCTAACATAAGAGGCATCCTGCTACTGTGACCCTGTGACAGGCTCGGATCTTTCGCTGGCGACACCCTTTCGCCACACCAGTCACTCGAGAGGCTTGGAAAGCTGCAGCCAGGTGCACGCGACCTTGGGGGTGCGCGCGGTCATTGGAGATCGTCAGCACTTGAAAGAGATTGCCTCTCAATCCTCCAACCAGAGCTCTACTGAACACCCCGTGGGGTTCTAGTGCTGTCCAAGGAGGAAGTCGATCGCCTTCCACAAAATAATCTGATCACTCAGTTTCAGCACCTGCTCTGTCGGGTTGCACGCGGATTACAAGATGGCGACGGCAAACGGCAGAACGCAGCTGCCTTCGCCGTTTGAGTGAGTGAAAGCGCTGTGTCCTTTTCCTCGCTATCCCTGTTGATCTTGGGTGACCCACTGACACGACTCATACCACATGACAGCATCGACCAAACATGGCAATTCTTAGAAGTCGGCATCTCGGTGATGGTGCGTAGATGAGACACATCGCAGCATCTTCGCTACCCCAGCTGACCACCAATCCTTGCGTCACCTAAGATGGCGCGACGTACCGAAGGATTGTCGTATACAAGGTATATGGAGCTGTACACCGTGGTATACAACTACTGCACCAGCAGCCGCATGAATGCTCCCTCAGATGGACTGAGCGGTGGCGCTAGAGGTGAGTCGAGGAGTTAGGCCCGCGGTGCTCAGACAGAACGGCTAGTGTCAAGCAGCGCTGCTGTAGAGGGCTTCAGCTGGCACACAATTCTGGCACTGATTCTCTCTGTTGGAGGAGGCTCCCCGGTTTGCGCGTGCGCCACGGATGCTGGACTGATCCTGCGTCGACTATTCTGGATCCTTAGGGGCAAACCTTGTCGGCGCAGATATGTACCGGAGGCTGAGCAGCTACTTCGTGGAGCACTCCAAAGGTGTTGCGCAGGTGAGTTCACTCATGAGGAGGGCCTCTTTACGCCATGTTGAAAGACTACATTCTTCTTCTCACAGTGCGCCGCTGACCTCTCCGGCGAGGCGCTGTTAAAGTATTATGTGTCGGAGTGGGATAGATACACTACGGGATCGAATTTTGTGCACAGACTATTCACCTACCTCAATCGACATTGGGTCCGCCGGGAGAGGGAAGAGGGTCACAGGCATGTGCACTTCATCTACACGGTGCGTCGCCGAACGAGGCTCATGAAAGCTCTCGATTGCAAGCTGGGAGCTTAATCAGTTCACCCGATTCCAAATCGTCAATTCAGCTTGCGCTCGTTCAATGGAAAGAACAAATGTTTACGGTGGTGCAGAAGAACGGGAGACTGGTCACAGCTCTTCTCAATCAGATCGAGAAGCAAAGGACTGGGGAGACCATTGAAACGAGTCTGGTCAAGAAGGTAGTGGATTCATTTGGTGAGTCAAGTAGTTCGGCCGTCTTCAATACGCGGTGTCGATCTTACACCAACGCATGCATGCCGCTTAGTCTCGCTGGGACTGGACGAGACCGACTCCACAAAACAGAACTTGGAGGTGTACAGATACGACTTCGAGCGGGCGTTCTTGCAGGCAACGGAAATTTATTACGAAGCCGAAAGCAAGAACTTCGTCGCTAAGAATTCTACGACCGACTACATGAAAAAGGCGGAAGCAAGACTGCGGGAAGAAGAAGGGCGGGTTGAGATGTACTTGCATCCGACTACTACAGCCAAGCTTGTGTCCACTTGTGACAATGTCCTCATCCGCAATCACTCTCAACTGCTCTGGGACGAGTTCCAAGCGCTCTTAGATGCCGCCAAGACCGACGGTAAGTCAGCATGCCTGGGAAGCCAACGCTTTGGCCCACTCGACTGACAAGGGATGCCCACTTTGCAAATTATAGACCTCTGGCGCATGTATACTTTGCTGTTCCGCATTCCAGAGGGCTTGCAGCCTCTCAGAGAAAGGTTCGAGGCGCACGTCAAGCGAGTCGGCTTGAACGCCGTGGAGAAAGCGTGCGCAGGAGGCGCAGAAGGCTCAGCGGCGAGCGAGGTGGACCCAACTGCATATGTCAATGCGTTGCTTGAGGTGTACGCAAGCTCTCTCAAGACCATCCAGAATGCCTTCCGCACCGAGGCTGGCTTCTTGGCAGCTTTGGATAAAGCCTGCAGGGATCTGATGAACCGGAACAAAGCAACGGGAGCCAGCAACAGCAAGAGCCCCGAACTCTTGGCCAGACATGCCGATGGGCTCTTGAAGAAGAGCAATCGCAGTGCAGAAGAGGCGAATATGGAAGAAGCACTCAATCAAGTGGTAAGTACCTTCTAAGGAAGCTGATGTCTGAGACCTCCATATTGGGCTCACCTCACTATGTCCGCCTGCGTGCCTCAGATGATCGTGTTCAAATATATCGAGGACAAAGACGTCTTCCAGAAATTCTACTCCAAAATGCTTGCCAAGCGTCTGGTCAACTTCACTTCAGCGTCCGACGATGCCGAATCCAGCATGATCTCAAAGCTGAAGGAAGCTTGTGGTTTCGAGTACACAAGCAAGCTTCAGAGGATGTTCACAGACATGGGTCTGAGCAAGGAGCTCAACGATAATTTCCGCAATTCGACGACTAGCCAAGGGGACGACGCCACTGGTGCAGAGATGGACTTCTACGTCTTGGTGCTGGCCAATGGATTCTGGCCTCTGCCGCACGCCACAACGGAGATCGTGATTCCGACCGAGCTTTTGCCGACCTACACTCGCTTTGAGCGATACTATGGTGCTAAGCATTCGGGACGGAAACTCACTTGGATGTGGCAACTCGCCAAGACTGAAATACGCACCAACTACTTGAGCCAAAAGCTTATCTTCCAGCTCAGTGCTTACCAGACTGCTGTCATTCTGCAGTTCAACGCAAGCGACAGTCTCACTTACACTCAGCTTCGAGAAGCCACGGGGCTGGCGGACGCGAACCTCAAGCCTGCTTTGGTGCCGCTTGTTAAGAGCAAGGTGCTACGTCAGGATGACGACGCCTACGAGCTGAATACGGGTAAGTGTCTCGACATTGTGCCGCGTGAATGCTGCTGAAGCTTCCGCAATGATTGGCTCCTCAGAGTTTAAATCAAAGAAGGTGCGCGTCAATTTGAACATGCCCATGAAAGCAGAGCAAAAGGCGGAGTCCTCGGATGTGATGAAGACAGTCGACGAAGATCGAAGGATGCTACTGCAGGCCACGATTGTGCGGTGAGTAGTCGCGGCGCTCGATTAGATCACCACTGAGGGCTTGAAGTGGACTGGAAGCTGACATCAAGAGAACGAAATCACTATGCCAGCATAATGAAAGCGCGAAAGCAACTGAAGCACATGCAGCTGGTTGCAGAGGTTATTTCACAGGTCTCGGCGCGCTTTCAACCGAAAGTGCCAGACATCAAGAAGGCAATTGATCAGCTGATTGACAAAGAGTACCTTGAGAGGGTGGAGGATCAAAGAGACCTGTGAGTTCACCAGAAGCGCCGAAAGATGACTCGTGCTGAGCGCATCACCATCTTCATCCTGCAATCACAGGTATCAATACTTGGCCTAGAGGGGTGCGCGCAGCCTTCAAGGGGACTCTTTTTCAGGTGCGTGCTGGCAACGCACAGCACTGTGTCGCATGCTAGTGGCCACGTGTCTCAATGCATTTGTATCAAATCATCGCAAAGTAGTGGCTCGCACCCGACAAGCCAAGGGGTCATCAAGGGCTGCACCAATTCTGGAATGCATCGAGTGCATTTGTGCCTCGTGTGGCTGCCGCTGGCAAGCCTGTAAGTCTTTCCCTTGCAAGTCCCTGCAAGCCCCAACCGAGCAGCAGGATGCAGGTGGAAGAGACGGGCGAGCGCGGAAGTATGACTGGAATCGTGGCGATTGTATCATGGGTCAGCTTTGCTTCGATGTTGAAGTATGGCGACTGCTCACCTCCCAGCCCTACGCCCGCACTTAGACCTCCAAGCAGCGATCTGACGCCCCACTCTGCAGCCGTACCAGTGTCTAAGTCCAGCTCCAACCAGGTGAAATCGATGAACCATTCGCCGATGATTTGAAGCTGCCCGACTGCGCCTCGGCTTGATGAAGTGGCTAGACTTTCGGAGGAGGCGCTCGAAAGGTGCTGCGCCCGGCTCCTCCAGAGCAGAAGAAGAGTGAGCAGCAATATTTGTGGAATGGAGGCGAGAATTAAGGATGCGTGCAGCGCTTGAGCTGGCAGATGAGCTCTGCGGCGTGCAGAGCATCATGAAGGTCGCAATCAGCTTGCCTCGCTTCCGGGGCAGCGCGTTCTTGTGTGATCCGCACAGTCAACTCACACACTAGATGCGCCTCCTGTCGCTTCTTTTGCACCTATTCTTGAACCATGACCACTCCGAGATGTCCGTGAAGCCCATGTGGCAGCTTGACGTTTGATGGCTAAAAACAAAAGGCACAAGATGTGGATGGTCGAATGAAAGACGACGGCTTCGAGCGCTACAGCGGCGAGCACAGATAGATAGGAGTGCAGCAAATCTGAAAGTGTAGCGGGAAGAGAGACGGAAAGGTGAGACGGCAAGCCTGGACCGGGCGGAGCATGGGTGCGAAGAGACGGCTGTCAGATCTTGGACCCGCGTGGCTGCTTTCCCTTGCGACGATCATTCACTCACAGAGATCGTGCCAGCGAACATCTGCGGGCGCGGGTGGACCGAGTAAAGCGAGTGTCAGATTTCGTTTTGCCTAGCTTGGGACAAGTGCTCTGGGCAGCACAGCAAGCAACTCACAGGCGTCCACCAAAACCAACGCAGTGCCTTGTCTCAGCGTTCTCCATGATCTGGACTTCATACTTGATGCCGTGTCACTTGCATTCGCCGCTTTAGCTCGGGAGCCCCGCAACGGCAAGGCTTGCAGATGATGTCTGTTGAAGATGAGGTGCCGATAAGCAGATGGCTTGACAAGAACCTGTCATGGTACAATGATTGCGTAGAAGGGCAGTTCAGCTCGTTGAGACCGCTTTCAGCATTTCTCCAGTTGTGCGCGCTTCACTGACCAAGTCCAGCAAGATGATAGGCAGCTCGAACTCGACGTAGGGATCGACAGCTTTGCTGTGACAATTGTTGCACGGTGTCAAGGCTACATGACCGGGCGAGTACTCGAGATAGAGAGAAGCGGCTTCTGCTGAGCAGTGCACGCAGACCGGACCAAGGTCACGAGGCGGCGAACCAGAGCGTCCGCGTGCGTCCGACTCGACGGTTGCGTGCCGATCATTGATAGCTTCTGACGTCTTGGTACGCAATCGTGATCTCATCTCGTTCTTGCTTGCTTCTTGCATCGCTCTTGACTTTTGCTCATCGAGGTGAGATACGTGCGAGGCAGATGGGTTCATAGCTGACTTTTTGCTCGGTCATGGTTGACGCTTGATGAGCAACGCTGACTTGGAGATCATATACCTTGTATATGCCCCAGCACGACCTCGCTCCTCCATCCACCACTACCTTCGCTTTGCAAGTCTTCAGCTTGATCGCTCGTCGCAGTGTGTGAGCCTAGGACATCCTTTCCTATCGCGCCTCTTCGTATTTGGGCTGGTTCTAGAACGACGCTTGACAGCAGATGGTGGAGAAGGCAGCCCGGATCAAGCAGCCCAATTGTCATCGACTTATGACCGCCACGAGCTCTTCACCAGCTGCATGCATTCACCATTCTTGATTGCAATTGACCAGCCCGTGCATCTCGCGCTACCCTCCGCGGCTTTGGCCCCGAGCCCTGCGGCTGCTGCTGTACAGCAAGTCACACTCAAAGTCCAAGTGAATATGTGTGAATTTGAATGAAGAGAGAGGCAATTCAATTTTGAATGTCGCAAAACGGTGCACATGTCTAATCGAGCTAAAGAAAGCCAAAAGCTATCCAAGAGAGGTTAATAGCCGCCTTTTAGTTCGGATTTAGGGCGCCGACCGCGCGATGACTCCTTGTGAATTTTGAGGGTGCAAAAGGCCTGCATCGTTGCGGGCTGCAGGGCAGACGTGACTCGTCCAGACGAAGCGTCGCGCATGCGGATGCTGCACAGCTTAATTCCTTCGATCATGGGCGTGCACGGGTGAATGGCCAATCGAGCGTTCTCCTCTTTGCTCCTTCTTGAGCCCTCACCCAACATCTGCACCACCACATCCTTCACCAGGCTTGCATCCCGTCGCACCTCATTTGCCGCCCTTTGATCGCCGAGTCATCTTTACACTGCTGCTGCAAGTCGGTGCTGTTCGCTTCTTCCATCTCCACTTTTCGCGAGGGTCAAAGCACGACAACGCTGCAAACGCTTCGAGACGCAGCAACAGCCTTTGAGCAGCACGCACGCACTCGCAAGCTTGGCAGCATCCATCAGCTTCACACTCGTGCCGTCAGCTTTATATAGCATCAGCTCCACCGCTCTTCGCTAGCCCATCATGCCTGGTATGAATCCGGGAGCCAAGTACGTGCCTTACAAGCCGTTGGACCTTCCCAACCGGTCGTGGCCCTCCAAAGTGCAACGCACATCTCCCATTTGGACATCGGTCGATCTCCGAGATGGCAATCAAGCGCTCATCAATCCCATGAGCCAGGAGCAGAAGCTTGAATTCTTCAAGAAGCTCGTCGACGTTGGCTTTCAAGAGATCGAAGTGGCCTTCCCTTCCGCCAGCGACACCGACTTTGGCTTTGTGAGGAACATCATCGAGCAAGGACTCGTCCCCGACGACGTGTTCATCCAAGTGCTCACCCCTGCAAGGTGAGTGTCGGACCGGTCAATAACAAGACCGGCGCTTGCATGCTTGGACGCGGACGAGGTGCTAATAAGAAACTGTCCACAGAGAGGAGCTGATTCGCAGGACATTCGAGTCCATCAAGGGTGCCAAGAATGTCATTCTGCACATGTACAATGCCACATCGCCCCTCTTCCGAGACGTCGTCTTTGGAAACAGTAGGGCAAAGACCATCGACCTGGCAGTCAAGCACACAAAAATCGTTCGCGAGCTGGTGGACGAGTACAGCAAGCCAGAGAACGGTGGGACCAATTTCAAGTACGAATACTCGCCAGAAACCTTTACTCAGACCGAAATGGACTTTGCCGTCGAGATTTGCGAGGCGGTTAGACAGACTTGGGGCAAAGCGAGCAAGCAGGAGCCCATCATCTTCAACCTGCCTGCGACCGTCGAGATAGGCCCTCCAAACCACTACGCTGATCAGGTGAGCGAGAGACTGTGATGTCTTTCTCGTCTGTCGTGCGGACCGCTCAGCGCGTCCACATCCGCCGGGATACTCTTCCCCCACTCTTGGCAGATTGAGTGGTTCTGCACCCATGTCACCAAGCGGGAAGAGATCATCGTCTCTCTGCATCCCCACAATGATCGAGGCTGCGCCGTAGCTGCGACCGAGCTAGGTCTTTTGGCTGGTGGTGACAGAGTGGAGGGCTGCCTCCTCGGAAATGGAGAGCGCACAGGCAACGTGGACATCGTGACGCTGGCTCTCAATCTCTTTTGCCAAGGCGTCCGACCTGGGCCCCTCGATCTCAGCGACTTGCAGAGCGTCATCGATACAGTCTCTGGATGCAATGACATTCCTGTTCACCCTCGTCATCCCTATGCGGGAGAGCTTGTCTTTACAGCTTTCAGCGGCAGTCACCAAGATGCCATCAAGAAAGGCTTCGCCGCCCAGGACGCGAGGAAGATCAAGGGCGACCCCAGTTGGAACATTCCGTACCTACCCATCGACCCCGCAGATCTCGGCATGACCTACGAAGCCATCATTCGGGTCAACAGCCAATCCGGAAAGGGCGGAATCGCGTATCTCGTCGCGCAAGCTCTTGGCTTGGACCTGCCGCGTAGAATGCAAGTCGCTTTCTATCAAGTCATTCAGCAGGTTGCGGATAGGACGGGCAAGGAAATGTCATCGGACGACATTACGCGAGCCTTTACGCAGACGTATCACGTTCCTAGCATCACTTCTGGACGCAACGAGGGCAGACTTGCGCTGCGTCAATTCAAGCTGGAAGATGATGTTCCTCCAGAGTTGAATGGTGATGACAACCTCTCGCCCTCTAGCAGTCAAGTACTAGACCCGAGTTACGGCGCTCAAACGCCGCGCTATCGCCGTTTCACCGGTGTCGTGCTGCGAGATGGAAAGCCTCACAACGTCAGTGGAAAGGGCAACGGACCTCTTTCTGCCATTCTCGATGCTCTGGAGAGCGCATTTGGTATCCGAGCAAACATTCGAGAATACTCTGAGCACGCCGTCTCTAAGCCTGGCACCTTTTCGGCCAGCGCGTCGGATCCGAATGGCAAGAGGGAGACCAAAACGAGGGGACAAGCGGCTTCGTACGTGGAGCTGGTGGATGCGGATGTGGAGGATGGACAAGGGGCAAAGAGGGCGCCTGGATTTTGGGGCGTGGGAATTGATGTGGATATCACCACTTCGGGTCTTAGAGCCGTTGTTAGCGCCATGTCTAACCTCATTCAGCCCTCCGCGGTTATTGAAGAGGCGACCAAGGCTGTCGATGCTGCGGCTGCCAAGTGATCCCCGCCTCCGCTCTCATACGGAGTGGTGCATCATGCGCCCTCAAAATGTACATCTACCCAAAATTAGTTGCTGCCGATGCAATCGATCTCTCCTCGTCTCGGCAAAGTGTCAGGTTGCGGCGCGTGAGATGTGCACCGTGCAAAGATACGTGCCACCTAGCGCGGATCAGACTCATACGAGCGTCGACAGCCAAACGTGTTCGCAGCCAAAGTTATTGCACACTGCATTGATTTCCTCTGTTCTCGATTCCAGCCGTTTTGACCTCATTCGATTGAAGCTCACTCCCACGTTCTGCCAAAAGCCCGATTTTGCTAAAGAGAGACATGTCGAGGCCGGCGCCATTGCTTACTGGAGAGCAAGCCCAGCGCTAGAAGTCATGGCGCGATGATTCATCGAAACGAATGTGAGCGTGCTTCTCTCGCCGCAATTCGCCGCGCGACGTGTGCTCGAATGAAAGACTCACCGGATGAACAAGGTGAAGCAGGTCGATACACCAACAAGAAAGATGGCACTTCGAAGGTTCGCTGAACGAGGATCGGGAGGGGACGGTTGCGCGAGCACATGAGTCAACCGGGCTCGTGGAGCGCGAGAGACAAATCGCCAAGGCGACTTACAGAGAGGCTCGGAAGTGGTGGAAATATAGGCGACCGAGTAAAAGATGCGAGAAACGACGTAGATGATGGCTGCCGTGTTCAAAAAGTCGACTGTGGGATCGTCGCGAGGGCATTAGGTGCGAAGTGATGGAGAGTGAGCACGCGCGCGACGCCTCGCGATGTTCCTCGCTGCCCGCATACACTACGAAAAGGTCGAAAGACGCACCTGGAAGCTTGGCAACGTTGCCCGCGATGATGGCAGCCGCGAAGAAGGGCAGGTTCTCAAAGCCATTTTGTTGGGCTGCTTCAGCGCGGATGTAGCTGGGGAGGAAGGGTGGAGGCGGGGGCAGGACACAGAGGTGTACGACGATCCCAAGCATCAGTGCAGACATTCAAAAGCTCGTAGCCCCCCCCCTTTTTTTTTTTTTTTTTTTTTTTTTT